TATAACCTTTCATAGTTCTCAGTATCCCTTGGTTCGAATTTCATCTTTTTTAATTTTAATTTTATTTTTTAAAGATTTATTTATTTCTTTGAAAGTTAGAGTTACACAGAGAGAGAAGGAGAGGCAGAGAGAGAGAGGGAGGTCTTCTGTGTGCTGGTTCACTCCCCAGATGGCCACAACGGCTGGACCTGGGCCAATCCAAAGCCAGGAGCCAGGAGCTTCCTCTGGGTCTTCCCGTGCAGGTGCAGGGGCCCAAGGACTTGGGCCATCTTCTACTGCCTTCCCAGGACATAGCAGAGAGCTGGATCAGAAGTGGAGCAGCCAGGACTTGAACCGGCACCCATATGGGATGCTGGCACTGCAGGTGGTGGCTTTACCCGCTAGGCCACAGCGCCGGACCCCGAATTTTATCTTAACTCCAACCTAGAAATAAGTGTATGTTTGTGGACTTGGTGGCAGGTAGAGAGGATGGTAGTGACTAGGAGACACTGTGGATAGTATTTTGGAAAGCAAGACGTTAAGAGTTCTTTAACCTGTAGAGTTTGCATGGCTAGTTTGTTATGATTTCATTGGCACATCCCTGGAGGACTGATATGAAGCCCATATACAGAGTCAGAATATCTGTGTCTGTCTCGCTGAGTGTCATTTAAGCATTGTAAACTTCTCTGTGTGCATGTGTTTCCATCAGAAAAGATGAGGTTGAATGCCTTAAAGAGTTTTTAATTAAAAATTTATTATGAAGCTGTATTTGTAAAAGAGCTTTAAAAACAAAAAATTGCAACAAATGAAAAGCTAATCTTAGTGGGCAGACAACTGTATAAATATATTTGTTCTTACAGACTTGATTATACATATTGATGGGGTGAATTTGAAACTAGTACATAATTCAGGCCGGCACCGCGGCTCAATAGGCTAATCAATCCTCTGCCTGTGGTGCTGGCACACCAGGTTCTAGTCCTGGTCTGGGCGCTGGATTCTGTCCCGGTTGCTCCACTTCCAGGCCAGCTCTCTGCTGTGGCCCTGGAGTGCAGTGGAGGATGGCCCAAGTGCTTGGGTCCTGCACCCGCATGGAGACCAGGAGAAGCACCTGGCTCCTGGCTTTGGATCAGCGCGATGTGCTGGCTGCGGTGGCCATTGGAGGGTGAACCAACAGCAAAAGGAAGACCTTTCTCTCTGTCTCTCTCTCTCACTGTCCACTCTGCCTGTCAAAAAAAAAAAAAAAAAAAAAAAAAAAAGAAACTAGTACATAATTCAGAAGTCTATTTTAGGGATAGATAGCTCTCAATTATCCACATACATGAATAGATTAGAACCACGGATATTTGTGAGGCATCTACTGCACGCTAAGCAATATGTTAGGCCTGTTTAGACTATTTTAAAATATAGAGGAAAGCTACAAATCTCAAGGCTATTAATTGTATCTTGAAAGTGCTCTCATCCTCTAGCCTGCTGAGCTTTAAGACTCATCTAAGTGTCGGGGCTGGCACTGTGGCGCAGTGGATTAATGCCCTGACCTGAGGTTCTGGCATCCCATATGGGCGCTGGTTCAAGACCTGGCTACTCCACTTCTGATCCAGCTCTCTGCTATGGCCTGGCAAAGCATACAAGATGGCCCAGGTCTTTGGTCTCCTGCATCCGTGTGGGAGACCTGGAAGAAGCTCCTGGCTTCAGATAGGCGCAGTTCCGGCCATTTCGGTCAGTTGGGGAATGAACCATGGGGTGGAAGACCTCTCTCTGTCTGCCTCTCCTCTCTCTCTGTAACCCTGACTTTCAAATAAATAAATAAATAAATAAATCTAAAAAGGAAAAAAAAAAGACCCAGCTAAGGGGCCAATGCTGTGGCAAAGTGGGTAAAGCTGCCGCCTGCAGTGCCAGCATCCCATATAGGTGCCAGTTCAAATCCTGGCTGCTCCATTTCCCACCCAGCTCTCTGCTGTGGCATGGGAAAGCAATAGAAGATGGCCCAAATCCTTGGGCCTCTGCATCCATTTGGGAGAACCAGAAGAAGCTCCTGGCTTCGGATTGGCCCAGCTCCAGCCATTGTGGCCATCTGGGGAGTGAACCAGTGGATGGAAGATCTCTCTCTCTCTCTCCCTCCCCCTCTCCCTCTCTCTCTCTCCCTCCCTCCCTCCTTTCTCTCTCTCTGCCTCCGCCTTTCAAATAAATAAATCTTTTTTTAAAAGATATGTTGGAAAGGCCAACTAATGTTACAGTGCAGTATATAGTAATACCAAATGCAAGCTGAATGTTTCATTTTTGGCCTACAGGTGTTCAAATTAGTTTTAGGTATGCTCCCAAAAGGTAGAACTGTAGAATGGAGAATTACAAAGAAAAAAAATATTAGGGGCAGCTGCTGCTTGGGACACTAATTACCTATATCAGAATGTCTGGGTTTGAGTCCTGGCTTTATTCCCTAATCTGCTTTCTGCTCATGTGCACCCTGGGAGATAGCAGGTGATGGTCTAAATAACAGGGTTCCACTGAGAGATCCAACTGAGTTCCTGGCTTTCCTGCTTTGGCTTGGCCCAGTTCCAGCTGTTGTGGGCACCTGGGGAGTGAACCAGCAGATGGGAAATCTCTGTCTCTCTCTTCCCCTCTCTTTCTGCTATTCAGATAAATAAAAAAATTTAAAAACATAGTAATAAAACATGTATTTCTTTGAATTAGATTATATAATTTTATGAAAGGAAATTTTTTTTTCTAATTGTTTGAGGCTTTTTTTTTTCTTTTTTCTTTTTTTTAACTTTTATTTAATGAATATAGATTTCCAAAGTACAGCTTATGGACTACATTGGCTTCCCCCTCCCCCCCGATGACTTCCCTCCCACCCGCAACCCTCCCCTTTCCCGCTCTCTCTCCCCTTCCATTCATATCAAGATTCATTTTCAATTTTCTGTATATACAGAAGATCAGTTTAGTATACATTGTTTTTTTTTCTTTTTTTTTTTTAACTTTTTGAGGCTTTTAAATAATTGGTAGTTATGTATGCTGAGGAAGATTGATTTACCAGAAGAAATTTACAAAGTGAATTAATTTCTTATAGATAACTAAGAGCAGATGCTATAGTAATTTGATTTTTTTTCTTCTTGTACTATTTCAAATGGAAATTTTATAATTGATAGTGAAGTGTCTAGTAGTAGGAAACAAGAAGTACAGAGAAGGTTGCCAGTTAACCAAATGTTTGGAAATTGATTCCAGAGAAAGCGTATGTTTTGCTATTAGCCTACCCTGTATTGATTTGTAGAACACTCTGTGTCAAAAAGTCAATAATCTGAATCTTTAAGGGCTCAAGTAGAACTTTTATTTTTGCAGACTATTCTTTTGAAAGCTGAATTGTTGAAAACCCAGACCTTGGACTATCCTTGGCCTTAGCTGAAAGGAAAAAGAAAGAATTCATTGTGTAACAAATAGACATGCTGGTCTGGATCTAAAAAAATAAACATTAACATGATTTCTGTTTCTATTCAAGGTACTATTGTGCTAGTATTTGTGATATATTTTTTCTGACTTTGCCCACCCCCATTTTTCCAAAGATCACTTCCGTTGCACAAGCTTTCCAATTTATTAAATTGCCCAAATAACGATAATGCAGTCGTCTTATTAGTAGCACTGAAGAGGCAAATGCCAGTTCATCAGTTCTCTATGGAACTAGTCCTTGATGTTTGTAATGGGATTTGTCTCCTGGAAATTAATTTTATTGTTTGTAGGCCTGATACAAAACCAGAAACCCTTGAATAAATAGTGAAATTTTATTCTGACACACACACACACACATACCAGTGGTAGTGATGAAGCCACAGGGACAATTCTTGAGATCTTAATGGTGTACATCCACTACGGCACATGGTGAACAAATAAATTATTTTGGGAATGGTTAATTATAAGGTTGGTTGAGTTAGAGTTTTTTTTTTTCCCCTCTAAGTTTAATTTAACAGAAGAAAGTAGACATTCCCTGAGTTTATCCTGCAGTGGCGGTATAAAACTACCCAGAAATATGCAGAATGTAAACATTTCCTTTCAATAAAAAAAATACACAACATACATCACATTAAGAGAATATTATAGAATCTTTGAACCTGGAATCAGTAGTAAGGAGTAAAGGTGGGGAAGTAGGACTGATAGATTAAACACTAGAACATCAGTAAAAGTTATGAACTTGCTGATCCTGGAAGTTGGCGAGTGAGCTAGTTAGCTGTGTCTGTTCGTATAGGAAAGGACAGATACTAAACTTTTGCTCTTAGTTTTGAGGTATCATCTCGGGAGATATAGAACTAAGGGAGTCCTTTCAGGACATTTTCTTGAAGGCTAGAGTTGGAAGACAATGGAATAGGAATGACAGATTGGGGACTGGCGTATAAGTGTGTTAAAACTGTGCTTTGGAAATGGTTGCAAGGCTGGGTGGGGAGGGGGTGAGTTGTTTGGGAGGAGTAGAGCAAGCTTTTTTTAAGGAAAGATACGGGCGGGGGAGGGAGTAATGCTGGGCACCAGTGGAGTGAGGCAGTATTTGGACAAAAGGAAGGAAACTGGTGTTTTTTGAGGATTTCTTAATTCCATTTCTTAATGGAATCTTAAAAAGAGGTCTGAAATGCAGATAATCCCCTTTATACATGAGGAAACTGAGGCATGAGGGGTTTATATTACTTACCCACCTCAGGCCAGAGCCAGTTCTTTCTCTCAGTGTGGTGTCAAAAGGAGTTGAAGCTGTGAGAGTGGACTTGGCATGTAGACAGAATGTCCATGGTTTCGCAGTCCTCCTCCCTAGGCTGACTGTGCCAGAGTGCTGTGGTTTCGGGAGTCGCATGGGCTGCGCTCATTGAAGTCTGGATTCTGCTGGTTTTTTACCTCTGTAGCTGAGAGCATATTGCTCAGCTGTGTGAGCTTTAGCAAATTCCTGTCTAGCATGCAGTTAATCATAAAACCTCTTAGGGGAGGAAGTTTAAGTGAAGTGCTATCTAAAGCTTTAACACATATTTTACTTTGTCTTCATTTCTTCTTTTCAGACCCATCTTAATCCCTCTGAATTGTACATAGGCCCCTGGAGACTGGAATTTGGTCATATTTTATTTCTAAGAAAGTTATATTTGATTTTGTTGGAAGATCCCACATTAACTAAAATCAGTCTGCCAAGATAATCATTCATCTCTCCCTCCCACCTAATCAAGAGCTGTATGAAATCTGTAAGTGCTTTTGTCCCTCCTCTTTCTCCCTGTTTGGATTCCTTGGGGCTGACATCACAGACATGGAGGAGTCTCTGACCTTTGAAAATTCTTGACGGTCTTGAATGTTGTGGTTTTTCCAGTGGGTTTTGTGAGGAGCTGAAGAGGACTCAGATGCAGCTCTAATGCATGTGGAACCAGGAGTGGGACAATGGTAGCTGTGGATGTTGTTAAATTTGAGAATGTAGGGTCAGTATTATTTCAGGCAGTTTAACGGAGCTCTGTTAGCTATAATCATTACTTATTTTGGGGTTGTTTTTATCTATGATTAAGTAGCTGAGCATGCAGACTGATTTTAATGCAGTATTAGTCTGAACTAAACAGTGTTTAGGAAGAGAAATCTGTCGCAGTCAGTCGTGTAACAATCTTGAGCAAATATGTTTGAGATGTGCCAATGTTCTAGACTTGCTTATTTACAACACCGACTGTTAATACTGTTGTGTGTGTGTGTGTGTGTGTCTCATAGGGTACTCCACAAATAGACTTCAGTTCATCTGAATGAAAACTGATTGCATGCAAGGTGGATGCTATAGATAAAGCATGAGCAAGAACAAGATTCTTGCCCTCAAATTCTGGTTTAGTGGGGAGACATACATGCAAATGAACACAAATACCATGCACCGTGTTAAACGTTATGATAGTAGAATACTAGGTGCTGTTGATGCTCCAGGGAGGAAGTGGTCTACTTTGGAAGCCAGAGTATGCTTTGTAAAGGTGGGAGTAATGAAATTAGTCTTAAAGAATAGGTAAGAATTCCCCTGCTAGACAAGAGTCATTCTAGGCAGAAGAACTATATGTATAAAGAGCCTGAGATTTGAAACACTTAGTATACTTGAGGAATTATCAATTCAAGGAAAGGAATGATGGGAGATAGTTAAGGCTAGAGAGTTACGGCCGGCGCCGTGGCTCACTAGGCTAATCCTCCGCCTTGTGGCGCCGGCACACCGGGTTCTAGTCCCATGGGAGACCAGGAGAAGTACCTGGCTCCTGCCATCGGATTGGCGCGGTGTGCTGGCCGCAGCACGCCGGCCGCGGCGGCCATTGGAGGGTGAACCAACGGCAAAGGAAGACCTTTCTCTCTGTCTCTCTCTCTCTCTCACTGTCCACTCTGCCTGTCAAAACAATAAAAAATAAAATAAAATAAAAAAATTAAAGAGAGAGTTAGGTAAAGTCAGGTCAGAATGGACCTCATTTGTCATGTATAGAAATTTGGATCTTACACTAGAGTCTTTGCAGATCCATTGAAAATTTTAGAACAGTAGGATTTAATACTATCACACTGCACTTTAAATTGTTCACTGTGGTTGCTTAAAGAAGCTGATCAATGACTGGAAAGAGGAAAAGGGGGAAGTTAGGAAGCTGTTTCCTAGGGTCTAGTTTATAAAAATAGAATAAAAGAGAAGTTGCTTATGGAAGGCATTGGGTAGATTAGAGAACCCTTGAAAATTAGTAAAATATTACTTGTGAGGAAAAGGTCAGAGAGAAGTGTAGGGATGGCTCCCAGGCCTGAGGCTTGGCTGACAGGGCTGATGTGGTGTCACTGGCTGGAATTGGCAGTATTTTTTTTTTTTTTTTTTTTTTGACAGGCAGAGTGGACAGTGAGAGAGAGAGACAGAGAGAAAGGTCTTCCTTTGCCGTTGGTTCACCCTCCAATGGCCACCGCGGCCGGCGCGCTGCGGCCGGCGCACCGCGCTGATCCGATGGCAGGAGCCAGGAGCCAGGTGCTTATTCTGGTCTCCCATGGGGTGCAGGGCCCAAGCACCTGGGCCATCCTCCACTGCACTCCCTGGCCACAGCAGAGAGCTGGCCTGGAAGAGGGGCAACCGGGACAGAATCCGGCGCCCCAACTGGGACTAGAACCCGGTGTGCCGGTGCCGCTAGGCGGAGGATTAGCCTAGTGAGCCGCGGCGCCGGCCTGGAATTGGCAGTATTGCAGTAGGAATAGTTTGAAAGGGTTGGGGACAGAGATGAGAATGAACTCATGTTTTCATGTGTTTTTAGTGCCTGTGGGATTCCTAGGTGAGGAAGAAAGACTTTGGGGCTGTGGAGTCACCCTTAAATCCACTTGTGTTCCATCCAAACTATTCTTACTGTAATGAAGGTGGTCTTTTGACAATTCAAATCTGCAGTGCCCTCCCCCTGCTTACAGCCCATCTGTAGCTTCTCCTTACTGCAGGGGTGAAATTTCGAGTCGTTTTGCAGGGTCCCCCAGGCCTTCTCTTTGTCTTCATTTTGTGCTGTTCTCACCTTTATGTTCCTTCTTGTCACAGAACTTTGACATGTTTCCTCTGCTTGGAGCATGCTTCCCTTTCCAGTTTCTCTCTAATTGCTGCTCATTCTTTAATTCCTAGAGAAAAATCACTTCCTTAGGCAAGCTTTTCTTGACTCCCTATAAGAGATAATGCTCCTCCCCAGTCCCAGCATTTATTACAATTGTTTGTGAAATTCTGGTTTTTTCTTTTTTCTCCTTACTGGAAGCTGTGTGAGAATAGGGATTGTGTCAAGGTCACTGCTGTGTGCTTTTTAAATTTAAAATTTTTTTACTTTTATGTATTTGAAAGATACAGAGAGTTAGAATATGAGCATGCTTCTGGCTGCTGGGTCACTCTTCAGATTCCTACAACAGCCATGGCTGGGCCAGGCCAAAGCCAGGAGCTGGGAACTCAGTCTCAGTTGCCCACGTGGGTGGCAGGAACCCAACTACTTGAGCCATCATCTGCTGCCTTCCAGGATGTGCATTAGAAGGAAGATGGAATTATTAATGGAGCTGAAACTCAAACCTAGGCGCTCTGATGTAGAATGCAGGTGTCCCAGATGGCATCCTTACTGCCGAACCAAAAGCCTGCTCCCCCAATTTTTTTTAGATTTATTTTATTTATTTGAAAGAGTTACAGAGAGACAAAGGAAGAGAAACAGAGGGGTCTTCCATCCACTGGTTCATTCCCCAAATGGCTGTAACAGGTGGAGCTGAGCCGATCAGAAGCCAGAAGCCAGGAGCTTCTTCTGGGTCTCCTGCATGGGTGCAGGGGCCCAAGGACTTGGGCCATCCTCCACTGCTTTCCCAGGTGCATTAGCAGGAAGTTGGATCGGAAGTGGAGCAGCTGGGGCTCAAACCAGCACTCGTATGGGATGCCAGTGCTGTAGGCCAGGGTTTTAACCTGCTGCACCACAGTGCCAGCCCCAGCCCACATTTTAAAATAATTAATTTTTATTTATTTATTTTTTTGAGAGCCAGAAAGAGAGAGAAATAGAAAGAGATCTCCCACTCATTGGTTCACTCTTGAGAGCCAGGAACTCAAACCAGTCTCTCATGTGGGTGGCAGAGACCCAACCACTTGAGCCATCACCTGCTGCCTCCCACAGTGTGCATTCACAGGAAGCCAGAATCAGAAGTGGAGCTGGAACTTGAACCCAGGCAGTCTGCTGTCTGCTATATGTGATGTGGGCATTTCAACTGGCATCTTAACAGCTAGAGAAATTATCTTTCTTTTTAAAAAAAAGATTTATTTATTTTTTGAAAGGCACAGTGACAGAGAAAAAAGAGAGATCTCCCATCTTCTGGTTCACTCCTCAAGTGCTCGCAATAGCCAGGGCTGGGTCAAGCTGCATCCAGGAGCCAGGAACTCAATCCAAGCTTCTCACGTGGGTGACAAGGACTCAAGTGCTTGAGCCATATCTGCTACCTCCCAAATGCAGTTAGATTGGAAGTAGAGGTGTCAGGACTTGAACAACAGAATTGTTGAATGGATTGTGCAGATGGGCTTTAGAATTGCTTAGGAAGATGGTAGGATTTGAAATGAGGAAAATATAAGGCTGTTATCCAAGTGTTTAACCAATATGATAGTCACAGCCCTTTCCTATGGTATAAGAGTTAAGTGAGTAAGAATTGGTGTAGTTCGGAAGCAGTGTGGTGCAGTAGAAAGAGCAAGGGTTCAGATGATCTGGGTCCAGACTGGATCACCCACGTGACTTTTAAGCATTTTTTCATTCTCTACTTGTAAGTTGGAAATCATGAATAAGATAGTGTGTTGGAAAGTGCTGCATATATGAGGGATATTCAGCAAGCTTGTGGAAAATTCTTACTATGAAAAACCATCCATGGGGTTCAAATTTTTCTTGCGTCAAAATATTTATTTTTTAGAAGTTCATTTTCTATGAAGTTCTATAAACTTCTAAAAAATGTTTATTTATGGGGCAATGTTGAAGTGTGGTGGGTTAAGTCGCTGTTTACCAATATCCCATATAGGACTGCAAATTCAAGTCCTGGCTGCTCTGCTTCCAGTCCAGCTCCCTGCTAATGTGTCTGAGTGAGCAACAGAAGACAGGATGGTCCCATCTGCTTGGGAAACCCAGATGGAGTTCCTGACTCCTGGCTCTGGCCTGACGCAGCTTAGTCTCTTGAGGCCATCTGGGACGTGAACCAGCAGATGGAAGCTCTCTCTGTCTCTCCCTCTCTTTCAGTCACTCAGCTTTTCAAATACATTAAAAAAAAAAAAAAAAAAAAAAAAACAAGAAAAAAACTTGTTTTAAATATTTATGACATAAGGCTGGTGCTGTGGTGTAGTAGGTAAGACCGCTACCTGCAGTGCCGACATCCCATATGGGTGCCGGTTCGAGTCCTGGCTGCTCCACTTCCCATCCAGCTCTCTGCTATGGCCTGGAAAGGCAGTAGAAGATGGCCCAAGTGCTAGGGCCCCTGCACCTGGGTGGGGGACCCAGAAGAGGCTCCTGGTTCCTCGCTTCAGATCGGTGCAGTGCAGCTCTGGCCATTTCGACCAACTGGGGAGTGAACTAGAAGATGGAAGACCTCTCTCTCTCTCTCAGTCTCCTTTTTTCTGTGTAACTCTGACTTTCAAATAAATAAATAAATATTAAAAAAAAAAAGACACAGAAAGATACATACAAAGAGAGAGGTATCATTCTTCCATCTGTTGGTTCACTCCCCAAATGCCTACAACAGCTGGGGCTGGGCCAGACTGAAGCCAGATAGAACTCCATCTTGGTGTCCCATATGGGTAGCAGGGACTCAAGTGCTTGAGCCATCAGCTGCCTCCCAAGATGACTCCCATTGCTGCCTCCTAAGGTGCAGGAAGTTGGATTAGAAGCAGGGTAGCCGGACTTGAACTGGGCATTCCAAGCACCAGCTTACTGCTGTGCCCCAACGTTTACCACTATGTTTCCGTGAACTTTTTGAAGTAGCCTTATATTAACTTGATTGCTGTTGTCACTTCAAGATGGTATGGAGGGGCTGGCATTGTGGTGCAGTGGGGTAAACTGCTGCTTGCAATGCCAGCATCCCATATTGGAGTTTGGGTTCAAGTCCTGGCTATGCTACATCTGATATAGCTTCTGCTCATATGCCTTGGAAGTCAGCAGACCCAAGTGCTTGGGTTCCTACCACCCACATGGGAGGCCAGGATGGAGTTCTTGGCTTCAGCTTGACCCAGCCCTAGCTGTTGCAGCCACTTGGGGAGATTTTTCTATCTCTCCCTTCTCTGCCATACCACCTTTTAAAGAAATAAATATTTTAAAAAATAAGATATCAAATATACCTCAATAAAGCTATAAAAAGAGGATATGAAGTGAAGTAGAGGTGAGAGGCAGATAGTAGCAGAAGTGAATTTTGAACAAGGTCCTTCATTTATTCAACATGTTTGGTTTATATGATAGCACAAATATTTACAAACAAGTACCAACAAGTACCTATATAAGGAAGGATTTTGTAAAATGAGGGCCACTGACTGGCTTATGGTAACCTTTTTTTTTTTTTAAAGATTTATTTTATTTATTTGAAAGGTAGATGTACAGAGAAAGAGAGAGGGAGGGAGATACAGAGAGAGAGAGTTCTTCTATCTGTTGGTTCACTCCCCAAATGGCTGCTTCATCTAAGTCTCCTACATGGGTGCAGGGGCCCAAGGACTTGGGTCATTTTCCACTGCTTTCCCAGGCTCATTAGCAGGGAGCTGGATGAGAAGTGAAGCAGCTGAGACTTAAAATGGCACCCATATGGGATGCCAACATTGCAAGCTGCAGCTTGACCCGCTATGCCACAGTGTTGGCCCTTATGATAACCTTTTGATGTTGATGTACAGTAGTATTTATGTAAAGAAATGCTTTATTTAATAATTTTCCATGAAAATTCTATCAGGTGTGGGAGTAGATTTTATTCTGCAGAACAGAATAAGGATCATTTTGTGAAAATTATAGGGAGAGAGAGGCTGTTAATAGCTTTTGCTTTAGTTTTAGAAGAAAGTTTTCTAACAATCAGAGCTGTCTGACAATGAAGTGGACACCATGACAAAGGAATGAGTTCGCTTTCAGAGCTTGTAGTCAACTGAGACTGGATGATTTATCTGTTTGAAATGAAATAAAAGGGTTCCTGTGTGGAGGGCAGACACTGGATTTAATAATTGCTAAAGGCCATTTAAGTTGGAAGACTGGAGGATTTTGACTCCAACTGGGTTCTGTGTATATAGCAATCAATGAATAAATATTTGAGTGCATCCTGTGTTGTATTTTGAAGACTGAAAGCCAGTGTTCGGTTTTGTTTTTGTTTTTTTTCCTTACTGTGTTGAGAGAAAGGCACAGACTGAGAATTAGTCATTGGCTTTGATAGTCCCATGTGGAACTGGAGAAGCTCAAGCCAGGTGTTGGTGGTGATGTAACAAAATCATCTGTCCTCCCGTTGGGTGGGGTTAGGGTGGAGTCCCTGGTATGTACCTGGAGACATCAGATACTAGCCTGTCTGCCAAGAAGTTTGGTTAGTGTTTGAACTTTTACTGCCGAGCAAGTCTTTCTAGATAATGTTGGGCCTCTAAATTATTTTTTTTTAAAAATTTTAAAAAAGAATGACCTACCTGCATGTTGACATGTGAGAGCTATGAGTCCATGACCTTGCCCTGATGTTTCTAATTTCCCTCTCCCAGATGTCTGTGTCTGAGGCTTGATATCTCTTCTTTCTGTTGAGTACCTTTATTCTGATTGCTATTTGTGTGTTTATTGTATATTTTCCATGTGCTTTCAAACATTAATAAAGTGGCTTTACTGTTACTTGGCTTTTTTTTTTTTTTTAGAGAGAAGTTTGAGATTCATTTTGCTACTATAATCTTAGTCTTTGATTGTATACCTATTTAATTTTTTTGGTCTGCTTCCATCTGCTGTGACCTAAGGCAGTGACTAAAATGGGTTTGGAGAAGGAATTCTTGCTTTTATTAGGGGAAGGAATGGTCATTCATTTACCTATGCATTCTAAAGGAATTTAGTGCTTAAGTATAGAATGTAGGGAACAAATTTATTTTATATCTTCATAGTTGGAGTTTAAGGTATCCTAGACCAAAAGTTCTTTATGTATTAGTAGCCCTTTCTTATAATTATGTTCTCAAAACTGAAGTAAACTGGACACTGATAATAACTAGTCTGGAAAAGAATGTAAGGTTTGTAGCTTAGGAGGCTGGATTGGGGACGATCCTCTTCTAAACCTGGGAAGGATCTTAGAAGTCCTCCAGCCCAAGTCCAGGTTATAGACAAGGCAGCTGAAACCCTGTAATACAGTAACCTGATCAAGTCACGCGGTTAGTTGAGGGAAGTTCACAAGTTGATAGAAAGTGTGCATTTTCTTTTAATTCCATTTTCCCATGAAATGTCTGAAGGTTCCTCATATAAGTGGATGTAAGTAAAAATTGAATGGTGGGAGTGGTGGGAGTAGTGATGGTATGGTTGATGTCTCTTTAGAGAATTTTAAAGCTTTGAGAGATAGGACTGAGACCAGGACAATCTCTTAGAAATAGAGGGGTGATGAGAAGTACCTTAGAATTTCTGATCGGCTAAGCCTCAGATTTGTTGCTGTGGCTGTGACTGATGTGGAGGTTCACTTGGTTATTTAATCCCTCGTGCATTGGGGACTGCGTGCATTTATTGACTGTATATTGTATTGTAGATGCTGTGCCGAATATTAGGGTTACAGATAGAAATAAGTCATGAATCTTCTGTACCACCAGAGCAGTGTAAGAGCGAATGGTTAGTTGCCATCTCTCTCTTTCAAAAGACAAGACAAAAAAATAAAATATTATCAGATTAGTGACTTACTGATTTTATAATCTACATTTTGTAACCTTTGCTGTTTATTTGCCTTACTCTTTCTAAGGAATGCAGAAAATCAGGATCTGATGATACCACTGAGCAGGCTGGATCCTGGGGTAGGGAGAGGCATGAAGCAAAAGTACCTGGGAGTCACCCTTAGGTTTTAGGCTCCGTGGAGGACACACTGCTGAGTAATCACCTGTTGCTTTCAAGAATTCTAATTCTGGCCTTTGCCAAAATGCAGAACAGTAGGTGTGGTAGGACAAGTAGGTACCTGGCGAGGTTCTGAATGAGTTTTCTTCTAACAGAGTACTGGAAACCTGCCAGGATTTCATCGAAGATTGTCCTTCACTCTGTTACTGCTTCCTCAGCTGGGACTGTTCACTGCAGAGGAATGTTGGGTCGGTGCCACACTGTCAGGTCAGGGACATGGTTTCTCCCAAAGTCAGGTCCGAAAGCAGAGTTCTTTTTCAGGTGATCATTTTCTTTGGCACTCACTTTAATCATTTGTCCTGGATATAGAAAGACATGTTTGGGGTAGGTTTGTTTTCCTGAGTTCATGAATTTAGTGGACAGAGGTGACCTTCTGTTATGAACTTTTGGGATCCCCCTTTGCTGTGCAGAATAGCTTATTTGATTTTGAGTAGTTTTGCATAATTTTAGCAATCACCTCTCCTATTTCATCTACTAGCACCAATCACTAGTCAACCCTAAAATTATTGGATACATATTATTCATTTATTCCAAAATATTTACTGAGGGCCTGTGTGCCAAACACTGTGGTAGGTGATGCTTGGTCTGCTTAGGTTAGTAAACAGAACACAAGTACTTTGCTTTCAAGAAATTTACATATTAGAAGAGGTGGCCAAACAGCAACCAATTAAATAACTGCAGGAAGAAAATAAGCAAGGTGCCATGTTAAAGAATATTGCAAGTGGGAGTTCTTTAGGTTGGTGGTCTGCTGCTTTTTTTTAATTTGAAAAAGAAACCTGTGGTAGAAATTAATACTGTTGAAAAGCAGAGTGGTATGGGTCCAGAATTAATGTAGGAGTTAAAACATTATTTTTTTTTAACTTTTATTTAATGAATATAGATTTCCAAAGTACAGCTTATGGATTACATTGGCTCCCCCCCCCGCAATGACTTCCCTCCCACCCGCAACCCTCCCCTTTCCCGCTCTCTCTTCCCTTCCATTCATATCAAGATTCATTTTCAATTTTCTTTATATACAGAAGATCAGTTTAGTATACATTAAGTAAAGATTTCAACAGTTTGCACCCACATAGAAACACAAAGTGAAAAACACTGTTTGAGTACTCGTTATAGCATTAAATCTCAATGTACAGCACATTAAGGACAGAGATCCTACATGAGGAGTAAGTGCACAGTGACTCCTGTTGTTGACTTTACAAATTGACACTCCTGTTTATGGCATCGGTAATCTCCCTATGCTCCAGTAATGAGTTTCCAAGGCTATGGAAGCCTTTTGAGTTCACCGACTCTTATCTTATTTAGACAAGGTCATAGTCAAAGTGGAAGTTCTCTCCTCCCTTCAGAGAAAGGTACCTCCTTCTTTGAAGACCTAAAACATTATTGTTAATGGAAGATGAATAGGAACTAAGGAACTAAATGTTACTCTTCATAATACATTTTAAACTACTTTATTCAATAGTTCAACTAAAATGAATGAGCTGTGATAATTAGTCTCCCCATTTGGTTAGGAAGCTGCTGAAATTGGGGCTGTAATTATCCCTTGCAGTGTAATTTGAGTTTTATGTGTTTTCCTCCTCAGGTGAAGGCCTGAATTTTGATCTATGTCCTGCCTGAATCCCGCTGCTTGAAAGTACTTGATGATCACATGACCCTGGACATGGATGCTGTCCTGTCGGATTTTGTCCGTTCCACAGGAGCAGAGCCAGGGCTGGCCCGAGATCTCCTGGAAGGTAAGAAGACATGGGGGAAAAGGAGAAAAGACAACATAGCATGTGATATTTAGTGTCAGAATAATTTGGAACATTTAGGGTGATCAAGAAGATACTGTGTGTAAGGCTTATATGTAAGTTACTTCTAACCCTCTTTGTGTGTGACCCACCATAATTCAAAAATTTACCCTTTTTTACCTTGAAATTATCAGGGTACCTTTCTGCATTCTAAGTTTGTACTTAGGTGATGCAAGTGAAAATTTGAAATAGTCTGCTGAAAGCCTAATTCTAGATCTAGGCTTCTTAATAAATAAATGACTTTGATTTCTATATTTGGGATCTTCTAGTTTTTTCCCTCCCTCCCTGTCTTTCTCCCTTCCTCCCTTCCTCCATCTCTTCCCTAACTGATATGGATACTACTGTGTTGAGTAATTAATGTTTTCATTCTGCTGCTTTTGTTTACTTATGTCTGTATATACACGTTTGATTATTCTAGATTTTAAGGTCCTAAAGGATTGGGGGCATATCTGTAGTACTCTTTTTTCTTTTCTTTTTTTTTTTTAAAGACTTATTTATTTTATGTGAAAAGCAGAGTTACAGAGAGAGATACAGACAGATAGAGATCTAACATCTGCTGGTTCACTCCCCAAATGGGCCAGGCCAAAGCCAAGAGCCAGGAGCTTCTTCCGGGTCTCCCATGTGGGTGCGGGGGCCCAAGCATTTGGGCCATTTTCCACTGTTTCCCCGCTATACCACAGTGCCAGCCCCACTATCTGTAGTATTCTTTAGTACATAATTAACAAATGCTTTTTTCTTGTTTTTGTTTTTATTCATTAAAATTATTTTTATTTATTTTTAATTTTATTTAAGGTAAACAGATTTCATGTATTTCATATATACACATTTAGGAACATAGTGGTACTTCCCACCCTACCCTCCCTCCTGCCCACATACCTACCTTTCCTCCCCCTTCCTCTCTTATGCCCTCTCTTAACAGGTGCTTTTTGATGAAGAAAATATGTGATGGCACAGACTGGCAAGCACACAGGGAAGAGGCAAGTTTGTAGCCTAACTTTTTAGATTGCCAACTCCTGTCAGGCTATGATAACTTGGCATTTGCTTAGCAACCTGTGAGAAGACCATGGGTTTGGAAACAGAAGGTCAGGGTTTAAATTCCAGCGCAGCTTTGCCCTTAATTTGGATTTTGAGTTCCTACTGCTTTTCCCCACAGTTCCTGTCACCTTTCTTCGTCACATTTGGTTATTTCCCAAATCTACAAGGTCCTCCATTATTCTCCTTATCCTTCAAGATTCAGCTCAGATACCTCCTCTCTTATAAAACAGTCCTTAAAGAAAATGAGCAAACAAACAAAACCCCAGTCCTGGGGCTGGTGCTGTGGCATAGGAGGTTAAGTCTGCCTATAATGCCAGCATCCTATATGGGTGCTTGTTTGAGTTCCTGCTGCTCCACTTCCGATTCAGCTCCCTGCTGATGGCTTGGGAAAGCAGTGGAAGATGGTCCGTGTGCTTGGATCCCTGCAGTGGAGTAGGAGACCTGGAAGACGCTCCTGGCTTTGGCCTGGCCCAGCCCTGGCCGTTGCGGCCATCTGGGGAGTGAACCAGCTGATCCCTGTTTGTCTCTCCCTCTCTCTGTCTGTAATTCTACCTCTCAAATAAGTTACTAAATTTAAAAAAAAATATATACAAACACCAACTTTTAACTATTCCCCATTCCTCTTGAATCATGTGTTGAATACCTTTAGGTATTCAGTATGTACAAGGTATTTCAGATATATTATTTTATTCACATAACCATTCTGCATTACAGGTTTTGTTATCCTAGTTTCAAAACTGAGGTTCAACAACGTTAAGTAGGATTTGAACCTAGGCCATCTGGTTTCAGAGTGTGACTCTTACCAATTCTGTTATACATCATTGGTTACACACACATGCATGCATGTATACACACACATCTGTGAAAAAGGAGGTGAGCATGCTCTGAGAGTGAAGAGAGAAGCCTGATTTCGTTCTAGAGCGCAGGAAGGACTTTGAGGAAGTGATATTTGGGCTGAACCCTGAAGGGTGAGTAGGAGTAACAAAACAATGAAACAGATGAGAGAGTGTTTATGCAGAAGAAATGGCTTTTACAAGGGCCCTATGGGAGACAGCGTTTGGCAGATTGGAGAAACTATGAGTGAACGAGGTAGGATGAGTAGTGTAAGAGTGCTGGTGATAACTAAGTAAGTTATAAAGTATATTATAAGGTGTTAGGTGCTATGGAAAATGGTAAGGGGAATTGTGAGGTGGGTCATGATTTTTGTTTGGGTTTCAGAGTAGGCCTTATTAAGAATGTGACATTCGAGCAAGTACCTGAAGCTGAGGAGGGGTTGTCTGTGTGGATAAACTGGGAAAGAGCCTTTGAGGCAGTGGAAGTACTCAGTGGAAAGGCCATAGGGTGGGAGCAGTCACAGCTTGTGGCGGTGACAAGCATAGTGAGCAAAGGGAATTGAACAGATGGAGAATATCATGATTTAAAAGTAAGATCATCAGGCATGGATAAATAGTAAGCTTAACTGGAGAATTTTAACAGTAAGAAAAATAGCAACGGTAGTAAATACATAAATAATGCTTTCTGTGTACCAAGTACTATTTTGAGTAGCTTCAACTCATTTAAACTTCATAATATTCCTAGGAGGTAAGTGTTTATTATCATCTGTGTTTTCAAAGATAAGAAAGTAAAACACAAAGAAGAGGCTAGAAAGGTAGACCAGGTCTTAGAAAGCCTTGAATGTCAGGCAATAGAGCCTGGATTTTAATAACATAGGCCATGATAAGCTCTATTAATAGCTTTTCATCACTATAACATTCACCTGAGAGAAACTACTTAAGAAGGAAGGAATTTTATTTTAGCTCATAGTTTTGGAAATTCACAGTCCAAGACTGGGTGGCCACATTGGTCTAATGTCTGATGAGGATAGTGGATGGCCTAATGTGTGCAGAGGAAGGATCACATGGTTGTTTGGGTTGCAGAGAGAGAGGCTGGGCTAAACTTGGCTTTTATAACCAACTCTTTAGTGAGAACTACATTCCAAGGGTGTGCCTCCAGTGATCTAAGGACCTCCCACTAGACCTACCTTCTAGACACCATAATTGGGTGAAGCCTACCCTCCCAGCACCATTAACTTAGGACTTTGGAGATTAAATGTCTGCATGAATTTGGGAGACAAATCATGTTCAAACTATGACAAGCCATTAATAATGATTTTGATCATGGAGCTGAAATGATAAAACCCTAGCTTTAGAAAAATCTCATGGCATTCTTTAGAGTAGATTGAAGGTGGGATGTTAGGTGATAGGAATTGAACTAAGACAATGGCAGATAGAACAGAAAAGATGTATGAATAATCATGTACTGTGTGTTTATTGAATAATTTAACTGAAGAAAGCAACAGAAAGATTATGACAAGTCCATCATTTAGAGTCATTTCTTCAGTAGAGTAGTAATCCTTAAATTTGAGGAACATACAGTTCTCTTTGATAAACTGATGGGCACAGTTAACTCGTTCACATGCCCATAACCTTGTATACAATTTCAGGTGGTTTCAGGTACTCTACAGTACACCCAGGCTAAGAATCCCTTTGGATCTCAGAATTAGGAGATGTGACTTGAGTCTTGCTATGCCTTGGGGCATACTAGCTGTGACTTTGGGCAAGTCATTTACTTCTCTAGACTTGTAAAAGGAGGATATCTTTTAGGTTACTAGGCTTCTAAGGGCCCTTATCGTTCAGAGAGAGCAAGTTTTTATCCTCAGGGAGCCTACTTAGAAAATAGACAGTAAATCAGTTGGTAAAGAAATTTGATATTTCAAATTGGAGTATTATAAAGAAAGTTGAAGCAGGATAAGAAAAAGAAGACTGGCTGCAGTGTGCATGAGTACATGCTTGCTAGTCTTGATAGGGTGGGAGAATAATCCTTCTGTGTCTTTCCCCAGTTTTCCTGTACTCTGGAGTACACAGTTTCCTTTTTGCTTTGTCTCCTTACAGGAAAGAACTGGGATGTGAGTGCTGCCCTCAGTGACTTTGAACAGCTACGACAAGTCCACGCTGGGAACCTGCTCCCATCCTTTAGTGAAGGGAGTAGTGGCTCCAGGAGCCCTGAAAAAGGGGGTTCCGATAGAGAGGCTGCTCGCCCTCCCCGACCCATCCTCCAGCGGCAGGATGACATCATTCAAGGTAGTGGGGTGACTGAGGACTGTGTATGGACTGAAGGGGGGGGGGTGGCTGCTAAATGGATGCAGAAAGTCTGTGGTCCAGTGCAGGTGTTGCTTTCCTTCCTTTCCCCTCCCCCAGGCAAGCCCAGGTCAAGGGGCCTCTGTCTGTCCAGGTGCTTGCTGGAGCCCGTTCTGCATCTTGACTCTTACCCTCTATGAAGGCCTTCTTCAGATAGTGTGACAGAAACTGAGGGAGGAGGATAGTTATCTAATTGTTGGGATAAGGTAAATAATAAAGCAAAATTAAAAGGATCACCACCGCTTACCTCTTCTTAGGGTAATCTGTTAATATTTGCAACAATTGTCTAGCAACAATGAAAAATGCGTATATACTCTGTAAGTCAGCAATTTCCTTTCTAGGAATTTATCATATATGTATATGTATGTGTGCATGTGTATATATGTGTGTATACTTCCTTTCAGTAGATAAATACATACATAAACATACACACATGCAGTGTACAAGGATATTCACTAAGGCATTATTACAGTAATTAAAGCTTGAACAGTTTTTAATGTCCTTTATTAAGAATGGTTAAATAAATAGCAGGTATCCATATTTACGAATATTCTGCAGTCGTTAGAATTAGATGGAATTTGATAATACTGACTTGGAAAAAAATCTCTGAAATCTTTTCAGAAAGGTAAAGATCCAGTACAGTGAATGTAGCATGCTCCTGTTTGTGTTTTGAAAGATGATTTTAAAAGATCTGTTTCTGTGTGCATAAAAACTTCTAGAAGGATGCAGGAGGTTGCCTCTGGGGAAGAGATGAGGGATTCTCAGTGAGAAGGAGACTTTTTTTGTACAATCATTTTATACCTTTTGATGGTATTTTGATTTTTTTAACCAAGGGCACATGGTACTTTGAAATGCTTAAAAAATATTTCTGAAAGAACATCGCTATGAAATAACTTCAGACAGTTCTTGTGTGATTTTGTACATCATCTCTGGCAAATACTGGATTGAGAATGACTACCTAATATGATTTTGAGCTCTTGCTTCCCTTTAATAATCATTATATAACTCAAGCCATACAAATGATTTACCACGGTACACTGGGCAAACTGTGATCTCAGTGTCATGTCTGCTGGGAAATTGCAAGTGCTGTGTATTCAAAACTAATGAAATCATTTGTACTGGTTTCCTCTGCAGTATATTAACAATTGCCTGTCCCTATAAATTTCTGAAAAGTATGGGTGTTAAGAAGAGTTGCAGTAGATAATATAAATATTACTATTAAGAAGAAGATAAAGAAGAAGATAGTTCCCAAATGTGCAGGATTGGTCATTAATTTTCCTTTCTATGCCAGAAATCCTTTTTATATTCTCCAAGACTCTGAGAGTTACCAGAGATCACCTGACTAAGTGTAGCTGCATGAAGCCCCATTTATTTCCCTTATCCCCTCTTCTTCCCACCACACAATGACCGGGTTTTTAAATGAATGGGCACCTTATGTTGGGAAATGGAATTATGAGGAGATGCAAAGGAATGTGAGGCAAATTCCAAGTAAGGGTAGGAGGAATGAATGTTTGGTGCCAGTGTGAGTGCCTACAAAAATACTATTTTCCAGATTTCCCCAAGTATATTTGGTTTGACAGAAAAGGGTTGTGAAATCCAGTAGCCAGATAGTCTCAGTTTTTCCCTGACTGGAAACCCTGTTGAGAGGTAGCCGCCAGACGTCAGTGGAAAGCTCTCTGAGTGGGCTGTGTGTATTCTAAGGTGACTCCATTTCTCATTGCAGAGAAACGCCTGTCTAGGGGCATCTCCCACGCCAGCTCCAGCATTGTCTCCCTGGCCCGGTCCCATGTCTCCTCCAATGGTGGGGGTGGGGGGAGCAGTGAGCACCCCCTGGAAATGCCCATCTGTGCCTTCCAGCTTCCAGATCTCACTGTGTATAATGAAGACTTCCGCAGCTTCATAGAGAGAGACCTCATTGAGCAGTCCATGCTGGTTGCCTTGGAACAGGCAGGTCAGTGAGTGCTTCCTCTCGCTTGCTTTCTCTCTACAGGCTGGCCTTGATTGGTAGCTTTTGCTCTAAGTGTGTGTGGTCTGATTGCAGTCAAAGTCAAGAGTCAATTAGATAAACATGTATTGAGCTAGGTGCTCTTTGAAATTAGAGAAAGGGTATAGATCAGATTCTTTGCTCTGGAAATTTCCTATCTGATGGAAGGGAAACCAGACATATATGTGAAAGGCCTAGGAATCAATACCTAAAAATCAATATGTGAAAAAAATATAACTAATTATAACTGGGTCCTGGTGGACAGAAAAGACTACTGCTGCAGGTAGGGCAGAGAAGTGACTAATCTAAAAGTTTATATGAAACTTGCCTTCCAGATTGATTTGTCTTTACAGTTGTGTGTGTTTTAAGCTGCCATTCAGATTAGTTAATGTGATAGAGTGAGACTGCTAGGTGTTCTAGGAAAGCTAATCAGATTAAAAAAAAGAATTCTTACGAGAGAGAGGTGGGCGGTAGGGACATGGGAAGGAAGCTTTTATTTTTCATTTTGTACCTATCTGTGTTAACCATATACATCTATTTAGAGCTTTCTAAAAATCAAAAGTCAGTGTTATCTAGGCTGGTCAATATATAGACCAGTTTTTCTTTCTGTAGACTTTTCAGTAGTCCAAGAAACTGTCTAGCATCCTTCATGAAATGTTTTCCTCATTTAAATGGTGGTTGGCAATTGTGCGATGGCTGTAGAATTGACTCATTTTCTTGGGTGTTTTATGTGCTTTGTCCTATTGTTCATATCTTAAAGTCCCACCACACAGATGCTGACATGCTGAGTCTCAGATATGCAGATGACATTCACAGGGCACCTACATGCCTTGAGTTGTTTTTGTTTTACCGATGATTTTTTTTTAAGGTTTATTTATTTATTTGAAGACAGAGTTTCAGAGAGGCAGAGGCAGAGAGCAATGGCTGGAGCTGTGCTGATCTGAAGCCAGGAACCTGGATTCTTTCCACACAGATGCAGGGGCCCAAGGACTTGGGTCATCTTTTACTGCTTTCCCAGGCCATAGCAGAGAGCTGGATCAGAAGTGGAGCAGCTGAGACTAGAACTGGCACCCATATGGGATGCCGGCACTGCATGTGGCGGCTTCACCTGCTATGCCACAGCGCTGACTCCCTGATGTTTTTATGTTGAGCTTTGTTACTATATTGTTTACTGGTCTCCTGACCAGAGTGAAGTAATCAGAGCCAGACCACACTGCCAACACAGTTTTAACCTCTGATCTTGGCCTTATCATTTAACCCAGAGGTTCCTAACCTTGACCCTGTTGACATTTTGGGCCAGAAAATTCTTTGCTGTGTAAGCCACTTTGTGTGTTATGTTATGTTTAGAAGCATCTTTGGTCTTCACTAGATGTCAGTTGCATCCCCTTACCAGTTGTGAAATAAATGTATCTCCAGACATTGTCAGATTCACTGTGGGACAAAATTGTCCCTACTTAAGACCCTCTGATCTAACCCTACATGACCACAGAGTTCTGACTGACTAGATGTAAGTGAAGAAGAAAGAAGAGTTAAGAGAGTGATGGTTTTATTCTGGGAAGCCTTCCCAGAAGAGGCTAATTTGGAATCAGTTTTAGAAATCGGGGTTGTTGTGTTTGCTGCCATCTCCAGCACCTTTTTAGAAATCGGTGTTGTGATGCAGTGGGTTAAGCAGCTGCTTGTGACACTGGTGTCCCTTATCAGAATGCTAGTTCAAGTCCTGCCGCTCTGCTTCCCATCAAGCTCCCTGGTAATGCATCTGGGAAAGCAGTGGATGAAGGCCCAAGTACTTGGCCCCTGCCGCTCACCTGGGAGAGCTGGATAGTTTCCTAGCTTGTGAGCTTGTGACCAGCCAGCTGAGCCCTGGCTATTGTGATTGCTTTGGGGGAAGCAACAGATGGAAGATCTTTCTGTCTTTCTGTCTTTCCCGCTCTTTCTTTGTCTCTCTACCTTTCAAATAAATAAATAAATCTTAAAAAAAAAAAAAAAAGGAGACGTTGAAATAGGGGGGAAGTGAGATAGTCTTCATGGATAATCTGTGCCTTCCTTTTCTCTCCCGTTACGTTTTTGCAGGGCGTTTGAACTGGTGGGTAAGTGTGGACCCCACCTGTCAGAGGCTGCTTCCTTTGGCAACTACTGGAGATGGGAACTGCCTTCTGCACGCAGCCTCTCTTGGTGAGTCTTGAAAGAAGCCCTCCGTTCCCTTGTAGAAAGGAAGCAGTTGAGTCAAATCTCACGTGTACAACTTGACCCAGCCAACCTTGATCTCAGGCAGTAGTGGTGGTGTACAGCCAGATTGACTGCATATGTGTGTGAGTGTGTGCGTGTGTGCATGTGTGTGTGAGTGTGTATGTGTGGGCACATGAGGAGAGAGCCCAGCTTTGGTTTTTCAGTCTTTTTCAGAGAGTGAGGAGGACACAGGGTTAACATGGGCATCACCCTGAGAGCTAACCCCTAGAAGCAATGAGCAGCAATGAGCAAGCAGTATAAAGCTCTGTGTGTGTGTTTCTACTTACTATTTATTATTTTGATGTATTTATTATTTTGGTGTATATTTTCTGCAGTCCTTTTTGACACTTATGTACTTTACATTTTTAAGCTGATTTGCAACTCAATATTATTTGCCCTTTAAAAACAGTTCACATTTACCAGCCAGCCCTCAAGCTTTGAAGCTGATTGCTTCAGGATTAAGGGCTTCCTGTTAAGAGCTTGTGGGATGTGGTATATTCCCCACTTTCAACCTCCAGAGTCAGAATACCCTTTTTGTCTTAATTAAGTCCTTCCTCTCTAAATCACAGTTGGAGTTTCTTTGAAAGTGGACTTCAGCCTGGTTTCCTTCCTTCCTGTGTCTGTGTATCACAGTTAATAAGTGGAGCTGAGTTGATGTAAGGGATCTTCCCACCTTGCTTTCTTGCTACAGGGATGTGGGGCTTCCACGATCGGGACTTGATGCTCCGGAAAGCTCTGTATGCACTCATGGAGAAGGGAATAGAGAAAGAAGCACTGAAAAGGCGCTGGAGATGGCAGCAGACACAGCAGAATAAAGAGGTAGGAGAGCCTGGCGGGAATCGTTTGTTCCCTAAAGCCACCTAATGCCTGGCAGAAGGAAGTATCTCCAGGGGCTTGGGGAAAGCGGAGACTTAAGGACAAGCTGTCTGACACTGTGCTTTGTACCTGCCCAGTGCTCAGTAGCCCTTAGTGGCAGTCTGCAGAATGAGATATGATAATTCCTTGAGATAGGAATTATCTTTCTCTCTTTCTCTTTCTTTCCTTTTCCTCTTCCTCCCATCCTTCCTTCCTTCCTTCCTGCTTATATTAAGGCTATACAAATATTTAAGGACTTGAATTTTCAACCCTAATAGAAATGTTAAAAGCATAAAAAATTTATGTATATGTCATTTTTGTTCATATACTCAGTTTTAGCTTATTTAAATTAAAAAAAAAATTCCTGTTAAATGGAATTTGAATGGAACTGCTCAGGGATTTGGAAAATGTTGAGGCTGCCTTTTTAAAAAAAAAAAAAGAAAAGATTTTGAGCCGGCGCTGCGGCTCACTAGGCTAATCCTCCGCCTTGCGGCACCGGCACACCAGGTTCTAGCCCCTGTCGGGGTGCCGGATTCTGACCTGGTTGCCCCTCTTCCAGGCCAGCTGTGGCCAGGGAGTGCAGCGGAGGATGGCCTAAGTACTTGGGCCCTGCACCCCATGGGAGACCAGGAGAAGTACCTGGCTCCTGCCATCGGATCAGCGCGGTGCGCCAGCCACAGCGCGCAGGCCGCGGCGGCCATTGGAGGGTGAACCAACGGCAAAGGAAGACCTTTGTCTCTGTCTCTCTCTCTCACTGTCCACTCTGCCTGTTAAAAAAAAAAAAGATTTTATGTATTTGAAAGTTAAGAGTTATAGAGAAAGAGGGAGAGATAGAGAGAGAGAGAGAGAGAGAGAGAGAGATCATCCATCTGCCGCTTCATTCCCCAGATGGCCGCAACAGCCAGGGCTGGGTCAGGCCAAAACCAGGAGCCAGGAGCTTCCCCTAGGTCTCCCATGTGGGTGGCAGGGGCCCAATCACTTGGGCCATCTTCTGTTGCTTTTCCCAATTAACATGGAAATGGAGCAGCCAGGACACGAACCAGCCAACCCATATGGGATGCTGGCGTCACAGGTTGTGGCCTAATTGTTGGTGTCATAGGTAACAGCTTTACCCACTATGCCGCAACGCTGGCCCCTAGTCTGATTTTTTTTTTTTTAAGATTTATTTATTTATTTGAAAGGCAGAGGTAGAGAAAGAGCAGAAGAGACAGAGAAAGAGAGAGATCTTCCACCTGCTGGTTCACTCCCGAAATGGCCGCAAAGGCTGGACAGGCTATCTTCCACTGCTTTTCCAGGCCATTACCAGGGAGCTGGATTGGAAGTAGAGCAGCTGAGACTTGAACCAGTGTCCATATGGGATGCTGGTGCTGCGGGTTGTGGCTTAACCGGCTGTGCCACAGCCCCGGCCCCGCTGGGTTGCTTTTAAATAAGACGATAGTAATGGGTGATTTGTACCTTGTATCTCCATAAAAGGGGATGGGCAAACTGACTGTTTTGTAAAAAACAGTTTTATTAGAACACAGCCCCTCTCACTTTGTGTATTGAGGCATGTAACTGCTTTCCTCTTTGACAGCAGAGTAGAGTGGTTACATATGGCCTGCACAGAGAAAGTTTGCCAACTCCTTCCCTTTACCAATAATATACATTCACATAAAAATGTTGGGCCTCCCTCTTTCTTTTTCCTTGGGCTCTCTGTCTGCCATGTTTGTATCTCCTGCTGTTTGTGTATATCTATTTTTTTGGCCATTATTATGGCTGGCTGTTTCTGGCATTGAATATGGGAATATTTCTGAAAAAGTTTTCTATTTCTTTTCCATCTTCTCTCTTTTCTCCTTCTGTTGTTTATCATACCTGGGAGTACTATAGTATAGTACTAAAGAACTAAGATATTTTTGGCTATTTAGAATTTTATGTCCTGAAGATTTAAAATATGTAAGTAGAGTGTGTTACTTGTTTCTCAAAAACAAAGAATCCATGTTAAGATCAGAATCCTGTCCTTGATCATCCAGTTTGCCCTAGAACACTCCCCAGAGAAATCAGCACACAGGGGCAAGATCACATAAATGACGTTCTTTATTACCCTCCAAAAGCTGGGCAAGACTTTCTGGAAAGCTGCTTTTGCCTGAGCTAAAACCAGCCTAGAATTTAGACCCCAAAGCATATTAGTAGTCGGTTTTCCTTTTCCCTCAGACCTTAGAGTTTTTCCTTCTGCCTTAGATCTGAGGCTCTGGAGACAAGAAAAAGCTATCGTTGTTATTATTTTATTTGTAAGGAGATTTTCTGACCTTTGGTTTGTTTGAGATGCAGAGAAAGAGGGACAAGATAAGGAGGGGGCTTCCATCTGTTGCTTGTTCTCCAGATACCTGCAAAGGCTTGAGTGAGAAACTCAGTCCAGGTGTCTCATGTGGGTGGCTGGGACCTGACTGCTTCGAGCCATCACTTGCTGCCTCCCAGGATCCACATTAACTGGGAGCTGGAATTGGGAGTTGGAGCTGGGACTCTGACATGGTTGTAGGACGTCCCAGTTGGCATCATGACTGCTGGGCCAAATGGCCTGCCCCTATTTTCACTGTTTTATTTTATTTTTTTAAGATTTACTTGTTTATTTGAAAATCTGAGTGATAGGGAATGAAGGAAAGAGGGACAGAGATGTTCCATCTGCTAATACACTCCCCAAATGCCTGCAACAGCTGGGGTTGGGCCAGGCCTAAGCCAGGAGCTTGGAATTCCACCTGAGATTCCCATGTGGGTGGCAGGAACCCAAGTACTTGGGCCGTCATCTGCTGCCTTCCCAGGTGCATTAGTAGGAAGCTGGATCAGAAACAGAGTAGCTAGCACTGAAACTGGTGCTCCAGTATGGAATGTGCACATGCCGAATTGCAGCTTAACCAACTGTGCCACAGTGCCTGCCTTTATAGTTATTACTTTAGATAAGAGTTAGATTATGATGATACTAAAAAATTTTTAAAAACATTATGATGATATTTAGCCAGGAGTCCCAGAAATAGCCAAATTCTGTCTTTGGTCAGTCATCCCTTCCCTCTCAAAAATTCTGGGGGAAATTTACGCATAGAGAATAGTGGCTGGTGCAGGGGCAATCGTTTGGCTCCTTTTGCTCAGCACAATGAAAGTTCCATACTGGCAATGGGACCCATATACTTGTCTTAGCCTAGACCATGCATAGCCTTATACCCTACCTTAGGAGTGGGTATGAGAACAGGAGGTGATGTTCCCAGGAGTTTCTTTTAGTTCTGTAGTACCAAACACCAGACAAATCTAGCTTTGATTTCCTGGGTCTCCTTGATTGTGTCGAAAATTTGGAAAAGCTTAACTAAAAACATTTTCTTAAAATGCTTAAGCTGGAAGTGTACACCCCCTAGTGGCTGTGTGTATTAAAACAGGAAGCAGATAATAGGTGAGAGAAAAGTATAAACAGAGCTTCCTGGATGTCTATCTGAGAGTGACCAGAGCATCCCATACATAACCCGTGCCTTGCTCTTTTTATGTTTGATCGAAATGAAACTTGTAGTAGTGTTTTAAAAATTGAAAACACTCGTAGTTTTGTCTCTTTCAAAATTATTCAAGTATTACTAACAATAGCTCTCAAAATCCTGCAAAATTTGTTCCTGATGCCCCTCTGTTTCTACTATGCTTCCTTCTATATTGTCAGTGTGCATTTAGAATCAGTAAATTCATTTTAATGCTAAAGTAATACAAAAATAAAATTAATAAGGTAAACTTTTCTCTAAATCATCACATATATCCTAAAGCCAATTATTTTTCTTTAAAATATTTATTTATTTATTTGAAAGGCAGAGTTATAGAAAGGCAGAGGCAGAGAGAAAGAGACAAGTCTTCCATCCGCTGGTTCACTCCCCAAATGCTGCAACAGCCAGAGCTGGGTCAATCCGAAGCCAGGAGCCTGGAGCTTCTTCCAGGTCTCCTATGTGGATGCAGGGGCACAAGAACTTGGGTCATCTACTGCTTTCCCAGGCCATAGCAGAGAGCTAGATCTGAAGTGGAGCAGCCAGGACTCAAATCGGTGCCCATATGCAATGCTAGCACTGTAGGTGGCAGCTTTACCTATTATGCCATGGTGCCGGCCCCCTAGCCAATGATATTTTAAAATAGTTTGTGCCACTACATGCTCTCCTTTAATAAAAAATAATTTCACTTGGCATGTATTTTTTTAAATAGGATTTCTTTTTTTAAGATTTATTTATTTATTTATGTGACAGGTAGAGTTAGACAGTGAGAGGGAGAGACAGAGAGAAAGGTCTTCCTTCCATTGGTTCATCCCCCAAATGGCCGCTCCGGTGGGAGCTACACTGATCCGAAGCCAGGAGCCAGGCGCTTCTCCCTGGTCTCCCACGCGGGTGCAGGCGCCCAAGCACTTGGACCATCATCCACTGCCCTCCCGGGCCACAGCAGAGAGCTGGACTGGAAGAGGAGCAACCAGGACTAGAACCTGGCACCCATATGGGATTTTGGCGCCGCAGGTGGAGGATTAGCCAAGTGAGCCACAGCGCCGGACCAGCATGTATTTATTAATTATTGATCACATAATATGCACTGGGTATACTGCATAAAACACAATTGTTGCCTTTACGAATAGTAGGAGAAAATGAACATAAGTACATAGTTGCAGCAAAGTGTAACAAGTATGACCTCTGTGAGAGAAGTCTGTATAGCAGTTGGGGAGGGCGGGCACAAAGAGAGGAGTGACTGATCTACCAGGGAGATTGAGGAACGACTTTCATAGACTATTGATACATGATTTCTGTCCTAAAAGTTAAGGAATTGTTGAGTGGGTGGTTAGGTTTCTGCTCCAGGCAGAAACTGGGAGATACAAAACCACGTGGTGGGTGGGCACTGGCTTCATAGTTAAGATGTTGGTGCAGATGCATGCATTGTATATTGGAGTGGCCAGGTTCCATGTGGACTCTGGCTCCTGACTCCAGCTTCCTGCTTATGCAGACCCTGAGAAGCAGCACTGATGGTATAGGTAACTGGGCTCCTGTCACCCACATGGAAGACCTGGATTACATTTCTTTTCTTTTATTTTTTTTTTAAGATTTATTTTATTTATTTGAAAGACAGGGTCACAGAGAGAGGTAGAGACAGAGAGGTCTTCCATCCTCAGATGGCTGCAACAGCTAGAGCTGGGTCAATCTGAAACCAGGAGCCTGGACTTCCTCCAGGTCTCCTACGTGGGTGCAGGGGCCCAGGGACTTGGGCCATCTTCTTCTGCTTTCCCAGGCCATAGCAGAGAGCTGGACTGGAAGAGGAGCAGCTGGGACTAGAACCAGTGCCCATATGGGATGCTGGTGCCACAGGCCCAAGGGCATTAACCTGCTGCTTCACAGCGCTGGCCCCTGGATTACATTTCTAACTCCTGGCTTTGGCCCTGGCCCAGACCTAGCCTTATGGACATTTGAGGAGTAGATGGGAGCTCTTTCTCTATCTCTGTCCCTCAAATAAATAAATGAAACTTTAAAAAGAGTGTTTTTATAGAGACAGGTGTTTACTTTGATGATCTAGAATATGAGGCAGTGTGGAGCAGGTGGCAACTTTCAATAGGCAGCTGGATATGTAAATATAAGAAATCAAAGGACATGTGGGCTGTAGAGTTAGATCTGAGTCATGAGCATATAGTTAGTAGTGAATGGGATTATTACAGCAGCAGAAGAGATCACCCTGAGGCTAAAATCATTGCCACAATACCCATATTTTTTTTGTTAGACAGAATTCAGAAAAATAGGTGGAAGTAGTGTTATGGAAGCTAAAGAAAGAGAATGTATAAACAGGCTCATTGTGGCTCAGAGAGCTAAGCTGCCACTTCCAATACTAGCATCCCATAATGGAGTTCTGGTTCGAGTCCTGGCTACTCCACTTCCAATCCAACTCCCTGCTAGTGCATCTGAGAAGCAGTGGAAGATGGCCTAAGTGCCTAGGCTCCTACCATCAATATGGGACACCTGATGTTGTTATGGGCTCTTGGCCAGGCTCTATGGCCTGGCCCTGGCTATTGTGGACATTTGAGGATTGAACCAGCAGATGGAAGATCTCTCTCCATGTCTTTCCCTCTCTATATATAACTCTGTCTTTCAAATAAAATAAATAAATCTTTAAAAAAAAAAAAACTAACAGGAAAATGAGCCACATGAAGTCTAGGAAAGATAACAAAGAGACAACTGGATTTGGCAGTTAGAAGGTCATTGCTGTTCTTTGTCAGGGTCAGTTAGGTACAGTGGTATATGAGGGGTGGGGAAGTAGGTGGAGGGCATGAATAGAATGCAGATTATAATAAGTCAGAAAATAATAGAGGATATAGAAGTGTGAGAAAGACCATAGATTATTCTTTTATGGATCTTGACTATGAGAGGGAAAAGGGATTTGACTTTGTAGTACAATTATAAACCAAGCACTAAGAGAATAGAGATTCAGAAAACAGTGAATTGGAATGAGTGTTGCCTCTTAATTGTTTGATGTCCTCTACCTGTCTTTCACACAGTCAGGGCTGGTATACACAGAGGATGAATGGCAGAAGGAATGGAATGAACTGATCAAACTTGCCTCGAGTGAACCCCGAATGCATCTGGGTGCCAATGGAGCCAACTGTGGTGGGTGAGTATGGCTAAGTCGGGGAACAGGAAATAATCATCTTGGAGTCCTTATTGGGCTCTGGAAGCTGTATTGTCTGTAGGCCCCAGTGTCTAGAGGGCTCTGTGGAAGAGGGTGTTGGAAGAAGATAGGAGCTGTGGCAAGGGTGCAGAAGTGTTTACAACATGGTGTGGTTTAGAACCACAAATAGTCCAGTATTACCAGAATGTCTAGTACAGGATATAAAATGATAGAAAAGGTGGGGAATCCACATTTTTGTATACCATGTTAAGATTTCTCTTGTACTCTGCTGAGGAGTTAGAATTGTATCCCAGCCAGGCTTTGGGAAACTGCAGGACAAGTGACCCAGTATCTTCAGGAAGTGAATGGTAAGGAAAATAAAAATGAAATGGAAACCTACAGGTTTAAAGACACTGGAGACACAGCAACCCATGGAAATATGTGGACATTTATAGGACATTTATAGGGAAATGTAAACAGCATCTACATATTTGACTATTGTTAAATTTTTAAAGTGTGACACTAATGGCATTATGGTTCTAAAAAGGAGTCATTTATTTTTTAGAAATACAAATTGAAATATATATGGGTGAAAACTATGGTGTCTAGGATTTGCTTCAAAATAATCCAGTGGGGAGGGGGTGGGAAGTGATAGGAAAACAGACTGAGGTGTAGTTGAAACAAGACTGACCATGTGTTTACAGTTGTGGGGGCTGGATGATGGATATATGAGAGTTTAGTTTAATATGCTTAAAATTTTGAAATTTTCCATAATAAAAAGTTAAAATTATAGCCTATCCAACCTTTTTGTACATAAGACTAATCTGGGAGAATTGTTTAAAATGCAGATTTCTGGACTTCTACTTCAGGAAAGTCTGGTTGAGTTGGAGTGTGGTAAGGCCCAAGAATCTATAACCAATACCATTGTTGAATAACATTACTTGGGGTTGAAGAGTGGCAGGAAGCCACTGCATTTTGAATATGAGGTGGCAGGAACAAATTTGTCTGTTTGAACACTTGAGCACCAGAACGGATAATGAAGTAGAGGGAAGTGAGACTAGAGTGAGTTGTAGAGATCTAGGAGAAAGGGCCATGGTGTGAACAGGGTGTGAACAGGGTGGTTGACTGAAGATAGGCCAGAGACACATGCAAGAGATTCCTAGGAGATAGAATTTGTAAAGGCAGTGATTAATTGAAGGTGAGAGACCAGGAACAGTAAATATTTCACATATTTCTGGTTAAGCAACTGGGTAGACAGTGATAAAGTTTTATTTATTTATTTGAGAGGTAGAGTTATAGGCAGAGAGCGGGAGAGACAGAGAGAAAGATCTTCTAGCCCCTGGTTTATTCCCCAAATCCAGAACTGAGCTGATCCAAAGCCAGGAGCCAGAAGCTTTTTCTGGGTCTTCCACGCAGGTGCAGGGACCCAGGCACTTGGGCTATCCTCCACTGCTTTCCCAGGCCATTAGCAGAGAGCTGGATCAGAAGAGGAACAGCCGGGATACCAGCCAGCTTCCATATGGGATGCAGGTGCCAGAGCGGAGACTTAGCCTACTATGTGCCAACCCTGAGGCTGTTCTTAAATAAGGGGATATAAGAATATTTTTTAGTTTTTGGCGAGGTGTAGAGAGTGTGGTGTGGGACATTTGTAATGGACAAAGTAAGCAGGATGAGGGTGAGGCTACACAGTTGTGTACTGGGCTACTGGGTAAAGAGAGTTGAGGGAGGTTGTTGAGCAGCAGGGTGATATTAAGAGATGGGGATTACTGGGGCCGTCGCTGCGTAGCAGGTTAAAGCCCTGGTCTGCAGTGCCGGCATCCCATGTGGGCACCAGTTCCAGTCCTGGCTGCTCCACTTCCCATCCAGTTCTCTGCTGTGGCCTGGGAAAGCAGTGGAAGATGGCCCAAGTCCTTGGGCCCTGCATCCACATGGGAGACCCAGAGGAAGCTCCTGGCTCCTGGCTTCAGATTGGCACAGCTCTGACCGTTGTGGCATCTGGGGAGTGAACCAGAGGATGGAAGACCTCTCTCTCTGTCTCTCCCTCTGTAACTCTACCTCTCAAGTAAATAAATGAATCTTAGAGAGAGAGAGAGAGAGAGAGATTACTTCGTTTCCTAACACAGTTTTAAACCCAGAGTCTTCAAATCTCTTTTCTTGGATTTCCCCATATGTGAAACAGAATAGGAACAGCCATGATAGTATAAAATAAGCGGCTGTGTCAGTGGCAGCCTTCACATGGGAAAACCAGGTCAGGGGACAGGTACTCCCCTCCGCTCTCCGCATGCCCCGTCTGCAGGCGTCTCGTTTGGCTGTCTTCTCTGTCCCGCTGCATCCCTTTCACTGCCCTCCTCCCTGCACCACTAGGGTGGAGAGTTCTGAGGAGCCAGTCTATGAGAGTCTGGAAGAGTTCCATGTCTTTGTCCTCGCTCATGTACTCAGGAGGCCCATCGTCGTCGTGGCAGACACCATGCTGAGGGACTCCGGAGGAGAAGGTGAGTCAGCAGGCCGTCTCCCTGCACCCCGAGCACCCTTACTTACAGACCCTGGACCAAGCAGTAGGAGGGCAGCCAAGGAGATATACAGGCCTGTGGAAGAAAAAAATCAGATATAAATTAGAACACAGCAAAATTCTCAGATTCCAAGTAAAACAGTTGCAGTTAGTTCATTGATAAGGGTTTGTAGCAAAGAATGACTGAATAAGTTGGAATGAATAGGGACTGCACTGGCAGAGTGGGGTGGAGGGATTGTCCGCCAGGCAGGCACATAGCCTTAATGATGATCTTCCTGGTTCCCTGCAGCATTTGCCCCTATTCCCTTTGGGGGAATCTATCTGCCCTTGGAGGTCCCAGCCAGCCAGTGTCACCGCTCCCCTCTGGTGCTCGCCTACGATCAGGCCCATTTCTCTGCACTCGTGTCCATGGAGCAGAAGGAGAATTCCAAGGAACAAGGTGCTGAACGCAGTGTCTGTCTGGTATCTTTTGGTCTGTGTTATTTTCACTTGGAAAAGTAGAAATGAGGCTAATGTTGGAGGAAAGAATCAGGGGACATGCAAGTCTAGACAATACATATTGACACTTTTAATAAAGATAAACCAGCTATTGTGGCTATACCAGCATTGTGGCATAGCTGGTTAAGTGGATGGAAGATCTCTCTCTCTCTCTGCCTCTTCTCCTCTCTCTGTAACTCTGCCTTTTAAATAAATAAAAAATAAATCTTAACAAAAAATAATTTCTTTAAAATAAAAAGATACACCAGAGTTTTCAAATGAAAAAAAAATTATTGGGAAAACATAGCTTATATTCCCTGTTCTAGATGGAGTAGGAACTTATGTGTTAAGGTCATTAGGACTTTCCAATGATGCTTTGCTGTATTTGTCTCTCTCTGTAACTCCAACTCTAGTTACAGAGAGATGGAAAGACAGAGAGAGAGAGAGAGAGAGAGATATCTTCCATCTGCTGGTTTACTCCCTAAATGGCTGCAATGGCTAGGGCTGGGCCAAGCTGAAGCCAGGAGCCTAGAACTCCATCCAGGTCTCCCACATGGGTGGCTGGGACCAAGCACGTGGATCATTTTCCACTGCTTTCCCAGTGCATTAGCAGGGAGCTGGATCAGAAGTGGAGCAGGGGGCACTCAAAGTACTCATGTGGGATGCCAGCGTAGCAGGTGGTGGTAACTTAACCTGCTGTGCCACTGCGCTGGCCCCTGCTGTATCTGTCTTAACTGTAGCTTTGGATTCTCTGAATACACTTGAACCAGCAAGAACATCCTGAAACTTAGTTACCTGACTGGGGAAGGAGTTATATAGACTACTGGCCTCAATTGTTTAGGATAGTCCATTGGTTTTGTTTGTGTTTTATTTATTTGGGAGGGAGAGAAAGCTGCCATTTCACTCAGGAAGTGTCCATAGTGGCATGGGCTGGGATGGGCCTTAGCTGGAAACTCAATCTAGGTCTCCCACATGGGAGGTGGGAACTCAACTACTGGAGCCATTGCTGCCCCCCAGGGTCTGCATTACAAGAAGCTGGAGTCAGGAGCCAGAGCCGGGTATCAAACTCAGGTATTCAGGTATGAAACACGGGCATCTTAACCAGTGTCCTAACTAGGCAAAACTCCCACCCCAGCCTATTAGTTTTTTTGTTTGCTTGCTTGTTTTTTAAAAAAGATTTATTTATTTATTTGAAAGGTAGAGAGTTACAGAGAGGCACAGGCAGAGAGAGAGATCTTCCATCTGCTGGTTCACCCCCCAGATGGCCACAACAGCCAGGGCTGCACCAATCCGAAGCCAGGAGCCAGGAGCTTCTTCCAGGTCTCCCATGTGGGTGCAGGGGCCCAAGGATTTGGGCCATCTTCTACTGCTTTCCCAGGCCATAGCAGAGACCTGGATGGGAAGTGGAACAGCCGGGACTTGAACTGGTGCCCATATGGGATGCTGGCACTGCAGGCAGCGGCTTTACCTGCTACGCCACAGTGCCGGCCCCAAAAATAAAGCTGCGTCCCTGGGTGGACTTGAACCATCAACCTTTTGGTTAACAGTTGAATGTGCTAACCGATTGTGCCACAAGACGTGTGGTTTCTAATGCTAGGGGTAATTTACATGGAAATGTGCACAATTAGAGACCTGTGGCATGATTTTAGTGAAGTCACTCTGTGTTCAGTTGCCTTTCTTTTTCCTCAAGAAGACTCATGGATGGCATGTTTCTTCCTTCTCAGCTGTGATCCCACTTACGGATTCAGAGCATAAACTGCTGCCCTTGCACTTTGCTGTGGACCCTGGAAAAGGCTGGGAGTGGGGCAAGGATGACAACGACAATGTCCGATTGGCCAGGTGAGGCAGGCCTAGCTCCTCTTCCATCTACTTTGTAGCTGGGGTATCCTCTGCACATGACACCTGGCTCCCGGGGAGTTTTCCTCAGCTTGCAGGGGGATAGTCGCACCCCAGCTCCAGTTTCTCTGGGAGGATGGACAGGCAGAAAATAGGTTGAGCTCCAAGACTTGCATCACGCAGCTAGCTGCATTTTGTCCTGAAAGAGAAAGGGAATGCTGGGATCTCACCTTGTTCTTGTCTTCTACAGAGAGCTTGTGCCTGCACCAGTACATCCCAGAATCCCCAAAACAGGGGTCAGAAAACCAAGATAATAAAGTCACACTTCTTACTGCCCAAGTGACAGGGATTTTACGTAGTTAATTGAAATAGTTGGCTCTAGGTTTTCACATTTCTGGAATTTAAACAGCCAGAAAAAAAAAAAAAAAAAAGGAAAGAAAACAGTTCCCTCCCAAGCACCCTCTTTCCCCCATCCTGCTTCCCGGTAGTGTGCGTAGCCTCCTCCTGCCTCCCTCCACAGCTTCCCTAGGGAGGGCATATGAATGAAATAGCTCTGCTCTTACGCTCTGACCCAGCACTTCCTTCTTTGGGCCCCTGCAACTTGGTCCTAGCTGAGTTTGATTTAAAAACCCAGTGTGATAGGTTTTTAAAAACAAGTTCTCAACAACTCATCAAAACTTCCTTCTAAAAAATATTTACAACACAATAATAGTGGCTATGGTTTAATGTTTGTTATTTTCGGATGCTGTGCTGATGCACCCTTTCCAAATACCATTTTTTGTCTTCAAAACAACCCTGCAGCATAGATACTATTATCTGTACCCATTGTCCATCCCAGATGGATTACAGGGAGGTTGAAGTGACTTGCTCGAGGTCATAAAACTCAGTGATTGGTAGAGCCACTGTTGAAGCCCAACCGTGTCTGACACCCAAGCCACATAACCCTCTTCTACCCTTCCAAGGATATTATATTGCTTTGTTTTTAGAAGGTCACAGCAGGTTTTTAAGTGTTTTTTTTTTCTTCTCCTTTCCACAGTGTAATTCTGTCCCTAGAGGTCAAATTGCATCTGTTGCATAGCTACATGAGTGTGAAGTGGATCCCACTGTCCTCCGACAGCCAGGTGAAGACTTCTCCCGCCCTGCCCCTTGGGCAGCCTCGTTTGCGGAGCCGGGAGAGCGAGGAGCTCCAGTGGCGCTCTCTTTCTGAATCTGCTGTGTGGTAGCTTGGGACTGGAGGTTAGGAAGCTGGAAGACGTCAGTGAGTTCCCAGGAGCGCTTCGTCCTGCCTTTCTGCCCGTTAGCGGCCCCTCCATTTTCTACAGTTCTTCTCCAGCCAGGTTCTGCTTTCTGGTACTAAAGCCCATTCTTTAGGACAAGTTTCCTGGCCTATTTCATGACCTTGAGATTGTTATTATTTTGTCCCAAGCCCTCTGTAGTTAGACCTTTGTTTCGGATACCAGAAGGAGATAGAATAGCCTAGAGATCCTGGTGATGTGAGTTCTGAGCTAGAACGGAAACAAGAGCAAAGAGAAACTGGCCAGCTCCAGTGCTGCGTGCACAGAAGTTGAGGGCCTCCCGTGGGCAGAGCTGGTTCCTCGAGATTAAGTTCGAGCAGCGTATGGCACAGAGAAGTTTCTAGTACAGGACATCCTGGTGTCCTGTATAAAACATTCTCCCTCCTCGGCCCAGAGCACCGTGCTCAGTGCTCTCACGGAGCAGTCAGGCTTCCCTTGCCGTGTCCTTACTACAGAGAGGGTCGCACTGTGGACGGGGAGGTGAGCGTGAGCTCCAGGAGTCGCACTGTGGACGGGGAGGTGAGCGTGAGCTCCATTGGCCTGGGAGCTTGCCGCGGAGGCCAGCACCCTCCTTCTCTGGAGCTGATAGCCGTTCCAGCTGGCTGTCACCACGGTTGTCCATATGGCAGTAGCTGTCGGGAGAGGGCCCTGGGGACTCACCCGAGCCCGGACCAACGGGATAACTGTCAGCACTGTTCTGCTCTCTTCCAGGCTCCTCTGGCCCAGCCTGAGTCCCCCACAGCCTCCGCTGGAGACGAGCCCCGCTCTACTCCTGAGTCTGGGGAATCAGACAAGGAGTCAGTTGGCAGCAGTTCAACCAGCAATGAGGGCGGCAGGCGGAAGGAGAAGGCAAAGCGGGACCGGGAGAAGGACAAGAAGAGAGCGGATTCTGTGGCTAACAAACTGGGCAGCTTCGGCAAGACCTTGGGCAGCAAGCTCAAGAAGAACATGGGCGGCCTCATGCACAGCAAGGGTTCTAAGCCTGGAGGGGCGGGAACGGGGTCAGGGGCGAGCGGTGGCACTGAGACACTGGAGAAGAAGAAGAAGAACTCACTGAAGAGCTGGAAGGGTGGCAAGGAGGAGGCGGCGGGGGATGGGCCGGCATCTGAGAAGCCCACCTCGGAGGCCGCGGGTAATGGAGGGGGCAAGTATAGCCAGGAGGTGATGCAAAGCCTGAGCATTATGAGGATTGCCATGCAAGGGGAGGGGAAGTTCATTTTTGTTGGAACCCTGAAGATGGGTCACCGCCACCAGTATCAGGAGGAGATGATCCAGCGCTACCTCTCTGATGCCGAGGAGAGATTCCTGGCAGAGCAGAAGCAGAAGGAGGCAGAGAGGAAGATCTTGAATGGAGGGCTAGGGAGTGGGCCTCCTCCAGCCAAAAAGCCAGAGCCAGACGGTGGGGAGGAGCAGCTGACTGGCCCCCCGGCAGAGGCCAAGGCTGGGGCGTTCTCTGCTGGCTACCCTGGGGGCTTCACCATCCCCAGGCCTTCTGGGGGTGGTGTCCACTGCCAGGAGCCCCGGAGGCAGTTGGCAGGGGGCCCGTGTGGGGGGGGCCTGCCGCCATATGCCACCTTCCCCAGACAGTGCCCTCCAGGGCGACCCTATCCGCACCAGGACAGCATCCCTTCCCTGGAGCCGGGCAGTCACTCCAGGGATGGAGTTCACAGGGGTGCGCTGTTACCACCCTCCTTCCGCGTGGCTGATTCCTATAGCAACGGCTACAGGGAGCCCCCTGAGCCAGATGGATGGGCTGCAGGTCCCCAGGGACTTCCCCCAACCCAGACCAAATGCAAACAACCGAACTGCAGCTTCTATGGACACCCTGAGACAAACAACTTCTGCTCCTGCTGTTACAGGGAAGAACTGAGGAGGAGGGAACGGGAACCTGCTGGGGAGCTGCTGGTGCACAGGTTCTGAGTGGGTGGAACCTTGGAGGGCAAGGGGGCTGAACAAAGAAAGTTAAGCTCAGCTGATTGGCTCATCAAGACCCAGCCTCCATGTTGAGGGGGCAAATGCAGTAACGTTTGTGGGAGCCTGGCCAGAAGCCCTTAAGTGTGTGTGCGGTTGGAGTGGTGCCAGGCTGGCAAGCGTAGGTCAGGGCTGCACGCTGCCTCGGGGGCTGCACTGTTCCTTTGCAGAGCTTGACTTGGTGGCACTGGGGTGCTCAAGGGGGGAAAGATGGTGCTTCTGTCTCTTAACCCCTTGGGTGCCACCCCATGACCAAGGGAAAGTAGCAGGGGAAGGTTTGGTGTGTGGGGGTGGGAGGTGGGCAGACGCCTGGGGGAGGAACAGGTAAAGGAGGCTCTCAGTAAATAAAAGAAAAAACAGACCAAAGTTCTTTTAGGTTGGAAAAAAGCACAAGGTGGTGGAGTTGGGAGTGTGGAGGGGAGGTGAGAAACGGGACAAATTTACTATTGATTTGGATTGAGGTAGAAGTTAAGGTGGATAACTTCTTCCTCCCGGAGGAGCTGGAAGGATGAGGCAGTCATGTGGGCCCTTGTTGGGAAGAGGGGGTAGTTGCAATCCCAGTTTACTGAGATGGGAAAAGGAGCAACTGAAAAGGGGAATCCGATTCCTCTGGAGTTTTATTTCCTTCTAGTAGTCATTTGTCAACTGTTCTAGTCTGAGAGGAAGTTGCTGACTGCCCCCTATCTTTTCCTCATTCTTTTTGAGGGCCAAGCTCAGCTAAGTTAAGACGGTGGTGATTCTTTTTTAAGAAAGACTTTAATTTTATTAAAAAAAAAGGGGGGGGGTCCCCTCTGGGAAAGAGAAGCGTGATGAGCAGAGCGACTGTGTGTTGCGTCTCTCCAGTGACTCAATGCAGAGGTGGTATTTTTTACTACTTAGCAATAACCATGAATGCACCTTGGGAGGAGTTACAGGACAGACAGACATTTGGCCAGACTGGTCCAAACCAAACCACAAACTAAACAGAGCGCTACCATCTTCTGCTGCTGTGTTTCTGTAGGAAGCAATTTATTTTATTGACTTTTTTTTTTTAAAGGAAAAGACCCAACGAGCAAAAACATTTTAAAAACTGATTTTTTTTTCCTATTTAAGTGATTCTTTCTCCTTCTTGTCTACTTTTGGAGAATGAATTTAACATCCCGGCTTCTTTTGTTAAGCCATAGTTGACCTTAATCTGTGGTTAGTTTATTAAAATAATAAGTAAAAAAAAAAACTTTGTAAGAAGAGATATTTTTGATATTAGGACTGATGTTAAAACATGGGGTGGGGGTTGGGGCAATTTATAATAAAGGTAGTTAAAGAAATATATTTTAGTGAACTATAACCACAGATCACAGTTTACTCCCAATGAGCTGATCTGTTTGGATTTCTGCCTTTCTCTGACCCAGCCCTGTTGTTCAGGGTCTGGGAGTGGGGATCTGGACACAGTAGGGCGAGCTTCTTTGCATTTTGCACAAAGCACAAGTCTGGACAGCCTGTGCTCTGGCCAGAGCCATTTCTAAGAGCTTTAAACCGGAAGACCTGTCCTGGGCCAATTTTCCTTTTTCTTTATATTTTTTTCTGGGAAAAAAAATTAACTATGCAATTGTATACACTCCTGGGTGCGCATGAAGAAGGAAAATAAGTGTACTTAAGTGTCCAGAGTGTAAATTGGGGCTATTTTTCTGCTTTTGGATTTCTCCTTTGAGGTATGTGTTAGTAACCCTCATAGCATTCCCATGGAATGTAATGCCCCACATTTGATCCAAGGCAGACATGGCAGGGGGTGTTGGAGGGTCTCTTTATTTGCATGTGTTCCTTCTGCTTGGGAAAGTTGTCGTCCTGTCTTCCCCTCAGTGACAAAGCCCACCAAGCGCTTTCTCCTCATTGGACTGCTCACAGTTTAGAAACCATCCTCCCAACAAACTTGAAAGTCACCGATTTTCCAAATCTGAGTCTGTTGATTTCATAATTTTTTATTAATTCGTAGGCTTTTATTTGAAAATAGATTGGTTTTAAGGAAGCAATGAGACTCCAAAATAAGGGAAGTGTATGTCTTGGGGCTGGACTGGAACTTAACAGTATGGGACAGGCACTCACTTAAGGTGCAAGATCTAAAGGAGTACTCGGTAATTCAGCCGAGTCCTTTTTATTAATGCAGTATTTTAAAGAGTTACTGCAAAAATCCACGTTGAACAAAATATGAAAATCTTAAATACAGAGTCTGACTAGACCAGGATGAGCGGGAAGCTGAATTGAGCTTAAGTCCTGCCTTTAAGTTTTTGATGTATTGTTCTTTGTGGATTTGTTTGCCTTAATTTGATCTTGTAAAATATTGTATTAAAATAATATGTATCTTGGTTACTGGGGTTTTTGACCCCTGTTAAATTCTGTGTGCTCATCTCGCCTTAATCCTTTCCCTGTTTTTGGGGATTGAACAAGGCTGGCAAAACCATCATCGCATGAGCCCTAACATGTCCCAAACAGGCGCTCACACCACACCCTGAGTTTGCACAACTCCCCCAGCTTCCCCGGAGGCTTATGTATCCTAGGACGCGGGCCTGGACCAATAGGAATGGAAACAGACCAAGGTTCCCACCCCCCCGCCCCCCAAAAATAAAACCAGGAAAGTTTTGATTCTCTAATTGCCTGCTGTGTTTGGATTTGATGTGTTACTAGATTTTGGTTAATACTTTTGTTTTTAAAATCTGAGGACAAATGAACAAAAACAAACTTTGTATCTTGTTTTTTTTTTTTATTTATAAATTATTCAATTCCAATTCTTTTTGCCCTCTTTTCAATGAAAAAAAAGGTGGAAATTGTAGAGGATGGTGGAAGGGTGAATATTGCTAAATTAGGGCTTTATGCTCCATAGCTTTTGCTAACTATTTATTGAGGCATTGAAAATTCTCTCCACTCTAAGGATGAGGGGCCCTGAGCCAATGGGTATTTTTGTATAGGGGATAGTGAAGTTTGTTGGGCATTATTTTTGCTGGGGTGGGGGTGGGGGTGGGGGAAAGAACAATGCCTGGGAAAGGCAGACACGCAGGACAGGATGGGTTTGTGGCCTCTGGGGAGGGTAAAGAGATAGAAGAGGCAGCACCTGCAGCTTCTCTAGGGGAGGAGGGCGTGGCTTGCCCCCAGATGAGCAAAAGTCCCTCAGTTCAGAAGGGATGTGTGAGTGAAGGGGTGGACCCTGTAACCCTTGATGAAGTATGACGTTTTCTCTCAGGCTTAAATGTAAGTGCACTTAGCTCCTTGCATCTAGGGTACCTACAGGAGATTTCCAGGGTTCTTAACTCCCCTTTTGACTTTAGACAATGCTACCCTTCCCCTTACAATCTCTGTTCCACCCACAGTGGAGTGAGTATGCTACGGGAGAAGCCTGCAGATCCCTCCCTGGTTAAAAAGTTTTTCTTTCATGCCAGTTTCGTTTGTTTGTTGTTTTTTAATAAAAAGTTTATCCAACTCCAAAAAAAATTTAAGGGGAGAATCCATTTAAAAGATTTATTTGAGGGGCCAGCATTGTGGTGTAGTGGGTAAAGCTGCTGCCTACCTTGCTGGCATCTCATATGGGCACAGGTTCGAGTCCTGGCTGCTCCACTTCTGATCCAGCTCCCTGCTAATGCACCCGAGAAAGCAGTAGAAGATGACCCAAGTGCTTGGGCCCCTCCTACCTGCTTGATAGGATGAAGCTCCTGGCTCCTGGCTTTGTCCTTGGGAGTGAACCAGCAGATGGAAGATTTCTCTCTGTCTATCCCTCTCCCTGGCACTCTACTTTTCAAATAAAATAAATCTTTTTAAAAGCTAAATTTATTTGAAAGGCAGAGTGACAGAGAGAGACCTATCTGCTGTTTACTCCCCAAATGGCCACAACAGCCAGAACAAAGATAGGAGCCCAGAACTCCATCCAGGTCTCCCACGTGGATGCAGGGGCCCACACACTTGACCCATCTTCCGCTGTTTTCCCATGCACATTAGCAGGCAGCTGGAGCAGGAGTGCAGCAGCCGGGACTCAGTCTGGTGCTGCAATATGCAGCTTGGCCTGCTGCACCACAACACTGGCCCCTGTCAAAAGTTTATTTCATAGATTCAGTCGCCTGAAGGAGTGGGGATGTGTGACACTCAGTGTGTGCGGGCCTGGGAAGCAGTATCTTCCCTCTCCTGTTGGCTCAGTTTCTTTTCAAGCAAAACTAGAGCCCACAGACCAATAAAACTTAGCAGTGGCTCAGTGCTGTGTATTTGGTTGACAATACTGAGCCCAGAAGAATGCAGCTGTTTCTGAGTGACGTCTGAACCTAGCTTTTGCCATTCCTACTCAGCCACATGTGTGAGGTTTAGTCCCATTTTTTTCTTCATAATGGAGCATTGCAGAGGTAATTGTCCTGGAATTAGTTGGGGTGCCTCTGTCCTCTTTCTCCAGGGAGGCAGCGTCCCAGACATAGCCACAGGTGAGAAGACAGAATTAGAAGCCCCTTCCTGGCCTGGAGTCACCTGCACCCCAGATTTTCCTAACATCCTTTCCCTCCAGGCCCTTCGGCTGCAGAAGCAGTGAGTCATGCAGCCTCGGTCTCTTTCCGCTTGGCAGAAAGCAGCCTGCAAATCACAGGCTGTCTTGTCCCCTACACTTAAGTTGATTAACAAAATATTTATTAGGAGGTCCCCGTGTAGACTTTCTCCATGCCACCTCCCTTCACTGGCTGCAGGCATAAAGTAGGGGAGAGCAGTGGGGAGTGGGGGTGGGAAGGACCTTGGCCTCTTTCCGTGCTTATAACTGGATGTGTGACTCATCTTGTGAGTCACTCCACCTCCCTCCTCCAGCTGCCCCGCCCAGCAGCCTGCACTCCAGACACAAACCTGCTAGCAGACCAGGATCTGCAAATGGAAAATCGGATGCAGCCCCTTGCCTCTCCACCCTTCCTTTCATCCAATAACCCCTGGGTGTATGGGTGGGTGGGGGGGGCGGTGAGAGGTCGTCTTCCTGTTACTTAACCCTCGGCTGCTGCCCCCTTTGCATTCCTGGTTAGGTGCTGATCCAGATCACCCAAATGTCTTTCTCCCTCTGATCCACCCCCTTCCCCTTCTATTTTTTCTCTGTGTTTCTCCACTCTCCCATACCAGAAATATTAAAGAATTGAATGAGGCTCTATAATGAAGGATGGTGGGGAGAAGGAAAGGCAGATAAAGGGACTTTAAAACTGTGGTGCACACCTCTTTCTCTGCTCTACGTTTTTATGAGGACAGACTTGGGGAGCATTTCCTTCCCCCAGGGGCAGGAAGCCCCTAGAAGGCAGGGAGGTGAGATGGATGTGCTCCGCAACCCTTAGCGCTTCTTGGATTGGGCTTCTGGACCCCCTTCCTAGCAGGTGTATTCCTCTTTCAGGCCAACTCCCTGTGTTGCAACGTCTTCACTATTTCCACAGTGGCAGCCAGGACAGAACTTAAAAGCTGCAGCCGGAAGGGTGTGCGTGCTGGGGGGAGGGGAGAGTTGAGGGCTACTTTGGAAAACCGGGGCGGGGGAGGGGGGGCGGCACCTAAGGGTTGCAGCCTCTGTACCGACTCAAAAACAATAAAGCAGCAGCTCTTTAACTCTTTGTATTTTGTTTCCAGTCTTTCATGCCTAAAGACAAGAGTTTTGCATTGCCACCCCCAAGTCACCCTTAGCAACAGCTGCCTCCCCTCCCTCAGCCCCTCTTTGCTTCGGGGGTTGCGGGGGGGGGGGGGGGGAGGGGGGAGGGGGCAGTTTGGCTGAGGATTGGATTCCAGCCCTCAGCGTTAAAGTCCTGAACATGAATCATTCATTTGGGGATCTCGTGTTGGAGGGGTGGAGTCACGTACCTGAAGTGGGCTCTCACTGCCAATTGGCAGGTTGGGGCGTCGGGGTTGTGATGGGCAGGGTCACGTAGGAGATCTTTGGGCCTCCTACCCGCAAGACCTGCACACAGGCATGCCTGTACTTGTGTCTGCGTGCTGCACACATTTCAGTTTCTCTCCGTCCCTCACAACACTCGTCCCGCGAGGTATGTTTCACGCTCTTCTGAGCAGGCAGAATAACTTTAACCAGCCCCCTCCCTGGTTCCTGAGCCCCCCACCCCATTACCCCAGGCAAAAATCCCCTGGGGTCCCATATCCTCGCTTGCCCTTCCCAACCACTGTGTCAGGTTTGTCCGGGGAGGCAGCACGGAGCTCTGAGCTACACTTGCGTCCCTACCCCCATAACCCCTTTTAAAAACTAGAACGCTAAGCTGCTCAGGGAAACCACCACTGAGAATCCAGAGAGGTAGCTCCACTTCTTCCAGCTGAGTAATCAGTATTCCTGCCCCCTCACAGTTTCCAACACTCCAGAACCAGAAGATAAGATCTGGGCTCGGCTAGAGAAGGGAGTCTGAGTGTTTCTCTCCCGGTTCCCCAGTTTTCCCCATCTTTTTAAGGCTCCTCCATTTCCTCTCCACTCCTCCAGAACTGTGTGTCTTCTCCTTTAAGGGGCTGGGCATCCCTCCCGGCCTCTCCAGAGTCGACCGAAGTTCCCGAGGAGCCTACTCTGGCTGGGCTGGACACACCTTTCAAAAGACCCCCAAAACTACTCCGTGCACCTCAAATGCTCCTTCCCCTCGTGCCCTCCCCCCGCCCCTCCCCCAACCCCTCTCCTCTCAACTACAGGATTCAGCCTGTCCCCAGAGGGGCTGAGCATCCTTGAGGTTTCCCACCCTTAAAGGTTCCGTACCCGGATGGAGCCAGAGAAATGTGGTGGGGGGGCAGGGGCCAGAGTTTCAACATTGCCCCCCACAAGGAGGAGCCCGAGATGGGGGTAAGGAGAAGGAATTGGGGGATGGGGCTGGCAAGAGGGTGTGGATGGGGATGAGGTAGAGGTACAAGGGGGAAGAGAGGCATCTAGACAAGGAGGAGGAGGAGGAGGAGGGTGTGTCCGTCATATCAGCTTTGGTTGATGGGGCCTGGTGTGCCCTTTTCAGTCTCAAGTTCGTGGTTCATTATCCATTAACCAGCCCCTCCCTTCACTGTCTGCCAGCCCTGGTCCTGAGCTCCCCATAGCCACCGATCTCAGTTTTCCCCCCTGAGAGTGTGTGTAGGTTTCCAAAGGAGGCTGCTGAGGTCATCCCAGACCCCAGCAGTGGAGAGGCCTGGGCATTAACCTCTACGCTTCTCAGCTCCGCGGACCCAAGTCTGACCAGGGTGGCAGGATGCCGGAGCCCAGGAGTCGTCGGCTTGGCGGTTGCCTGGCTTCTGGATGCCTCCCAGGTAATCATGCCCTCCCAATGCCTCTGACCCCCAGAGTCGCCTCCAGAATGCGCCCCAGCCAACCTAGTTTCATACCCTCACCAAAGACACCTGTGTGGTCCTCTCCCGGCTCCAAGTGCTCCTGCCTGAAGCTTGCTCTCCTCTCTGTCCTGAGCTGGTCCTTGATAGCCGCTCTGTTTCCTTGACCCTCTCACTCAGCACTTTTCTCATTTAATTATTCAATAAATACTTGAGTGTCGACTATGTGCCAGGCCCTGGTCTCGTTACAGAGCTAAAATAATACCACATCATTTCCTCATAAGCTTGCATTGTACTGCATTAGAGGAAGTTTTTTTTTCTTTGTTTAAGATTTATTTATTTTGAAAGAGTTAGGAGGGAGGGAGGGAGGGAGAGAGAGAGAGAGAACTATCTTTTATCTATTGGTTCGCCTCCCAGATGGCAGCAATGGCCAGTGCTGGGACAGGCTGAAGCCAGGAGATAGGAGCTTCATCCAGGTCTTCATCTGGGTCTCCCACATGGGTGGCAGGGGCCTGAATACTTGGGTCATCTTGCACTGCTTTCCTAGGCACATTAGCAGGGAGCTGGATCAGAAGTGGAGCAGCTGTGACTTCAATCAGTGCCCATATAAGATACCGGCATCACAGATGATGGTTTACCTGATACACTACAAAGCCAGTCCCTAGGAGAAGATTTTATTATTCCCTCTTGTCTCAGGAGTGGGTGTGTACAAGAAATGGTGATAACAGGGCTTCCTTTCTTCCCCTTTAGGGGAGCAGATCCTAGCATGGGCTCCAGGGCTGAGGAAGGGGCTGGAACCTGAATTGCCTGGCACCTTGATCTGCACCAACTTTAGGGTCACCTTCCAGCCCCATGGATGGCAGCGGAGTCAGGTGAGATGGTTAGGGCAACAGAAAGGGCACCTAGATGAGAATGGGTAGGGGAGTCCAGATGGATGTAGACAACCAGTGGGGGTTAAGGGCTGTTGTTTGAATGTTCCAGTAATGTTCAATGGGGACTATGTCTACGGGGGGCGCCCACAGAGGCAGTCGGGGGCTGCTAAGGTGGAAAGCGAGCTGATTTCAGACGTCTGTAACGTCAGCAATGTGTCTCTTCTAGGACACTCCCCTGAGCAGTGACTATGATTTTGCCCTGGTCAACATCGGGCGGTTAGAGGCTGGTGAGTCTGGAGGTTTGCTAAGGAGCTCGCTGGGGGCACCGGAAGCCCTCCTCTTCCTTGTAGCTCAGAAAACTGCCAGGGAAGGAGTGGACGGGCTGCCGTGGAGGGGGCTGGAAGAGTTCCTCCCGGAGGGACCCTGATCCGTGGTTACACTGCTTTCAGTGAGTGGCTTGTCCCGAGTCCAGCTCCTGCGTCCGGGGTCCCAGCTGAAGTTTGTCCCGGAGGAGCTTCTGATTCACGGCCGAGACTTCCGGCTGCTCAGAGTTGGTTTTGAGGCTGGAGGACTAGAGCCTCAAGCCTGGCAGGTAAGAGGCCCCTAGCCTGAGGATCCGACCTCTCCTCAGAACCTGGGGATCCTGTCCCAATACTCCCCACCGTCTGGGGTCCCTCCCATCATCCCCTCTACTGCTTTCCTCAAGGAGAGGCCAACGGGCTGCGGTAGATGGCCGTATTGGCGCGTAAGGGCCTGATTCTAGCCGGCTCTGCTGGTTACCAGCAGTGTGGTGAGGGTGGGTTTGGCCTCTGAAAAATGGGAAGGGAGAGGAGATTCTTCCCAAAATTGCTCCCAGGATGAACATTTCATGAGTCTGTGGTTCTAGATTTGTTCTCGCAATCCCAGTGCCCATGGCCTGCGGCAGCCCTTTCTCTGGCTACGTGTCCTCTGTTGGTGGCAAGGACAGTGGGGCAACACGTGGCTCCACTTCCTTCTCTCCACTTCTTCAGTCTGAGCCCGCAGGATGGGCTGCCCTTTCCTCCACAGGTGACCATGGCCATTGTCCAAGCCAGAGCTCAGAGCAGTCAAGCGCAGCAGTGTTTGGGGCTGCCACTGACCAAGGCTGGTGAGTGAGGGCGCTTTAGGGTGGGAAGTCTGACAAAGCAGAGGCTGCCTGAAGACCAAAGAGCTGAGAAGCTTCTCGGGTTCCTTTTCTTCTGTTTGGCCACCTCACACCTGCTCCAGGCCAGGGTTCTGACTCGAGAAAGCCACCTATTCCTCTCTTGGAGACATCGGAAGACTGGGAGTTTGAGCGGAAGAAGCAGGGGGCCAGAGGCTGGAGGGTGAGCACAGTCAATGAGAGGTTCGACGTAGCTACCAGGTGAGGTCCCAGTTCACCCCAACCCCTGTTGCCCTCCCAATCTCTCATGGTCCCAGATCCGATAAAGCTAGGACATCACCCTTGCCGCTAAGCCCCAGCTCCCTTGGGAATGGTCGCCCTAGAGCAGCTTTCTTTGCATGACAACGTGCCTACAAGCCACACTGCAATTTTGCACTCTCAATTTTGCAGCCTCCCCCGTTACTTCTTGGTTCCTAGCCGAGTTCTGGACAGTGAGGTCAGGAGAGCATTTGGCCACTTCCATCAGGGCCGTGGACCGGTCAGTGTGAGGGTGGGGACTGGGAGTCACAGGGGGTGGGTCAGGGGTCGATGTGGGGGGGGGGTCCCTGCAGGGTCACTGTGGGGGCAAGGGTGGCTGGGTCCAGAGGATCTCCTGCAGTGACCCTCTTTCACCCATCTGAAGCGCCTGTCCTGGCACCACCCTGGGGGCAGTGACCTTCTCCGCTGTGGAGGCTTCTACACAGCCAGTGACCCTAACAAGGAAGATATCAGGTGAGGGGAGGTGAGGGGAGGGGAGGGGACGCAGGGTTCGGTGTTCAGGGCAGACTCCTTCCCTTATTTTCTGGCTCCATGGCCTCCAGAGCAGTGGAGTCGATGCTACAGGCTGGGCATTCTGACGTCGTCCTGGTAGACGTCGTGGATGAGCTGCCTGGTCTCGCTGATGTCCAGCTCGCCCACTTGAGGCTGAGGGCCCTCTGCGTGCCTGGTAAGAATGACCTTGGACGCCTCGCCCTCACCCCTAGGTCTGCTGACCCCAGCATGCTTTGCTCTTTTGCCCACTGTGCAGGAGTAGCCGTTCAGCCCGATGATTCTTAGTTTTCTATTCAACTCCCATCTCCTCCCAGACTCACTGCTTTTCTGTCTTCTGGACCCTAACTTAGATTTTTAAATAGCTTTATTGAGATACAATGTACAGACCACAAAACTCACCCTTCACCTATCTTTAATGTACAATTCAATTTACAGTGTTGTATAATCATTACCACACTTTAAATCTTAGAAACCTCATAGCCATTCACAGTTACTTTTCATTCCAACTCTCAGCCATAGGCAACCACTACCCAAGTTATTCTGTTAAGTGTTTACTTATTTGAAAGAGTGACTGGGGGTGGGGAGAGAGAGAGAGAGAAAGAAGGGTGTCTTTATCCACTGATTCACTCCCCAAATGCTGCATAGACCAAAACCAAGAGCCTAGCACTCTTCCTGGGCCTCCCACGCTGGTGGCAGGGATTCAAGCACTTGGGTCATCATCTGCTGCCTTCCCAGGTGCATTTGCAAGAAGCTGGATCAGAAACAGAGTATCTGGGAATCAAACCAGTGCTCGGATTTGAGACGTGAGCAGTGGTTTAACCCGCTGTGCAACAACACCTGTCCCCTATCCAACTTCTTCTTCTTCTTTTTTTTTTTTTAAGATTTATTTGAGGCAGAGTTATAGAGAGGCAGAGGCAGAGACAGACAGAGACAGAGAGAGAGGTCTTCCATCCACTGGTTCACTCCCCACATGGCCGCAATGGCAGGAGCTGGGCTGCTCCGAAGCCAGGAGCCAGGAGCTTCTTCCAGTTTCCCCACAAGGGTTCAGGGGTCCAAGGACCTGGGCCATCTTCTACTGTTTTCTCAGGCCATAGCAGAGAGCTGGATCGGAAGTGGTGCAGACGGGACTCGAACCAGCACCCTTTTAACCAATTAGCCTATAGACTTGAATCCTGTTCTCATCTCTGCCCTTATCCCTCTATTCGCTATCAGATTCATCTGTAGCTGAGGACAAATGGCTGTCAGCTCTGGAGGGAACACGATGGTTGGACTATGTCAGGTACTCCCAGCTTAATCTATAATTCAACCTTTCCCAGCCTCTCATGAACTTGGACTCCTAAATGGCCTTCCATTATGTTCTCCTGGTTTCCCGAGAAGACTGTCATCTGCTAGTCCTTGGAAGAAGGGGCAGGACTTTGGAGTCTGCCTCTATTCCATTCCCCCCTCTCTTCCTCAACTTCCCCTCCAGGTCTTGTCTTCGCAAGGCCAGCGACATCTCAGTCTTAGTGACATCCAGGGTTCGTTCTGTAGTTCTTCAAGGTGAGTCCCTTGGGTCCGCCTCCTCCATTCCTTTCCTTTTTCCTTCACCCACCTGACTGGATTTGTTCCTGGAGGAAGACCACAGGGCTTCCTGTCCCCTTCTAGTGCTAGCATCTTCCGGTCACTAGGAAGTACCCATCCTTGAGTGCCACCTCTGCTGACCACTGCAGCCTGGGGACCTGAACATGGCTGTGTTCTCAGCTCCTCCGTGCCCATCCTTCCGTTAGTGCACGGGTGCACGGGGATGGGGGTTGGATTGGGAAGAGCAATGCAGAAACTGCTTTGAGAATTGTGGTTCTGTCTCCTCTGTGTAAAACTGGGTATTTCTATCCAGGGGTAGTCTACAAAATGAATCATTCCTGGTCTTTGTTTTCTCTTCACTTCTACGTGCCCTCTCAATCCTACTTTCCCCAAACTTTTCCCTCTGTGCCTCCCACTTCTTGCTGTGTCTCCTTCTCTCCTTCTCTCTTGTCCTAGTTTCCTGGGCCTCCCTTCTTTGTCCCATCCCTTCTTCCTCTTTGTCACCCAGAGCGCGGTGATCGTGATCTCAATGGCCTCCTCTCTTCACTCGTCCAGCTGCTCTCAGCCCCTGAAGCCCGAACACTGTGTGGCTTCCAATCACTAGTGCAGCGAGAGTGGGTGGCCGCTGGACACCCTTTCCTGACCCGGCTTGGGGGAACAGGGGCCAGTGAGGAGGTAAGAATCATTTGGGAGTGTTTCGGGTGTTGCAGGGGAGTATTACCAAAGAAGTAAGGGGATAAGAAAAATTACATAGTGCAGTCCACAGAAAGTGCACCTGCTCACGATGGTCCTGAGGTTAACTAAGCTTGAGGAACCGGGATGAGTGAAGCTCCCAACACCCTACGCCCTCAGTTCATATTGTCATCCCTTCACCTCCATAATGCCTCTCATGTCCTGTGTCCCCCAGGCCCATCATTTGTCATCCTCCCTCCTTGGGTCTCTGCCACCCTTCCAACCTCTTGCCTTCCCTTCCCAGGCGCCGGTGTTCCTCCTGTTCCTAGACTGTGTCTGGCAGCTCCTCCAGCAGTTTCCAGCTGAGTTTGAATTCTCTGAGTTTTTCCTTCTTGCTCTTCATGACAGTGTCAGGGTTCCTGACACCCTTACTTTTCTGAGGAATACTCCCTGGGAGCGTGGAAAGCAGAGCGGACAGGTCAGCGACCTCTATATTTTTGACTGGTCATTTGTTCTCATTGAGAAGAGCTGTGTGAAGTTCAGTCTTGATCTGTTTTATGAGAAGTGCGGTCCATGGGTGGGGAGGGGAGGTCATGCTTGCTCTCAGGACTAGGTTTTGCCCTCCATCTGATTCCTGGAGTAAGAGGGGAGAGTTTCATAATGTCTAGATTCAGGAAGAGGATTATATTACTCTATGTAACCATCCTTTTTCCTGCTTCCTCGGTCCAGTTCAGTTCCTACACACAAGTCTATACCCCAGGGTACTCCCACCCCCCAGCTGGGAATTCCATTAACCTGCAGCTGTCTGTCTGGGACTGGGATTTACGCTACAGTAATGAACAGATACTACAATTCCATAATCCTGGCTATAACCCAGAACACGGCCCAGATGCCTGGCTTCCGAGACAGCAGGTGAGGCATCTGACTTCTTCAACTCCCTTGACTTTCTCCACAGGCTTATGCTACTAGATGCAGAGAGACATAATGTCTGAGTTCCTCCCGGGAAGCCTCCCCACTTCTCTTCTGCAGCTGTCAGTCTCTGACTTTCCCCAGGAAGACACAAGTCCTAGGACAGAATAGAGGCTTATACTTTTGTCTTTCTCATTCCTGTTTCTCAGTCTTCCTGTTTCACACATACATTTTACAAGTTGCCCTAAAATCAACTTTCATCGGTCCCGAGCCCTAGTTGCAGCCTGATGAGGACAGTTCTGAGCGCAGGCCTGGGTTTCTGGTTGCCAGTGCAAGTGTAGATAGGAGTCCCATGCCCTTCCTAACACAGACTGGGGACACTGAGCTTGTCTGGTTTCTCAATTGCCAGTTGATTTCCCTTTCCCATTTAGCCAAGCTTCCTGGTTCCTGGCCCTCCCAGTTCTGTGTGGCTGTTCTCTAAAGGGGCCCTGACCCCTCTACACCAGCTCTGTCCGTGGCGGGAGAGTCCCTCTCTGCTGGCGGTCTCTTCTCGTTGGCTACCCCGGATGGCTGTCTCCTCTGAAAGCCTGGCTGACCAAGAGTGGGGGCTCCCTTCACACTGGGGAGCTTGCCCTTTACCTCCAGGGCTGCTGCTGCCTGGGTATCTGGGACCTCAGATCAGGCTCTGGAGACGCTGCTACCTGAGGGGACGGCCCGAGGTCCAGGTGAGTAAAGAAGACAGGGACTGGGAGTGGGGGAAGGGGCTTGACAGCTGAACCAGATGAACAGAGCTGGGAAGGCAAGGGGCTGGGCGGGCTGGGAAATGAAGTACCGTTAGAGGAAACTGCTAGAAGCTTACATTAAGTGGAATTTAGGGCAGAGTTGGGAGGGGAAAGACAATTAGGCACCACAAGTAGCGGGCAGATCTTAGAAGCAGGGGTCTAGAGCTGCAATGACATTTCTCTCTGTCCCTATTGGCACCCTTCCCAGATGGGCCTCTCAGCTCTCACAGTCTCTGGCCTCCAGGATGAACTATCCCATCTTCAGGAACTATTAAGGAAGTGGACACCAAGAGCGTTTCCTGGTGATCACTCCAAGAAAAGAGATCCAAGTACCATTCTCTCTCATTCCTGCTGAAATTGCTGGCATTCTCAAAGAGCAGCGGGGGATCTGGGTTGAGGGAGAGTCCTAATACTGCAGTGTTTTGTATATGGCCTTGTTGCCTCAGCTTTCACACTCCAGCTCTTAAGCAAACTCACTTAGAATTGAGTTTGTTGTGGACGGTGGTGCTAATCTTTAATTCTTGTCCTTTTATTTGGTTCCTGAAGCTGTTGTTTCCTGGGAGTTGAAGAATTAAGAAACAAAACAATCCACAATGTAATTGCTTTATAGATAGCCAGCTATTTAAGTTGTGACACCAGAGACGCTGTTCACCAGTTCCAACAGTATGGCCTAAAGACCTCATTCTCGCCCCTTCTTGCTGCCTATTTAATTCCAATTTCTGTTTCTTCCTGTATAGTTTCTTTTGGAAACAAAGTGGATATGAAACACACCCTCTCTTCCAACTGTACATTTTTGTAGTGGCATTTCTATTTAAGTTCATTAAAGCACAATATTTATACACATTGCTGGCACTGATTCTTGGATTTGAATGAAGGATCCTAGATAGCAAAGACTTGAGAAAAGGTCCCCATCCTATGATTTCTAAGAAAGGAATGGATTTGGACCACGTGAGGCTCTGAATTTTCATCTCCCATTTAGAGGCAGACAGCCAAGAGCATATTATGACGTTGCTGGGGCCAGAAAGTGCTCTTGGAGTTGCAGCTCTCGTCATACTCCATCCGGGGAGCCTCAGATTCTGCTCAAACTCCGGCTCAGACATTACCTCGAGCCAGCCAGAGGCATGAGGCCAAAACTAAGACGCTTGTGGAGCAGAGTCCTTAGGTTGAGGGGTCCCTGAGAACCTTTTCCTTTGGGTGACAAAAGGATCAGCTGGCTACAAAATACACGAAGAGTTACTATTTTTAGCTTGAAAGAGAGGAACAGACAACTTCCATCCGCTGGTTCACTCCCCCAAATGCCTCTAACAGTCGGGGCCATGCCAGACGCAGACCGGGAGCGGGGAACAATCCAGGTCTCCGACATGGGTGGCAGGGACCAAACTTGGGGTTTCTGCTGCCTCCCAAGGTGTGCATTTACAGGAAGCTCGAGTCGGGGGAAACCGGGGCTCGGACCCTGTAATTCTTGACTGAGGATGCTGTGGCTTAACCGCTGTGCCAAACGCCCGCACCGGTGGGAGACGTCTGGCACTGCTTTCAGAGGGCCTGCGCTTTCCTGCCCCGCCCTCCTCGCTACGACCGCTCGCCCCGGAACCTCGGCGCAAATCCAAACGCCTCTGAACCGGGACGCCACAGCACCGTCAAGTCCCGCGGGATCCTAAGATGGCCGCAGCCGCTTCCGGCCCCGCCCCCGTCCGGGCCCCGCCCAGCGTCACGTAAGTCTTCGCCCCGGAAGTGGAAGTAGTGACCGCGGCCAGAGGGCGGAGCCGCTGCTTGGAGGCGGCGGGATTCTTTTCGCCATGGCTGCCGGGCCGATCTCCGAGCGGAACCAGGGTGACTGGGCGGGGAGACGAGTCCGGAATGGGCCCGGGAGGGTGGGAAGCCCCAGCTAAGGCCAGTAGCGTCTCCAAGGCGGGAAACTGGACCCCCGTCCCCCGGAGGGCGCGAGACTCGCTTCCGTGGCTGGTGCGGGCGGGTTGGCCGGGTGCAGGCTGAGGCCTGGACGTGTGATGTTTCGTGCAGTCCCCCTGCTGCCTTTTCTGAGTGGGACGGAATTTGCAGCAGACACTAAAGTGAACTTCAGAAGGGGCTCTAGGTCCTGCGAAGAGGACGATTTAGGGCTTATTTGGATGCTTTCCACCTCCCCCTTTTCGCTTCTGTCCCCCATCCCCGCCTGCAGTTCCTCTAACTGGGTTCCATCTTTATGTCCCGGTCAGCTCCTTTCCTGTCATATTCGTCCCCATCCTAAATTCCTGCATCCTCCCTCCAGATGCTACTGTGTACGTGGGGGGCCTGGACGAGAAGGTTAGCGAACCTCTGCTGTGGGAGCTCTTCCTGCAGGCAGGACCGGTGGTCAACACTCACATGCCGAAGGACAGAGTCACTGGCCAGCACCAAGGTGAGTCCGCGCCAAGAGGCCACTTTATGTATCTGACAGCTGCTCCTGAGGGTCCCAGCGGTATTTATACTTGTTTCAGAATGAGCGACCAGAAGATTGCTTCCTCTTCTTTTCTCTTTTTTAAAGATTTATCTATTTACTTGGGAGGCAGAGTTACAGACAGAGAGAGGGAGAGACAGAGAGAGGCCTTCCATCCACTGATTCACTCCCCAAATGGCCGCACTGGCCGGAGCTGGGCCAGTCTGAAGCCAGGAGCTTCTTCAGGTCTCCCACCCTGGTGCAGAGACCCAGAGACTTGGGCCATCTTCTCCTGCTTTCCCAGGCCATCAGCAGGGAGCTGGATCAGAAGTAGGGTAGCTGGGACTTGAGCTGGCGCCCATATGGGATGCTGGTGCTGCAGGCAGATGCCCAACCCACTGTGCCTCAGCACCGGCCCCAGATTGCTTTCTCTTAATCCTCAGTTCACAGTTTGTTTCTAAAATCATTTTCTTGTTCTTTGTGATTGGAGGGTGGGTGAGTTTTACCCAGTTTCGGGTATCTTCGCTCTAGTTGCTAATCTCCTCTCTGCCTGCTTAGGCTATGGCTTTGTGGAATTCTTGAGTGAAGAAGATGCTGACTATGCCATTAAGATCATGAACATGATCAAACTCTATGGGAAGCCAATACGAGTGAACAAGGCATCAGCTCACAACAAAAACCTGGATGTCGGGGCCAACATTTTCATCGGGAACCTGGACCCGGAGATTGACGAGAAGCTGCTTTACGATACTTTTAGCGCCTTTGGGGTCATCTTACAAACCCCCAAGATCATGCGGGACCCTGACACAGGCAACTCCAAAGGTTATGCCTTTATTAATTTTGCTTCATTTGATGCCTCGGATGCAGCAATTGAGGCCATGAATGGGCAGTACCTCTGTAACCGCCCCATCACCGTGTCTTATGCCTTCAAGAAGGACTCCAAGGGTGAGCGCCATGGCTCCGCAGCTGAACGACTTCTGGCAGCCCAGAACCCACTCTCCCAGGCTGATCGCCCACATCAGCTGTTTGCAGATGCACCCCCTCCACCCTCTGCTCCCAACCCTGTGGTATCATCACTGGGGTCTGGGCTTCCTCCACCAGGTAAAGCTTTTGGTTCGCAAATACGTTTGTCTTGGGGCTGCAGTGAGGAGAACAAAGAACCTGGAAAGGGAAGATCTCCTGAGTCAGTGGGTGATGAGAAGGGAGTTAGGAGGTGGTGGGTGGGAGGGGTGTGAAGAACTCTGTCGGGCTTCTCCAGGGAGGTAGGATTATTTGAGTAGTGCAACATGGCTTGTGACCTTAGAGCACTGGGAGGAGGGGGCAAGAACTCACCCTGCATAGACAGGTCAAACTGGGACAGGTTCTTTAAAGGCATTCTTTGCCCACCGCCATTAATCCTTCTTCTGATTTCTATATAGGCATGCCTCCTCCTGGCTCTTTCCCACCCCCAGTGCCGCCTCCTGGAGCCCTCCCACCTGGAATACCTCCAGCCATGCCCCCCCCACCAATGCCTCCTGGGGCTGGAGGACATGGCCCTCCATCAGCAGGCACCCCGGGGGCTGGACATCCTGGTCATGGACACTCACATCCTCACCCCTTCCCACCAGGTGGCATGCCCCATCCAGGTAGGTGTTCTTGGCTGGGAAAGGGAGGGATGTGCGTGAACGAACAAAATGCTCTCTTTAGTTTACTACTTACCACCTGTCCTGTTGTGTAAGTCTTTCTGCAGAGTAGCCTATACTTGCTGTTTGTTTGTTCCCTGTTGTTTCCCTTCTCTCTGACTCAACCCCAGAGCAGTGGTCTAGGGGATACTTCGACTTCTTAGATGGTTTGCCCTCTGCTGTATTTGAAACTAGCTGTGTACTCCTGTTTGAAATTCTTGTCTGTTTTTTTCATCTGTTTTTTGGATTCTCCACCTGACACCTCAGTTTCAGTCAATTTGATAAACTGATTTTTCTCTGGGTCTAGATTAAGTATACACTGATGTCTCCTAGTCTGTATCTCTAGTTCATGATTATTAACAATCTAAATCCATAATCCTGTTGCTCAGTGGACAGATCCACTTTTGTACCTCTCCCCTTCAGACCTTTCTCTTTTTAAAAAAATACGTGTAGGGGCCAGCGCTGTGGCACAGCAGGTTAACACCCTGGCCTGAAGCTCCGGCATCCCATATAGGTGCTGGTTCTAGTCCCGGCTGCTCCTCTTCCAATACAGCTCTCTGCTATGGCCTGGGAAAGCAGTGGAAGATGGCCCAAGTCCTTGGGCTCTTGTACCCGCGTGGGAGACCCGGAGGAGGCTCCTGGCTCCTGGCTTCGGATCGGCACAGCTCTGGCCATTGCAGCCTATTGAGGAGTGAACCATCAGATGGAAGACCTTTCTCTTTCTCTGCCTCTTTTCTCTCTGTGAATAAAAAGAAAAAAAAGAAAAAAAAAAACAAAAAAAACCTAGGGAGTCCAAATGGATTGTGCGCTCACCTTTGCCTCTCTACTGAGCCGCCCTCCTGGCCTGCCCAGGTGTAATTCTCTCTTTTCAACCTTGTAACCTCGCTCTCCCCCAGTTTCAGCGACTGGGCACTCTGTCTCTTCCGTTCAAAAAAAATTTCTTTATGTAATTATTTATTTGAAAGGCAGAGTTACAAAGAAGATGAGACAGAGAAAGAGAGCTTCCATCTACTAGTTCAAATGGCTGCAATGGCCAGGGCTGGATCAGGCCAAAACCAGGAGCCAGGAACTCCATTTGTGTCTCCCATGTGGGTGAGCAAGGACCCAAGTACTTGGACCATCGTCTGCAGCTTTCCCGGGCTCACTAGCAGGGATCTGAAGTGGAGCAGTCAGAACTTGAGCCTTTGCTCCATGTGGGATGCTGGAGTTACCAGCAGCTGCTTGACTTGCTGTGCCACAGTGCGGGGCCCTCCCCCTTCAAACCTATTCTATAAGTCTTCCGTATTTTTCAGGTGCATAATTCATGAGTCTAGGGCTGTGTTTGATTATTCCCTGTCACCTCACTTCCTGCTTTTAAATATTAATTTTATTTATTTGAAAGGCAGAACTACAGAGAAATCAATCTTCATCTGCTGGTTTACTCCCCAAATGGCTGCAACGTCCTGGGCTGTGCCAGGCCAAAGCCAGGAGCCAGAAGCTTCATCTGGGTCTCAAACTGGCGCCCATAAGGATGCCAGCATTGTAGACAGCACTTAACCTGCTGTGCCACAGCACTGCGCCCTCGCCTCACTTGTCATACGAACTCTTAGACTTGTGGTATCTGCCTCCCCTGCCAGTGCCCTAGTGCAAGCTCTTAGTCCCTTGTTATTTCACACTTAACTGTGCTGATCTCTTGCCACTTTGATTACAGTGTTGTCCTGAATCTATTTTCCCAGATGTTTTTCCGCCAGGTATTCAGATACCCTTTCTCAAAATTCTGTTGTGCCCTTCTACCTGCAGAGTAAAGCTTCCCCACACACTCAGTACCGTGGCTTTCAGGGCGTTTCCTGATCTGGTCCTGCCATCACCCCCATAGCCACTGCTCCAGATTATTGCTGAGTTACTGGTATTTGCCGAGACGAGACGTCTGTGCTCTTTGACACGCCTGTGATTCTCAAATGCTCACCTTTCTGCCTTGGACAGTTTGTTTCCATGTTCTCATCCTCCTGAAACATTCTGTCCTTTAGGTGGCTGTTGGGGCAGCCTGTCCTGTCAGTGGAGTAATCCCTCCAGTGGTTACACACTTGTGCATTACTATTCCAGTGCCTGGGTCATTGAGGAACCATGACGTGCGGTGGTTTGTCCTGTTGGGGTGGGAGCAGGGACAGGAGCACCTTGGATTTTCTAGCCCCTTCTCTTCCTGATGTCATTTTCTTTCTCATGTTGCTCTCTTCTCCATCTTTGTTCTCTTCCTGATTTTCCCCTTGTCTCTTATTTTCACAGGGATGTCTCAGATGCAGCTGGCCCACCATGGCCCTCATGGCTTAGGACACCCCCATGCTGGGCCCCCAGGCTCTGGGGGACAGCCACCACCACGCCCACCTCCTGGAATGCCTCATCCTGGACCTCCTCCAATGGGCATGCCCCCCAGAGGACCTCCGTTTGGATCTCCCATGGGTGAGTGGGCTGTAGCCTCCTCCTGTCTGCATATGTATCATTCTCACAGCTTTCTTTGTCAGCTTTCCCATGCCTGTTCTTTTCTTTCTCACGTTTCTTTAAGTCACTTTTTCCTCTTCCCACAGGTCTTCCAACATCAACTGTCTCCTGTAACTCACTGCTACTAATTTCTGTTTCCCTTTTTGCAGGTCACCCAGGCCCTATGCCTCCACATGGTATGCGAGGACCCCCTCCACTGATGCCGCCTCATGGGTACACTGGTCCTCCACGGCCCCCGCCCTATGGCTACCAGCGGGGCCCCCTTCCTCCACCCAGACCCACTCCCCGGCCTCCAGTTCCCCCTCGAGGCCCACTTCGGGGCCCTCTTCCTCAATAAACTCCAATTCTCCTTCCTATTATTTTCAGCTGAAGTTTTTTCGATTCCTTGGACCAATCAGAGTTGCTGTAGCTAGCTTCTCTGAGCTCTCCATTTTTAATGTAATTTTTCCCCACAAGATTTTTCCTTTTTTATGTTGGTCCTAAGTGTTTTGCAAATGCACATGGAAAATAAAACTGTACTTGTTTATTCTTTGTGGTGTTATCCTTGGCAAAGTAACTTTTCTCTTTTTCTCCAAGAAGTGTCGGGTCTTGTGAGAGAAATGGTAAGGATTCTGTGATGTGCCGTTGGAATAGCTGGTCTCTGAGGTGCCCTGGAGTGGCTATTTCCTTGCATAGAGCTTATCTCTAGTTTATCCCATGGGGTCCCAGTATCTCGAACATAAGAGTATTATAGTAAGATGAGAAAAGAAGTAAGATGCCTAGAGATAGGCTGGCATAAATAGCAAGTAGAATGCACAAAGCTGTTCATTGTAACTCTCTTTGTGGTAAGAGGAGATTGGTAACACCTCACATATCCATCTGGTTTGACAAATAACAACACTGCCTGGTGTTGGAGGCAGGCTGAGGTCGGAGCTGGTTCGGATCATAGCTTTTCAACTCCTCCACAGTGAGGTACAGAACCATTGGAAACATCGAGGTAAAGGAGGAGAGCACTTGGGGCTGCAGGTTCTTGGCTCGGAATTCCAGCTGCTCTAGCTTGACGTGCTAAGTAGATATTCAGGCAGTGGTGTTGAGAAGGTAGACAGCGATTCTGAGGGCGGGCTTGATGGGGAGGTCTGGACTGGAGGGAAATGTGGGGAGCATGTGTTTAAATAGCATGCTCGTAGGACTGCCTGAGCGGAGCGAGAGAGTAGGTGAGAAGGGTCACAACTAAGCCCCTAGGGCCTCTTCAGTGGGCCCAGGTAAGGGGGCTGTGGCGCCTGAGGAAAATGATTATCTTCCCCCAGAACTTAAAAGTGCTTCTTCCAAGAGTACAAGATTTCTATTTTAGCAAGTAATGAATCAATAACGGGGAGTAGCGAAGTCCCCTGGAAGAGGAGAAATGGCTCCCTCCTTGCAGGACTTGGCTATAACCTAATTGCAATATTAACATTTAAATAAAGAATGTATCAACCTCAAGGGCCAGCAAGGAAAGCCTAGTAAAGGCAGAGTCCCTGAGGCCCAGTGGGCAGAGCCATTGCAAGTACCAAGTACCACCCTGGAAAGCGCGCTTTAGCCATAATTTTATAGAGGTCCAGGAGCATTGGCAAGGCTGCCTGCAGCACGGAGGTGAGGATATAGAGTTGTTGCCAGGAAGTTTTCTGGACCCGTTGGCATTTGGGGATTGTGGGGAAATTAGGCACACGAGGCAATTCAAAGGTGGGCAGTATCCAAAGTCGAGAAGGTAGACAGCGATTCTGAGGGCGGGCTTGATGGGGAGGTCTGGACTGGAGTCGTTTACCACCAAAGCTGATTGGCCGTGCAGCATCATGGGAGGTGACGACAACTGATGACCAGTGTACAGACATATGGGTGGTCCTGTAAAAAGTCGCCCTGTAAAATGACTTTTTAAGTAATTGGTTGGTCCTTATGCCCTGCCCCAGTAATCCTGCGGTCTTGTTTTAAAAGGCATTGCTACGCATGCAATAAATGAGTTCTTGCTTACTTGACTTGACTCCCTGCTGCGTCTGACTGACCCCGGGATGGGGGGGTAGGGCTGGGGAACCGGCGAGCGGCACACTTAGCTTTCTTCGGACCCAGTCCATCCTTGTTTGGGTGGACTAAGACCCTGCAGGGGATGGCGAGATGCCATTAAAGATACAGATACTCCAGTTCTGTCGTCGGGGCATTTATACATTGACATTGTCATTCTGATTTGGCTTCAAGGAGAAAAGACACATAGACATGAATTTTCAGTCTGGTTGACAGTAAAATTTTCATGGTGGGCTAATCCATGTTGTGGCTTTACATTTTAGTAAATGGTGAATTTTGTTCGCACACATGAGTATTTCCGAGACCCAGCTTTGGAGCCTATAAAACGTAGGCCTGCATCTCTCTCAGTGGTAAATTCAACATGGCAGATGCCCCCCGTGAGATCCCTTGGGACACAGCCTGTGAACCTTTTCCACGTCATATATCCCAGCACTCTGAAACTTCCGCATGGAATGAGGATCACATACTGTTAGATGTGAAAAGGATCGGATGAAGCATCCAGCCCAACCTCTCCACTTCCCAGATAAGAAAACTGAGTTTCGCAGAAGTTAGAGAGCTTGGAACCGGTGCATTTGGCACAAGGGTTAAGCCACCACTTGGGATGTGTGCATCCCATATTGGGATGCCTGGTTGAGTCCCAGCTACTTGACTTGTAATCCAGTTTCCAGCTAATGTGCACTGTGGGAGGCAACAGATGATGGCTCAAGTACTTGGGTCACCCATGTGGGAGACCCAGATTGAGTTCTAGGCTCCTGGCTTTGGCCTGGCTGAGCCCTAGATGTTGACAGGCGTTTGGAGAGTGAACCAGCAGATGGGAGACCCCCCCCCCCCTTTCCTTCTCTGTCCTTATGTTTTTCAAATAAAATGAAAAATACATTTTTAAAAATTAAAATGATATAAACTAAAAAGCTATAGGAAAAAAAAAAAGTAGAGAACTTGACCAAGAGCTGACAGCTTGTTAGAAGTGAGAACCCAGGTCAGGCCAGCCTATGCCAAGGCCCTGCCTGCAATAGGCTCGCTCAGGATGTACAGCCCCAAACCACCCCTGTAGCCTCTCATTGTCCCCGGAGTAGCCGTGGTCCCCCAGTGTCACCAAGTAGTATGTCCAGTTTATTGGTACAGGGACAAAGGAAAGATAGAACTGAAACCAATTCACGCCTGTCTGCCTGCAAGTGGGTGGCGGGGGGGGGGGGGGGGGGAATTAAAATGAAAATGAAAGTGAAAAATAGAGAGGGCGGGGTTTTATGGAAGGAGGGGGGGAAGAAAAAAGGGAAAAGGCTTTGTGGGGGCCCCCGTTTTACTGCTTTAGGCCATATAGGGTAGGGGTTTCATTTCCCCATCTGCAAAAAGCCCCTTCGCTTCTGCAGTCCCCATCCCTGCTGCACCCAGTGCCCGGAGGAGCGGGCTGAAGGAGAGCTGGCAGGGCTCCAGCAGGCTTGGCCTCCGGCTGTGCGCGATGAAAGCCACACCTTGTTAGCCCCGCCATCTCCTAAACACCCAGGTAAAGGTGGAGCACTCTCCTTAGGGGAGGAGGCTGTGGGAAAGGGGTTTGCCTAGGAGCCGTGGAGCCCGTGGAAGGCGGGCGTTTTGCAGAGAGCAAGAGCCCCTGACCCTCGTGGGTTCTGCCACACTGGGTCGGGGGTGCCCAGGAAGGGGCTGCCTTCTCCCCCACCTCCCTGTCTGTGCGCTCCTCTTGTTGGCGTCACGATTTCTGTCTTTCCTTACTTCAGGGTTGACTGGGAAGGGGCTGCGAAGGGCTGTTGGGCATTTTCTGCTGTAGCCGCGACAGTCTCCTCTAGCCCCTCATCTTTCTCCACGGTGCCCTGGGTCCCTCCATCCTCTTTGCTTCGCCCCCCCAACAATGGTCTCTCCCGCCGCTCAGTGGCGCGGGGAGGGGGGGGGCGCGGAGGCGGGGCCGGGGGTGGGGGCAGGTCTGCATTGCCGCTTCCCCCGGTGCCCGAGCAGTCGCCGCTGCCGCCTCAGCCCGCCGCCCGGACCCCCGCCCTCTCCCGGGACCAGCTGGCCGGGGTAGCCCAGCCCAGGTGAGACCCTGCTCGCAGCCTCTCATCTCCACCCCGCCCTGCCAGAAGCATCCTTGCCTTGCCTTGCAGCCATTTTACCCTCGGATGCTTTGCTAACGGGGAGGGTGACAGTCCCCGCTCCAAGGGTGGGGTGGGGGGTGGTTTGAAGGTAGACGTTTATTTCAGAGGTTGGGCTGTTCAGGATAGAAAAACGTATGCGTATATGTGTACATTTATTATGTGTGCATATATATGGCGAAATGGGAGGAAGGGGTATATTTTTTCTCCATTCGCCAAGTCCCTACCTCCTCTGAAGATAAGTGAGGTGGGGGGGTTGTTAGGTGGGGTGGGGTTCCCTCAAACTCCAGTTCCCCCCTCATCTCATCCTCCCCTCTTTCTGCCCCCAGCCATGAATGAGAAATGACCTTGGCTGGGGCCAGGGAATGGATGCTGCCTTGGTCAGCTGGCCTGGACCAGGCTGGGTGGGGGCATGGAGGGAAGGGGGCCGAAGAAAGCCCCACTGGGGGGGGCAGAGATGGAACAGACCAGGTGTTGGGGGCACGGATGGGGTGGGGGAGGGGGGTTGAGTGACAGTGGGCACTTGTCCAGAGCAGCCCCAGGGTGCACAGGTGCTCAGAGGAGCAATTCTGTGGGTTATAGGGGCTCATCCTTTGTACCAGAGCTGAGGAGATGGGCGCAGTGGGGGTGGGGTGGGGGGTCAGCGCAGAGGCTGTGTCTGTGCCCCTGCCCGGGGAGGGGGGGGTCTCCCGCATCCCTGCCCCTCTGCCTGCCTCCCCGTGTGCATTCCTCCTGTGCTTTCTCAGCTGACACCTTCATTTTTTTTCTCTCAGGCTGTGGATGCTCCCCTTTTCCTAGCCCCTGGGGTAGGCTGTGGGCAAGAGAGACGCAGTCTTGTTCTTTGGGTAGGGGCTGAAGCCCAGTCACCCAGTTGCAGTTGGGAGGGGGCTCCAGCACCTTCTACCCCCCCCCCCCCATGCCACCCTTGCATTTGATAAGTGGCTGCTTCCTACTGACCTTGTCCCTGGGGCTGGAGGGGACTGGGTGACAAGGTCTGGATGGCCCTCTAAGTCAGGGGCTTTGACTGGGCAGTGGGGGCTCTGGACCCCCTTACCCAGGGCTGGGCAGGTTGTCCTGAAAGGAAGTGTTTGCCCAGGAGTCGCTGCCCCCTTCTGCCCTCTGCAGAAAATCTCCTGGGCACGTTTTTCCGGTCAGGTGAAGCCAGTCAGCCTTAAAGGGCTGTGCAACCCTGAGTCTCCTCTCCTCCAACCTCTGCCTCCCCAAGTCTTGTCTCTCTCCCACAAGGCTCAGCCACCCTGTGCTGCTTTGGGGGCTAAAAATAGCATGACTGCCTCACCAGCTCAGAGAATGTGTCTCCTTTCTCTGCCTCCTGGCCGGGTGGGCCCTGGGGGAGCCGCGGGGCGGGCGTCGCCGCCAGGACTCTCAGTGTCAGCAGGAACAGGGCCGGCTCCTGGTGGTCCCTCTGCCTCCCTCGGGGTTTGAGGGGCGATCTTGGTGGGGAAGAGAGGGAAGGCCAGTGAATTGTCACACACTGGGGGGATCCCCCAGCTCCCTGTCTTTCGTGGGGGATGGTAGGGCCCTGAACCCTGGAGGAAGGAAGGTGATGTGGGGGTCACTGCTCTGGGTACCGTGGTCCAGTGCTTACATTTGTCCTGAGGGGGGAAGGCTCTGCTTGCCAGTGCTTCTCTCTGGAACCACATAGCATTACTTACCCTCTGCTAGGGAGCCGGGTGCGTGTGTGTGTGTGTGTGTGTGTGTGTGTCTGTGAGAGAGAGAGAGACTGAATGAAGGCCCTGGGTGGGCAGAAGGAGGCAGGATAATTCTAGGGCTGTGATCTCTGATTGGAATCTGGGCCTGCTTCCTCTCTTCTACGAAGGAAGGGAGGGTTATCCCAAGCCTTCTCCTGAAAGGTGTCTCGTCCAAGGAGGCCCAAGGCCCCCTTAGCTGTACGCCAGCCTCCTACGCAATGCAGTATTTGTGGACTCCTTTTCCTTGACTCCTGGAGAAGGAGCAGAAAGGATTAAGGAGGATTAAGGAGGGAGGCCCTGGAGGAATGAAGTACAACCATAGACCTCAGGTTCTCATGATGGAAACAAATGCGTTTGATCATATAGTTAGAGGGGAGAGAGAGAGAGAGAGAGAGAGAGAGGAGAGAGAGAGATCGATCTTCCATCTGTTCCATCTGTTGGTTCACTTCCCAAATGTCTACAACAGCCAGGATTGGGCCAGGTGGAAGCCAGGTGACAAGAACTCAATCCAGGTCTCTAACATGGGCAGCAGGGACCCAAGAACCTGGGCCATCATCTGCTACCTTCCCAGGTGCTTTAGCAGGAAGCTGGATCAGAAGCCAAGGAACCAGTACTCAAACCAGCACCCCTATATGGGATGCTGGCTCCCGAAGGGTAGCTTAACTCACTGTTCCACCATTGCCTGCCTCAGTGCTGGTACCCTCTGTGGCTGCCCTTAAAGGGCATCCAGTGACAGCTTGTGTTTTGGTCCTTGTGGCGGAGGACGGGGCATGTCACTCCATTGCCATCACCAACCGGCAATAGCCACTATTTATTCCTTGCTTTCTACGTGCCAGGCTCTGTGGTAAGGAGTTTATTGCATTGTGTCACTTAAGCCTTACTTTCCCCTTTCTAAATAAGAGGAAACTGAGGCTTGCATGCTCAGAAGCATGCCTGTGGTCACTTAGCTGCTAAGTGCTAAACCCAAGCCTGCCTGGCCAGGTGTGCCGGGCTCTTACCCACTTGGCTATGCTGGGAGGAGACCCCTCAGTGGGAGGCTTACACACGTGTAAGCAAAGGCCATGAAAGTCCAACCTTCAGATGCCCACTGTGGACTGAAGACAACAGTAGGAGGCCTTCTTCTCCTACTCCTCTTCCTCAAGCTCTGCCCCCAGCAAGCAGCCCAGACCAGAATAGCACAGGGAATTCTGGTTCCTCGTGTTTTCTGTTTTGTTCTTTGCAGATCGGTAGTAAGGCAAGGGGTCTGAACCGGGCGTGGGGCAGGGGATCAGGGAGCGGGTTCAGGGGAGGTGATTGCGACTCTGTAGCATTCCCCATGGTTCTAGTCCCCAAGGTCAAAGGAAAGGGACCTACACTTGAATGACCCATGGATGGCCCAGAGAGTCACCCCTCGTTACCGAGTGGGGCCCTGAGCAAGGAGGCCAGCTCTGCACTGCAAGACTTCCTCTCCCTCCCCCTTGTTTTTTTCCTTAGGTCTCCGGAGGCCCCTGGGAGAGACATAGGCAGCCCTGCCTGAGTTGTGGCTCCGCACCTTCTCCTCACCACCTGGCTCCTCTTCCCCTCCCCAGCTCCCCACTCCTTCTCTCCCTGCCCCATCCGCCCTGCTGAGCCGGGTGTAGACGGAAGCTCTCTGCTCTCCCCTCCTAGAGACTCACTGGCCAGGTCCCGTTTCCCCCTGTTCTGTGCACCCAGATCCTGGAACACAGAGGGGAGGGATCCTTTTGACTCCACAAGTCCTTAAGCAGAAAGACTGAAGACCGCGGAGAGCAGGGGCGTGCCGGTGAGCTGCCCCACAGCCCCATCATGGAAGAGGGCTTCCGGGACCGGGCAGCTTTCATCCGCGGGGCCAAGGACATCGCCAAGGAGGTGAAGAAGCATGCGACCAAGAAGGTGGTGAAAGGCCTGGACCGGGTCCAGGACGAATACTCGCGCAGATCCTACTCCCGCTTTGAGGAGGAGGACGATGACGATGACTACCCTGCCCCCGCTGATGGCTACTACCGTGGAGAAGGGGCCCAGGACGAGGAGGAAGGTGGGGCATCCAGTGACGCCACTGAGGGCCACGACGAGGAGGATGAGATCTACGAGGGGGAGTATCAGGGGATCCCCCGGGCAGAGTCAGGGGGCAAGGGCGAGCGCTTGGCAGATGGGGCGCCCCTGGCTGGAGTGCGGGGAGGCTTGAGTGACGGCGAGGGCCCCCCCGGAGGCCGGGGAGAAGCGCAGCGGCGGAAGGAGCGGGAAGAACTGGCTCAGCAGTATGAAGCCATCCTGCGGGAGTGCGGCCACGGCCGCTTCCAGTGGACGCTCTATTTCGTGCTTGGACTGGCTCTGATGGCTGATGGTGTGGAGATCTTTGTGGTGGGCTTCGTGCTGCCTAGCGCCGAGAAAGACATGTGCCTGTCCGACTCCAACAAGGGCATGCTGGGTAAGACGCCTCGGGGGTATTCCAGCTCTTTCCTGCCTCCAACTCTGTAAACACCCTTCCTCCTGGTAACTGTTCCAGGCTTACCGCTGAGCTTCCTGGGGTCCGGTTCCCAACATGTTTCCAAAGAGTTCTGCACACTCTCCCCGCTGGTCCCTGACCCACCCTCTTCTGGGGTTGGGTCTTGGTGAAATCGCATTTGACAGAGGGGCCTGGGCTGGTGGCTGCGTTGTGGTGTCTCTGCTGAGCCCTGCAGGAGGCAGCCACGGTGGCATAAATCACCATTTACTGTTTCTTCATAACCTTCTCCCTGCTCTCCTGTTCCCCCTCTCTCCCTGGTATACACTGGGAGGGTCAGACTGGGGTGATGCAGGTAGGAGAAGGGTCCTGAGACTCTCCCAGGCCGAGGAAGCTGGTCACACTGAGAGAGAGAGAGAGAGAGAGAACACCTTTGGTTCTCTCACTCACTTTTTTTTTTTTTTTAAGATTTATTTATTTATTTGAAAGTCAGAGTTACAGAGAGAGGGAGAGACACACAGAGAGGTCTTCCATCTGCTGGTTCACTCCACAGATGGCTACAATAGCTAGGGCTGGGCCAGGCAGAAGCCAGGGACCAGGAGCCATGAGCTTCTTCCAGGGTGGCAGGCGCCTAAGCACTTGGGCCACCCTCAGCTACTTCCCCACATGCATTAGCAGAGAGCTGGATCGGAAGTAGAGCAGCCAGGCCAGGAACTGGAGCCCATATGGGATGCGGGTGCCACAGGCAGTGGCTTTTCCTGCTACATCACAACAACGACATCCCTCACGCACTGTTATCTGGTAGCTTCCAGAAGTTCTTCAGCGCTTAGATCCCTTCAGCTGCAGTTTGAGTGCCGGTGACCCCAGCTGTGCGCTAGTGGGAGAACTGAGGTTATCCTGTTTCCCACCCCCATTCCAGGGCTCATCGTCTACCTGGGCATGATGGTGGGAGCCTTCCTCTGGGGCGGTCTGGCTGATCGCCTGGGTCGCAGGCAGTGTCTGCTCATCTCGCTCTCAGTCAACAGCGTCTTCGCCTTCTTCTCGTCTTTTGTCCAGGGTTATGGCACTTTCCTCTTCTGCCGCCTCCTTTCCGGGGTTGGGTGAGTGTTCAGCTTCCTAAGCCCCTTGGAGGTAGTGCTGTGCCCTGGCCACTATCGCACCTTCAGGGCCTCTTACAGTGCCAGGCACACCAGGTGTGCTGAATGAATGAATGAATTCCTTTCTTCCCCCACCGTCTTTCCCCGTTTCTGCCGCTGTCCAGAATGCCAGCTCCTGTCTGGTCCCCTCCTAGCTCCTCTACCCACTTCCGGTTCTTCTGAGCCTGCCTCCCTGAGGAGGCCTCTGGGCACCTGTGGACCCTGGAATCGCCCCTCCCAGAGTCAGCGTATTTCCTGCATTTGGCCCAAACCTTGCACATGCCTGCAAGAGCCAGAACCAGAAGGCTTGGGGCATAGACACCTCCCGTCACCCAGGCAGCAGCAGGCACCTCCTCCACCCTCCGTCCACGCTGGCTTCTGGCTTGCTCTGTACCACTGCCCTCAGACCCCCACCCCCAGCTTTCTCTTCTTTTCTGCGAGTGTCTTCTTTCCCTCCCAACGCTGTAATCATCTTCAAGGTTGGATGCTTGTTCCTGCCCTCTCCCGGGGATCTGCTTGTTTTCTGCAGTCCCAGGGATGCGTGCTTGATGGCTGGTGGTGGTGGGGGGGGGGGGAGGAGGGGCTCAGTGGGCATTATATATGAGACGGAGTTTCTTCCAAAGGTGCAGGAGAGGAAAGGGGCTTGGGGATCCGGAGTGCGGGGGCAGGGGGTCAGGAAGGACGGTGGCCACTGTCTAATGCTGGATCCCTGAAATGCCCTCCAGGATTGGAGGGTCCATCCCCATCGTCTTCTCCTATTTCTCGGAGTTTCTGGCCCAGGAGAAACGTGGGGAACATTTGAGTTGGCTCTGCATGTTCTGGATGATTGGTGGCGTGTACGCAGCTGCGATGGCCTGGGCCATCATCCCCCACTACGGTGAGTGGCCCCTGGGAATTGCCCAGACTCCTCCTCCTCTCTGGTGCTCCCCGTGGAGGGAGCCCCCACCCCTGGGTTCCCTGTTGACACTGCGACTCTGTCTCTGCCAGGGTGGAGTTTCCAGATGGGCTCCGCTTACCAGTTCCACAGCTGGAGGGTCTTTGTCCTCGTCTGCGCCTTTCCTTCCGTGTTTGCCATTGGGGCCCTCACCACACAGCCTGAGAGCCCCCGCTTCTTCCTGGAGGTGAGCGGGGCTGGGCTGGGGTAGGGTGGAGAGGGCAGCGGGGGCTCCTGTGTTTAAACACCCACCGTGGGCTGCTTGCCGTCTCCACTGGGTCCCTGCTCTGGGGACTTTCTCTTGTTTCCTTTGGCTGAGAATGGATCTCCAGAGCAGTTCTGCGGGTGGAGAAACCGGGGTGGGGGGGTGTTAAGATTTTGCAGGCAGGGGCCTTGGTCCTGGCCCTGACTTCACAACTCAAGAGAAGTCCCCGCCTCCTGCCCCTGCCTGTCCTGCACCATCTCGGTCCAGCAGGGTTGGGCTGCTGCCCCTCTCCGCCTCCTCGCCCGTCACTTCCCTGTTCTCTCTACTGTAGTGGGGGTCCCAGGACCTGCGCTTGCATTTGTCCTCTGGGTCCCCTGCCCCATTCCTGCCCGGGGCTGGAGCGGGATCTTTCAGAGGGCATGATGCATGCCCACAGGTCGGGATTGGGGGTGGGAAAAGCCAAGCTGGAGGGAGGGAAGGAGGGAGCCTGTAACCCTGGGTCAGGGAGAGGCTGATCCTGGTGTGGGGCTTATGTTTGTGGCTCTAGAACGGGAAGCATGATGAGGCCTGGATGGTGCTGAAGCAAGTTCATGACACCAACATGCGAGCCAAGGGGCATCCTGAGCGAGTATTCTCAGTAAGCACCACCCCCACCCCCTATCTCCAACCCCTGCAGCCCCAGCCCCCACCTGGCTCTTCTGTGGACGTCTCAGAGCAGACCCCACCTCAGTGAGAGTCTCAGGGTGTCACGTATGTCCCCGCCTCTCATTCACTACTGTAGGGGAAACCGACCCGACTCACCTGCAAAGGGGGGAAGTACAGAGTGGTGCTCTTGACCCTAGGTAACCCACATCAAGACGATTCATCAGGAGGATGAATTGATTGAGATCCAGTCGGACACAGGGACCTGGTATCAGCGCTGGGGGGTCCGGGCCTTGAGCCTGGGGGGACAGGTAATGCAGAATGGGATGGGGGCGAGGAAGAAGGGAGTGGGAGGGCTGGAGGGAAAGATAGGGCTTGAGCCTGTGTTTGGGGGTGAGGGATGAACTGAAGGCAAGTGTAGGGCAGAAAAATGGAGCTCTATGGGTGCTAGAAGTTAGCCCCGCCTCCCTCTGCCTTTGCTGGCTTCTTGTAGGTCTGGGGAAATTTCCTCTCCTGCTTTGGTCCCGAATACCGGCGCATCACTCTGATGATGATGGGTGTGTGGTTCACCATGTCCTTCAGGTGAGGGGGGGCGGGCGCTGCAAGAGAGGGGGGAGGGGCATGTAAATGAGGGGGTGCAGAAAGAGGGAGGGGGTTGCTCAGATCCCCTCTGCTGCTCCCGCCAGCTCCTCCACTTCGTGCAGTAAGTCAGCAGACTTGGGTCACAGGCTCAGCAGCATGACATTTCTGTTCTGTGCTGGGATGCAACCAGCATCTGTGGTCTTGGTTCTCATGGAGTTTACGTTTGGTCTGAGTTAGGTTAAAACCAGCTAAGAGGCAGTGTGACAAGTGTCCCTGTGGGGGCAGAAGGGAGTGCTGTGGGAGCACCTGGGGGCTGGGGGCCGGACATAGGAACAGTAGCAGTTAGTTAGACAGGCTGAGTGGCTCAGGTTGCGGGCTGGGGAGAGGGCTGTAGGTCAAGGGAGGAGCAAATGGCTGGGAGGGAAGAAAGAGCCTCTGGTGGCCTGGAGGAGGCTGAAGACCTCACAGCCAGAGCCTTAGAGGAGGGAGGAGTTCGAGAGGCGGGGCTGGGGGTGAGTGGGTCCTGTGAGGAGCTGCCCCAGCATCCTCCTCCCTTTGAGCCGCCTGGTTCTTGTCTCTGAGCTCGGATTCCGTCCCCCTTGCTTCTTCAGCTACTATGGACTGACTGTCTGGTTTCCCGACATGATCCGCCATCTCCAGGCGGTGGACTACGCGGCCCGCACCAAAGTGTTCCCCGGGGAGCGCGTCGAGCACGTGACTTTTAACTTCACCCTGGAGAATCAGATCCACCGAGGGGGGCAGTACTTCAATGACAAGTATGTCAGGGACCACCGCCCCTGCCCTGGCCCTTCTACCCCCGGTCTCTTTCATGGGTCTGGGAGTTCAAGATGAGGCATTTTTGGGGCAAATCCCTGTGGTTTCTCCTCAGTGCTGAGCCTCTCGCTCACCCAGGGAGTGGTGCTGGAGGAGGGTGTGAGGATGAGGGGGAAGTGTCTCTCGTCACCTTGACCTTGCAGGTTCATTGGGCTGCGTCTGAAGTCAGTGTCCTTTGAGGACTCCCTGTTTGAGGAGTGTTATTTTGAGGATGTCACATCCACCAACACATTCTTCCGCAATTGCACGTTCATCAACACCGTGTTCTACAACACTGGTAAGGCGGGGTGCCCACTGGGCGTCGGACCAAAGGGTTGGGTGGTCGTTGGTGATGGGAGAAGGAACCGCTCTCACTGACCAGCTCTGGTTCTCGAAGGGCCCTCTGGAGTTCCAGAGGAAGGTGGTTTGGCAGTCTGATAGTTCTCACCAATTGTTCAGAAAATCTAGTGGAAATTAGACATTTTCCTGTGATTATCTGACAAAAACAAGTTTCTTTGACCTTGGCTGGGATTATTATAACTTAGTGTGATGATAACTCCAAACAGGGTCCTAGGGAGAAAGAAAATTAATAAAATGGGTATTTGGTGGGGAAAAGGTTGGGGACCGTTGCATTAATCCACTTCTTTAGCGGCAATTCTCAAACTCTGAAATTGCAGTTTTGTGAGCTAGACTGAGGTTTGCCATCATGGAGTGGAATACTGGGTGAGCTTTTCCTACCATGCAGAAAGAAGAAAGAGTGGATAGGAATTTTTGTTACTTTTAATATTTTTCCCAGAAAATTTTCCTTAACCCATGGCACTGCCACTGCTTCTATTCAGTTAGGGCAGACTGAAAGAATGAATAAGAACTGAAGACTGCCATTGGGAAAACTTGGAAGCAGACACCCCGCTTGATTGATCATGGTCATTTTCTGCTATAAAGGTTTCTGGTTCCCATGGTGATATTGTTTCATGTTTTACACTGAGTTCCCTGAATAATTCTGAGAGCGCCTCACTGCTAACCTCCGCAAATGCAGAGCTCTGAGCCACATGCTGTAGTGACCTCCATCTCACCTTGGCTGTGACCCCTGCCCATCTTGGCTTTCACCCCTAGACCTGTTTGAGTATAAGTTTGTGAACAGCCGTCTGGTGAACAGCACGTTCCTGCACAACAAGGAGGGCTGCCCGCTGGATGTGACGGGGACAGGCGAAGGAGCCTACATGGTGTACTTTGTCAGCTTCTTGGGGTCCCTGGCTGTGCTTCCCGGGAACATTGTGTCTGCCCTGCTCATGGACAAGATTGGCAGGCTCCGGATGCTTGGTAAGGAGGAGAGGCTGGGTGGTGGTGTCAGGACTGCTGGGGAGAGGGCGCTGTCCGGGGGAAGCTGGCCCTGGTCTTCTCACTTTGGGCTGCGGAAGAGATTGGTGTCCGAGTGTCTTGGGTGTTGTAGGATTGGGTGGGTCCTTGTACAGAGGCTTCTCTGGGGTTGGGGGAGGTAGGCAGAATAGCAAGTGGTTGGGGCACAGGCTTTGGGGCCAACCACAGGTTTGAGCTTTGGCTGCACCACCTACCCCGGACACTTTACTTAATCCCTTGGCACCTGGCTGGCTGAGCTGCAAAAAGGGGGTGGTCTTAGTGCCTGCCCAGTGGACTGGACCAAGACATGGAAGCAGTAAGCAGCAGCTTGGCCCAAAGGTGGCATTGCCTCGGTGGCTGTTACTGACATGGTTTGTAAACAGGTACTTATCAGGGAGGTGGAAGGCTGAGTGGAGAGTTGTCCTGGGCAGTCTCACAGCTGGCCGGAGGCCAGGCAGGCTGGGGGCTTTCACTGTGGTCACACTTGCACTCTCTCCTCTCCCGGCTCCAGCTGGCTCCAGCGTGATGTCCTGTGTCTCCTGCTTCTTCCTGTCCTTTGGGAACAGCGAGTCAGCCATGATTGCTTTGCTCTGCCTTTTTGGGGGGGTCAGCATTGCGTCCTGGAACGCGCTGGACGTGCTGACCGTCGAACTCTATCCCTCGGACAAAAGGTAGTTGGCGTTTGATGGGGACGGGGCAGCGGGTTTGGGGCCCTGCCTGGGGGAGTGGGGTGATGAAGGGGGCTGAGTGGGAAAAGCGTTCTGAGGGGTGAGAGGACACACAGGTCCACCAGGTCTCCTCTCACAGTGGCAGCTGTTGTGTCCACTCTTTGCCGTCTGCACTATTAACCTCACTTTCTCCTTTCTCCCCGACTCCCAATCTATCTACATTTCCCCTACATCCTTCTCCGTCTCTCTTGAACACTGCCTTCCATCTTCCTCCCCTTCATGTCCTTGGTCTCCCCCGGCGCCCTCCGCTTGCTCTGCCTCGGGCGATTCCCGAGCAGGACCACGGCCTTCGGCTTCCTGAACGCCCTGTGCAAGCTGGCGGCCGTGCTGGGCATCAGCATCTTCACGTCCTTTGTGGGAATCACCAAGGCCGCCCCCATCCTCTTTGCCTCAGCTGCCCTTGCCCTTGGCAGCTCTCTGGCCCTGAAGCTGCCCGAGACCCGGGGGCAGGTGCTGCAATGAGGGCGTCTCTGGAGCTTCAGGGGTGGCAGGCACACTGTGAGACCAACTCCTTCTTCCCCTCCCTGCCCTGCCATCCCGGCCCCCAGAGCCCTCGCTCCCCACTCCCCTGTGTTTGGTGTCTTCGCTGTGTGTGCGCGTGTGCATGTGTGACCCCCATGGGGAGGGACCACAGGGAAGGTTCCTTCACCCCAGCTTTGGGGTGAAGCTCCACTCCCCACCCCGTCACCCTGGACTTTGCACAAAAGAAGGCTAAGCCTCACCCTTCTCCCCCCAGTGTTAGCGAGGGCTCCTGCTTCCCTACTCCAGGGGTTCGAGAACAGGCCTCCTGCATCCCCCCACCATTCCCTCTGCCTAGGCCCTGGTGAAGCCATGAGTATGCAGTTCCGTTGGGGGCTGGGGCTTGGGTGTAGACCATGGACCAAAAGAACTTGCCGAGCTGGAAGGGCCTTGAGTGGCCTCTCACGCCTCCGGTGGGATGCTGGAGGAGTAGCAATAAACCTCAGCCGCTGGCCTCCACTTCCCCTCAACGTGGGCTACAAAGGTGAAGCCTGAGTTCTATGAAACGAGCTGATTATTTATTTATATGTTCAGTTCTGAGGCAGCTCAGCAGGACTGTGTGTGTGTGAATGTGTGTACTCCTGTGTGTGTGTGCGTGTGTGTGCGTGCGCTATGGGGCGGGGGTGTCACTATGCTGTCCTAAAATAGAAGCCAAGGGTAATTTCAGCAGACACACACGCAGCCCTGCCTCCCACAGTACCTCCCCTAACACTGTTTCCATGGCCGGCCTGGGAGCCTGGGAGGCAGGAGTGCTAGACCGGCTGGAGTAAGAGCCCCGCCATCCAGCGAGACGGGAGGGCATCGGGCAAGGTCTGTCTCTTTTCTTGTTCTTAAGAAGCACAGGCTGGCTGCCGTGAGAGGCTCCACCTACCACAGCGCAGACAGAAGCCGAGCAGCTGCCCTCCCACGCCCCCAGCCTGTCCCCACAGGGCCAGGAGAGCAGGGAGAGAAAGAAACCAGGCACATGGTCAAACCAGCAGATCAAAAAGCACAAGGAGCTAGGGCAGGGGCGGGAAATGGGGCACCCAACCCCCGTCAACTCCTCTAAAACCGGGAGAGGTTGGGCAGTAAATGGGGGACCCCCCAATGCAGGGACCAGAAGCCTCAGTTTCCCCATATCACCCTTCCACACAATAGCCTCTGTAGGTTAGGCTACCCCAGCCCCACCCAACTCTGTGTGGCTGCTTTCCCTGGTGCCCTCTCCCGGCCCCACTGTAGCTGTGATGTGTTGTAGTTTTTAGCCGTTTGTAAAATGTTAAAGAAAAACAAATGTGAAAAGGAAAAAAAAAAAGTGAAAATAACAAAAAAGAAAATCCAAATCACCTTCCTCATGCTGTGTCTGGTGCCCCCCCCCCCCCCCCCAGTCACTCTGCCCATTTTGTAACACTGCACCAGGTGGTGTCTGTGCTCCAAGGACTGCCTCCTCCCCCAGCGCCCCCTGTGCGAGTGTGTGCCCTCTTTGCCGACCCTCACCTGCTGGACGTAGCCCTGCCCCTGCACTCCCTGGGAGGGCCCATCCATCTCCCTTGCTCTCCTGGGGAACCCTACGCCCAACTCTGTTGATGTGAATAATGAAATGAGAAATACTGATGACAAATAAAACAAATCCTGTAAATCTCAAATGGCCGTGTCTACTCCTTGGCTGCTCCACCTTTGACAGTGCTAGGAGGGAAAAATGGCAAGACAGAAAAACCTGGGGCCTGTGCAGTGGCACAGCTGGTGGAGCTGCCGCCTGCGATGCCCTCATCCCACATGGGCGTGTCCCAGCTGCTCCTCTTCCCATCCAGCTCCATTAATGGCCTGGGAAAAGCAGTGGAGGATGGCCCAGGCACTTGGGCCCCTACCACCTATGTGGGAGACCTGGAAGGAGTTCTTGGCTTCTGGCTTCAGCTTGGCTCAGCCCCGGTTGTTGCAGCTGTCTGAGGAGTGAACCAGCAGATGGAAGACCTCTCTCTCTGTCTTTCCCTCTCTCTGTGTGACTTTTTCAAATAAATAAATAAATAAATAAATAAATCTTGGCCGGCGCTGCGGCTCACTTGGCTAATCCTCCGCCTGCGGCGCCGGCACCCTGGGTTCTAGTCCCGGTTGGGGCGCTGGATTCCGTCCCGGTTGCTCCTCTTCCAGTCCAGCTCTCTGCTGTGGCCTGGGAGGGCAGTGGAGGATGGCCCAAGTGCTTGGGCCCTGCACCTGCATGGGAGACCAGGAAGAAGCACCTTGCTCCTGGCTTTGGATCAGTGCAGTGCGCTGGCCGTAGCAGCCACTTGGCGGGGGGGTGAACCAACGGAAAAGGAAGACCTTTCTCTCTCTCTCTCTCACTGTCTAACTCTGCCTGTCAAAAAAATAAAAAAAATAAAAAAATAAAAAAAATCTTAAGGAAAAGAAAACCACAGCAAACCTCTCCAAAATCATATATGTATTACATTTATTACTAAACTTTGCCCCCTACCCCGACCTTTCCACTTTAAAAAAAAATATATATATTTTAAAATATATATATTAAATTAAAAATATATATTTTACTTATTTGAAAGACAGAGAGAGTGAGAGAAACAGAGACATCTTCCATCTGCTGGTTCACTCCTCAAATAGCCACAATGGCTGGGGCTGGGCCAGGCTGGAGCTTCATCAGGGTCTCCCATGTGAGTAAAGGGGTCCAAACACTTGGGCCATCCTCTGCCATGCATTAGCAGGGAGCTGGATCGGAAGTGGAGCAGCAGCTGGGACTCAAACCGGTGCCCTTATGGGATGCTGGCATCGCAGGTGGTAGCTTAATTCACTACGCCCCAGCACTGGCCCCATGACTTTGCATTTCTACATTGAGGGCCCCAAATCTCCCAGATTTGAAAACTTGGAATAATGTTTCTTAAGAATTCAACTAAATCCCTCCAAATCTTTAGGTGCGCCTTTTAAAAATAGTTTCCAGACTCCATCCTTGACTTGTGGAATTACAATCTTTTTTTTTTTTTTTTTAAGGGAATGGACCTTGGATCTAAATTTTAAACAAGCTCCCTTGGGGTTTCTTATTCCTGAGGGAATCTCTGCCTGCAGGTTACCCCTTACTTCTCTAATCCTTTTGTGTTCTAATCTGATTTTTTTTTTTTTTTGGAAAGGCAGAGTTAGATAGTGAGAGAGAGAGAGAGAGAGAGAGAGAGAGAAAGGTCTTCCTTCCATTGGTTCACCCCCCAAATGGCTGCCACGGCCAACGTGCTGCGCTGATCCGAAGCCAGAAGCCAGGTGCTTCCTCCTGGTCTCCCATGCAGGTGCAGGGCCCAAGCACTTGGGCCATCCTCCACTGTACTCCTGGGCCACAGCAGAGAGCTGGACTGGAAGAGGGGCAACCGGGACAGAATCCGGCGCCCTACCGGGACTAGAACCCGGGGTGCCGGCGATACAGGCAGAGAATTAGCCAAGTGAGCCAAGGCGCTGGCCCTAATCTGATTTTTTAAATGATAATTCTCAGCTAAACTCGTTCCTTTCCATTCTCACAGCTAAGCTCCAATTCAGGATTCCATCTTTCCTTTTTTTTTTTTTTTTTAAGATTTATTTATTTATTTATTTGAAAGTCAGAGTAATACAGAAAGAGAAGGAGAGGCAGAGAGAGAGGTCTTCCTTCCACTGCTCACTCCCCAATTGGCCACAATGGCTGGAGCTGTGCCATTCTGAAGCCAGGAGCCAGGAGCTTCTTCTGGGTCTCCCACGCAGGTATAGGGGCCCAAGGACTTGGGCCATCTTCTACTGCTTTCCCAGGCCATAGCAGAGAGCTGGATTGGAAGAGGAGCAGCCAGGACTAGAACTGGCACCCATATGAGATGCTGGCACTGTAGGCAGCCTTACCTGTTACGCCACAGCGCTGGCCCCTACTTTTTTAAGATTTATTTATTTGAGGGGCCGGCACTGTGGCACAACAGGTAAAAGCCCTGGCCTGAAGTGCTGGCATCCCAAATGGGCACTGGTTCTAGTCCCGCCTGCTCCTCTTCCAATCCAGCTCTCTGCTAAGGCCTGGGCAAGCAGAAGATGGCCTAAGTCCTTGGGCCCCTGCACCCACGTGGGAGACCCGGAAGAAGCTCTCACTCCAGGCTTCGGATCGGCACAGCTCTGGCCATTGCGGCCATCTGGGGAGTGAACCAGTAGATGGAAGACCTCTCTCTCTGTCTCTATCTATCTCTGTAACTCTTTCAAATAAATAAATCTTAAAAAAAAAAAAGATTTATTTATTTGAAAGGCAAAGTTATACAGACAGATCTTTCATCTGCTGGTTCCCTCCCCAAATGGCCATAACAGCCAGGGCTGGACCAGGAACTTCATCTAGGTCTTCCCATGAGTGGCAGGAGTCCAAGCACTTGGGCCATCTTCTGATGCTTTCCCAGACACATCAGCAAGGAGCTGCATTGGAAGCAGAGAAGCTGGATCTGGAACCAGTGCTCATACGGGATGCCAGCAACACAGGTGGCAGCTTAACCTGCTGTACCATGATCCTGGCTCCCCATGTTGACTTTTTGAAAAAAAATTTTCATTTTATTTGGAAAGTGGAGAGACACACACAGAGATAAATCTTTCCATCCAGTGTACTCCCTGAATGCCAGGATGAAGTTAGGAGCCTGGAACTCAATTTGGGTCTCCCACATGAGTGGCAGTGACTCAAACACTTGAATGATTACCTGCTGCGTCCAGGGTGCACACCAGCAGGAATGAGCCCAGGCACTCCAGTATGGGATGTGGCTGTCCCCAGAGCCATGTGAACTCACTACACCAAATGCCCATTTCCCCACCTCATGCTTCATCTCGTGCTTCCAATAACCCACTTACATTAATAGGTCATTCTGCCTCAAAACACTCTAAATTCTTCAGCCAGAAGTGATCAAGGTACATTAACAAAGCTTTTTCTCTAATCTCCACACTGATTATCAGAATATTGCATTTGTGGACATTATTTAGCTCCCCTCAAAAACAACTCAACATTTGGAAAGCTCCTAAGAGAAGGGACACATGTGGGGCCAGTATTGTGGTGCTGCCCGCTAACTGGCACCCCGTATCAGAGCAGGGGTGGGGAGTCCTGGCTGCACTGTTACCCATCCAGCTCCTTGCTAACGTGCCAGAGAGGCTGCAGATGATGACCCCAAGTACTTGGATTCCTGCCACCCATATGGGAGACCTGGCTCCTGGCTTTGGCTTAGCCCAGCTCTAATCATCGTGGCCACTTGGGGAGTGAATCGTTGGATGGAAGATCTGTTTGTCTTCTCCTCTCTGGTACTTTTCTTTTTGATAGGCAGCGTTAGACAGTGAGAGAGAGAGAGAGAGAAAGGTCTTCCTTCCGTTGGTTCAGCCCCCAAATGGCCGCTACGGCCGGCACTGCACCCATCCAAAGCCAGGAGCCAGGTGCTTCCTCCTGGTCTCCCATGCGGGTGCAGGGCCCAAGCACTTGGGCCATCCTCTACTGCCTTCCCAGGCCACAGCAGAGAGCTGGACTGGAAGAGGAGCAACCGGGACAGAATCTGGTGCCCCAACTGGGACTAGAACCCTGGGTACTGGTACCGCAGGCAGAGGATTAGCCTAGTGAGCTGCGGTGTCGGCCTACCTCTGTCACTTTGCTTTTCAAATAAATGAAATTCATTTTAAAAAAATGTAAAGAGCTACATAAATGTCTATCATCCGTAATCCTTTCTAGGTCGTTATCCTCTTTTCACTGCTACAGGGGTTTAAGAGACATTCCTTATAAACAAAATATAAGTACTTTTCAGAAATGGTCAGAAATCAAACTTCCTTCAATATCAAATTAAAAATACTTGGGGGCTGGTACTGTAGCACAGAAGGTTAAAGCCCCAGCCTGCAGTGCTGGCATCCCATATGGGCACCGGTTCAAGTCCCGGCTGCTCCACTTCAGATCCAGTCCCCTGCTAATGCGCCTGGGAAAGCAGAAGATGGCCCAAGTACTTGAGTCCCTGCGCCCACATGGGAGACCTGGAAGAAGCTCCTGGCTCCCGGCTTTGGATTGGCTCAGACTAAAAATGCCTGTGACCCCTGCCTTGTCCAACAACTCACTACCAAGTCCAGTTTCTATGTCATTACTCAGGTTCTTCCCACTGTTTGCAATCCCTTTCTTCTTTTTTGGTTTAATTCTGGGCTTTCCTTTGAAGATCCAACCAGGTCACTTCCCCCATCAAGCCCTTCATTACTACCCCGGTCTACAGGTATCTCTCTTCTCATCTGTAGCCCTCACTGATTCACGGAGCATTAGGAACACACACAGCAATGCACGTGGTATGGTAATTTCTGTTTTAATGTACAGAATTGTTTGCAACTCAAGTCTGGTGCAGTTTCTTAGTTATAACTTAACAAGGAGCAATTAGGCAGCACTTCCAGGACAGTCCAGGGCAAGAGCCGTAGCGAGAGAACCTGCTCTTGCCGCGAGTTAGCTGACTTGACATGCGCAGTCTTCTCCACAGGATGGATTTGCGGCACACTGCGTGGTCAGGAAAAAGGTCCTTTGTCCTCTCCCAGCCCATTTTGATCCTGGTCTTCCACCTCTCTTGGGGTTCAGGGAGTTTCTCGAGTCTTCTTGCTGCCACCTAGGCAGGGGGGGCTGGTGTCCAGCTGAGGGTTCTCCTTCCACTGGGCGGGGGTCCGTGCCTGGATGGCCAGCGCGTGGACAGGCCCGGCCAGCTCCTCGGCCAGCGCTGCATGGACCAGTCGGTGCCGCTGCAGGGGGCTCAGTCCTTCGAAGCGGGAGCTCACCACGGCCACGCGGAAATGCGTCTCGCTGCCGCGGGGGACCGCGTGGCCGCCGCTCTCATTGCGCAGCTCAAGCACCTCGGGGCTCAGGGCCTGCTCCAGCTTTGCACGGATGGCGGCTTCCACCGGACCAACGGGCCCAGATCCGGCGCTGGACCGGAACAAACAGACGCGGCCGGCCATGGAGACCAGCTGTCGGACCAACTGCCCCCTCAGCATCAGCTACGGCAGAGACGCGGACGCGAGGAGTGAGGGCCAGGGCCGAACCGAACCCCCACCCCCACCCCCAGGAAGTCCCCACCCGCCTCCTGTAGGGAGCCCGCCCAGGCACCGACAGGGAGACCCGAAGGGAACCGGACGCTGCCTCTTTTCTGTGACGTGGGTTAGTCTGGCCTCCGGCTGCGGGCGGTGGAGCTACAAGAGGCTATCAGGCCTGCGCGCGAGGCGCGTTCATTACGAAGGGAATTTAGATGGAGTGGGCCTGAGGTTGCAAAACCAGGGTATGTGCAACTCCGTGGTTTTCGTTGTGCGAGTAACCCGGTGTCCCCTATGAACCCCAGGCGGGGACCCTTCTACCTGCAACTCAGCCTCGGCAACCGCAATTCCCGCTCGGAGCCGGGACTCCCAGCGTTCTAGGGGGAAATGCAGGCCCGGCGTCCCGAAGCAAGCTGGGAAATGGAGTCCTCGCCCGCGGCAGCAGAACGGGCAGCGCCACGCGCTGGCCCGAGGGTTCATGGGAATTGTAGTCTCCGACATCTTCCCCCGCCTCCCCACCCCGCCCCGCCCCGGGAGGAACCCGAGCAAAGAAAAAAGGATTTCCCGCGGTGAGAGTATGCGATGTATTTTATTGCCAACAGATCTTGTGGATCAACAAGCCCAACTCCTTTATTTTACATACAAGAGAACGGAAGTCTGTTCCATTTATTGAGTACACGGTTGCTGTGTGCCGGAATAATGTTGGACCAATGCTGGGGCGTAGACCAGGCCCTGTCCTAGTTTACAGAATCCTGAAGAAGATGGACAAATGAGAGGGCGGCTGCCATACCAAGTGCTAAGTGTTCTGATGAAACGAAGCAAGGGAAGCTAAGGAGGCGCGTCCTTCAGAAGTGGGGGTGGGGTCGCAGGCCCAGCACACTTCCAGGAGGAGATTTAGGGGAGCAGAGCTGGAGAGATGGCACGAGAGATGGCACGAGAGATCGCCTTTCCCTTGCAGCCAGGCTGGGGTAGCTCCACGTGCACAGGTCAGGAGGAGGGAACTTTGAAGTTCCTTCCAGAGCCGTTACTGTGGGTCTGTAGGGAGCAGGCCCAGGGAGCAGCGATGTTGGGGAGAGGGCAGTCTTTTGGGTGGGCCCATGCGGGCCTTGTCGCATGATTTTATCTAAGCCCAGGAGCAGTGGGGAGCCACAGAGGGTTTTAAGCACGGGTGCAGGAAGATTAGTTTTTTTTACAAGATGAAATATAACTTTCAAATTTATTTAATTTTGTTTTGTATCCTTAATATTTTACATATTTATGTGCCTTCTCAGTATTGCTCCCCAACTTCTTATTTATTATTTTTTAAAGATATTAATTTTTTGATTTTTTTTCTTTATTTCAAAGGCAGTTAGAGAGAAGAGGAGAGAAACAGAGAGAGGGAGAAACATACGTGAGTTCACTCCCCAAATGGCTGCAACAGCTGGGGTGGGGCTGGGCCAGGCTGAAACCAGGATCAAGGAGCTTCTTCCAGGTCTCCGAGGTGGGTGCAGGGCTACTTTTCCAGGCACATTAATAGGGGGCTGTATCGGAAGTGGAGCAGCTGGGACTAGAACCGGCGCCTATATCGGCAGAGGCTTAACCTGCTACGCCACAACACCATCCCCCAAGTTCGTATTTTGGAAAATTTCAAGCACAAAAAAGCTGAATAGTCCAAAACAATGCCATCTAACTTCCATGAAATTCACCACTTTTAATTTATATATTATATACTTATATGTTTAATCACTTCATATGTAGGTGTTTGTTGCTTTCTTTAGTTGTGTTTTTTTTGACAAGCAGAGTGGACAGTGAGAGAGAGAGACAAAGAGAAAGGTCTTCCTTTTGCCGTTGGTTCACCCTCCAATGGCCGCTGCAGCTGGCGCACCGCGCTGATCCGATGGCAGGAGCCAGGTACTTATCCTGGTCTCCCATGGGGTGCAGGGCCCAAGGACTTGGGCCATCCTCCACTGCACTCCCGGGCCACAGCAGAGAGCTGGCCTGGAAGAGGGGCAACCGGGACAGAATCTGGCGCCCCGACCGGGACTAGAACCCGGTGTGCCAGCACCGCAAGGCAGAGGATTAGCCTATTGAGCCACAGCGCCGGCTTTCATATGTAGTTTTAAGATGCATTTATATACTTTTTCAGCTGAGCAATTTGAAAATAAGTTGCAGATGGATGACATTTCATTGCTAAGTTCTCCAACATGTATTTCCTAAGAACAAGGATATTCTATGTAAACACAATACCTTTATCATATTCAAGAAGTTTAACATATAATAACACAATATTTTCCCTAGCCTTTTAAAAAATTTAAAACTTCAAGAAAGTTTGCAAGACTAGTACAATGAGCGACTCATTTACCTTCTGGTCAGTTACCTTGATTTATTGATAACATTTTGCCCGACTTGCTCTTCAATATGTACGTATGTGTGTAATAGCAGTAATAATAAATATTTTTGCTGAATGACTTGAGTTAGGGACAATTTTTTTTTATATTTTTAAGTTAAAATTGTTTGGGAGGTAGCAGGGTGGGAGCATCCCCTATTCTCTAGTTTATTCCCCAAATGCCCACAATGGCTGGAGTTGCTGGGATTGGGTAAAGCGGGAGCTGGGATTCAATCCAGCTCTCCCACACTGGTGGCAGGGACCCAACTGCTTGAGTCATTACTTGTTGCATCCTAGGCTTGCCTTAGCAAGAAGCTGCAATTGGAAGCCAGAGCTTGGACTGAAACCCAGGTACTCTAATATGGGACACTTATTCCTACTCCGTCCATGTGTGAAATTCTTTACATTTCTCTGCTATGTATTTTCAACATATATCTCTAAGAGCAAGGACATTTTCCTGTATAACCACAATGCCATTTTCACAGCTAAGACATTTGATATTCATACAGTATTACTAAGATAGAGTCAATATTCAAGTTTCCCCACTGGCCTCTATTTTCTGCCATGGTTTGAATATGTCTCTTCAAAATTAATGTTGAAGGGCCGCGCTGTAGCGCAGTGGGTTAAAGCCCTGGCCTGAAGCGTCAGTTTCCCATATGGGTGCCAGTTCTAGTCCTGGCTGCTCCTCTTCCAATCCAGCTCTCTGTTATAGCCTGGAAAGCAGTGGAAGATGGCCCAAGTCCTTGTGCCCCTGCACCCCCGTGGGAGACCCCGGAAGAAGCTCCTGGCTCCTGGCTTTGGATCGGTGCAGCTCCGGCCATTGAGGCCATCTGGGGAGTGAGCCAGCAGATGGAAGACTTCGCCCTCTGTCTCTACCTCTCTCTGTGACTCTGTCTTTCAAAAAAAATAAAATAAATCTTTAAAAATAACAAAAAAAAACCCAAATTAATATTGAAACATAATCACCATTGTATTGGTTTTAAGGGGTGGGACCTGTAGGAAATGATTAGACCCTGAGGGCTGTGTTTTCATGAGTAGATTAGTGCCTTATAAAAGGGCTTGATGGGGCAAGTTTATCCCTTCTGCCCTGTGTCTGGGTGGCACCATTTATGAGGAACTGGCTTTCACTAGATCCTGAACCTGCTAGTGGTTTGATCTTGGACTTACCAGCTTCCAGAACTGTGAGAATACATCTCTGTTCTTTGTAAGCTACCCAGTCTGTGGTATTTTGTTATAGAAGCACAAATGGGCTATGACAGTGCCCTTTATAAAGTTTAATTTTCAGAAATACAATCAGGGATCATGTATTGCATCCAGCTGACATTAAATTTTATTTTTCAAAGAGCATTGGCTGCAGTGTGGAGAATGGATTGCAGAGGAAACAACCATGGAAACAGAGACCAGTTGGGAGGTTAGTGAAGCAGCGTCGGTGAGAGATGCTGGCTTGGACCAAGGTGAAGGGAGTGGTGAGGGAAAAAAATTGTGGCTACAAGATATACTTGTATATTAGGAAAGTAAAATCCATAGGATGTAGTAATAGGTTAACTATGGGAAAGGGATTTTCAAGAAAAATTGCCAGGTTTGTGCATCTGAAGTTACAAAAATAGTAAATAATTTCTATATATCTTTCATATTGATACTCAAATTACTCAAATATTAACATTTTATTAGGTTTACTATGTATCTACCTACATATATAGTTTTTCCTGAACCATTTAAAAGTTTCAAAGATAAAACTCATTACCTCTAAATCACAAGTGATGATTAATTTTATGTTTCCGCTTGCTTGAGATATGAGTGCCCAGCTATTTTGCCAAACATATTCTTTTTTTTTTTTTTTTTTTTGACAGGCAGAGTGGACAGTGTGAGAGAGAAACAGAGAGAAAGGTCCTCCCTTTGCCGTTGGTTCACCCTCCAAAGGCCGCCACGGCCGGCTCGCTGTGGCCGGTGCACCGCGCTGATCTGGCAGGAGCCAGGTGCTTCTCCTGGTCTCCCATGCGGGTGCAGGGACCAAGCACCTGGGCCATCCTCCACTGCACTCCCAGCCCACAGCAGAGAGCTGGCCTGGAAGAGGGGCAACCGGGACAGAATCCGGCGCCCCGACCGGGACTAGAACCCGGTGTGCCAGTGACGCAAGGCGGAGGATTAGCCTATTGAGCCGCGGCGCTGGCCACCAAACATATTCTTGGTGTTTTAAATGCAATTAGGGCTAAGTAAAGCAAATTGCTCTCCCTAATGTGAGTGGGCCTCATCCAATCAGTTCAATAGAACAAAAAGTCTGACCCTCTTCTGGATAAGAGAGACTTCCTCCTGTTCAGTTGTCTTGGGACTGGACCATTGGCTTTTTCCTGCTTTCAGTCTCAAAACTGAAGCACTGCCTTCTCCTAGGTCTTGAACCTGGCCTCTGGACTGGAAGTGCACCATTCTCAGGCCCTGGACTTGAACTGGAGCTATACCACCCACTCTCCTGGGTCACCAGCTTGCCAATTCACCCTGAAGATCTTGGGAAACTTGGGCCTTGCTATCCTCCATTATCAAAGAGCTAATTCCTTAGAATCAACCAATCTAGTATCACCTATTGATTCCGCTTCTCTGGAGAACCTTGACTAATATATATTTATATACATGTGCTTCTGAAAATAAAAAGGAATTTTTTCCCAATTATTCCCCGGAATATAATTGTTATACTGTGGAAATTAACATGGTTATAGTATTATTATTTAATCTACAGACCTTACTCAGAATTTTCCAACTGTTCCATTCATGTCTCATACATGAAGTGAAAACAAATTAAGCTACCTCTTGTATAATCAAACAAAACAAACACCACTAAACACTAATCTGTAACATCAGGTTGGGATGCTTGACAAAGTACTTAGTGTTTCTCCTTATGATGATTACCTCAATATTTTTTCATTAAAAAATTAGTTTATGGGGCTGGTGTCATGGTATAGTGGGTAAACTGTCGTTTGTGATGCCAGCATCCCATATGGGCACCGCTTAGAGACCAGGCTGCTCCACTTCTGATCCAGCTCCCTGCTAATGTACCTGGGAAAGCAGTGGAGGATGGTCCAAGGGCTTGGGCCCCTGTACCTGCGTGGGGAACCTGGATGAAGCTCCTGGCTTCTGCCTGGCTCAGCCTTAGCCATTTTGTGGCCATCTGGGGAGTGAACCAGTGGATGGAAGATCTCTCACTCTGTCTCTCTCTCTCTTGCTGTAACTCTGACTTTCAAATAAATAAATAAATATTTTAAACTTTGTTCTTGTTGAGGTCTAATTTACCCATAAGTAATTTACAAATCTTATAGGTACAGCTTCATCTTGCGTAAGTACACCTATATGTATCATGAGTCATCCACATCCGTGGCAGTAATTTGTTCATTGAATTGGCGTTGTGAAGGACAGTGCACAGATCCTACTGCATTCTTGTGTACACATTTTGTTGGAGATGAACGTTCATTTCTGTTTGCTTATATCCAGAAGTGGAATTACTGGGCTGTAGGATAAACCCAATGTTTATTTTTACAATGACAAATTCATCCAAAGAAGCTTTGGGATACCCCTGCTTTGTTGGTGGCAGGTACCATTCATAATGTCTGACATTTATCAACTCTTTTAATTCTTATAATAGCCCCATAAAGTAGTTACGGTTATCACCCTTGCTTCACATGAGGAAGCAGAGACTCTTAGAGGTTAGCTAACTTGCCCCTGGTCTCAGATCTGGAAAACAACCCAGAGAGTCAGGCTTCAGGCCTTAATCAGGGCTCTTGACTTCTCCAGAGAAACAGAACCACAGGACAGACAGGGAGCTAGAGAGGTGCAAAGACAGGAGATCTGTTAGGAGGACTCGGCTCATAAGCTTGTGGAGGCTGGGCAGCCCCATGATCTGCGGGCTGGAGAACCAGGAATGCCAGTGGTGTTTTACAGTCTAAACCCAAAGGCCTGAGACCCAGGGAAGCCAAGAGTGTAACTGTGGATCGGAGCCTGCAGGCCTAAGAACCGAGCTGATGCCGAGAGGCCCGACCCAAGTCTGAAGGCCCAAGACCCAGGAGTGCGATGTCCATGGGCACGAGAATGAGTCTGTCCTGCCCTTGTCTTTTTGGTCTTTGCTAAGGCCCATAATGGACTGGATGGTGCCCACCAGCATTGGTGGTGGTGGTGGGTCCTCTTTTCTCAGCCAATTCAGATGCTAATTTGGAAATACCCTGGCAGGTACACCGGGAAATAATGTTTTATTGCCTATTTGGCTCAGTCAAGTTGACACATAACATTAACCATCACAGTCTCCTAATCTGGCTTTGGGATCTCGAAGGTTCCTGCCTATTTACTGGGTTCTTTACATTTATTTGAACAAGTCTGTTGCGTCATGGTATATTATTTTTATTTAATTGATGAGCTTCTATTGTATGTTCCATCGTTCTATCTGCCACAGTGTACTATTTATGGTGGGCACTTGCGGAACAGTAGTTGACTAAAGAGAAATATTTTAGGAAAGAAAATGCTGATTTCCTAAGAGTATAGTCTTCATACCAGATACATTTAGTTAACCTGTTAAGAGCCAGACCGAAGGAATCAAGAGCTACTGCTTAAAGAATTCAAGGAAGAGATGGTCTCTGCCTTGAAATAGTTATGGAAAGGAGTGAGAGCAACATCAGAGCAGAATGGAAATGCTGTCGGCAGATGTGCACAGAGATGGGCCGCATCACGGCTGTGTGCAAAGAGTGAGGCATCCTGAAGCGAGGGGTGTCTGGGATGAAACTGGACCAGTGAAGATTTTGCTGGGTCGGGAGAAGGATGACGCAGTAGAGGCAGCCACGTGTGTAGTGGCAGGGGGCTGTGCAGAGGTCTTACTCCTCCTGTGAACGGTGTGCATCTCAGCCTGGAGGGGGTGGGGTGGCGAGGGGAAATGAGAAGTGGGATGGTGTGGGAATTGTAGTCAGGAGCTGCAGTGCAAAACAAATGTTTAACCAAATTGCCTGGGAAGAAACTCAGTTGCCTATGGTGAAAAATCCCAGAGGCAGTAAAGGAAATAAGATCCAGCCTGTTTGTCTGCGATGGCGTATGCTTTTACAAATGGCCTGCTCTATTTCATTTTATAATAGTCTGGAAAGAGTGCTGGGAAAGGAGCTCTGGGGAGCAGTATATACTAATTGAGTCTGTATAATCTGTAGGGTATTTGCCCATTTAGACCTATCTAATGAAGTTTGGTTTGGAGTCTAAAGTATTAAATCTAATTCTCTCTCTCTCTCTCTCTCTCTCTCTCGAAGAAAGCAAGTCTGGATAAGTGACTTCATTAAGCCTAAAATAGAATTAGTGAAGAGTATATTCTTTGAGTCAAGCAGACTTTGTTACTAATCATGTCTTTTTTAAAAAATTTTATTTACGTATTTAAAAGGCAGAATTAGAGAGAGGGAGAGAGAAGGAGAGATAGAGAGGTCTTCCAATTGCTGGTTCACTCCCCAAATGGCTGCAATGGTCGGCCAGGGCTTGGCCAGGTCAAAATCTGGAGCCAGGAACTCCATCCAGGTCTCTCACATGGGTGACAGGAGCCCAAACACTCGGACCATCTGCTGCTTTCCCAGGCACATTAGCAAGGAGCTGGATGAGAAGCAGAGCAGCTGAGACATGAACTGGCGCCCATATAGGATGCGGGCATGGTGGGCAGTGGCTTCACATAGAGTGCCACAGCCACGTCTTAATCAGCTGCTGTGTGACCTTTGGCAAATGCCTTAATCCTACTGAGCCTCAGTTCCTTTTCTGTGAAACAGTTATATCTGCTTTGTAACACAGGCCTTGTTACTTAGTAAGCTGCAGCAAATCTCCTTTCCCTTCACTCTTCCTCACAGCACAGAGCACCAAAATAGACAAACAAAACAGAGCTCAAATAGAAAGGGAGGGGGCCACTGTTGTGGCACAGCAACTTAAGCTTCTGACTGCAACATGGGCATCCCATATGGGTGCTGCTTCCAGTCCTGGTGCCTCCACTTCTGATCCAGCTCTCTGCTAATGGCCTAGGAAAGCAGCAGATGGGCCGAGGGCTTGGATCCCTGCACCCACAAGGGAGACTCGGAGGAAGCTCCTGGCTCCCCTGCACCCACAAGGGAGACTTGGAGGAAGCTCCTGGCTCCTGGCTTCAGTCTGGCCCAGCCCCAGCTGCTGTGGCTGTTCTGGGAGTGAACCAGCAGATGGAAGATCTCTTTATCTCTCTCCCTCTGTCTCTGTAACTCTGCCTTTCAAATATCAAATAGATAACATAAATCGGTCGATCGGTAGGGTTATCTTCATTTTTTTAGAGAGAGAGAGAGAGAAAGGGTGGTCATCAGCCTCTCAAGCATGGCCTCTTAGGGTACCACCGTTGTGATGGGGTCCCTGTTACCTGGGTTTTATTCTCAGCCTGGTAGGGCTGAAAAGTTGACATTATTAGTAATTGCCTAGCTTCTTGGGGAGGAATCCACACTAATAGAATACTCAGGAAATAAATTACTGATTCAGAATGCAAATTCATTGACTTCTGGTGATTGATGTATCTTCCCATAACTGTCTCTCCCCGTTTCAGGCTCATGTTTTTATCTTGGAGTAGAATAAGCAGAAAGTTGTTCACTGAGCACAGACTCTGAGCTCTGCAGAGAGTTCACCCAGGCCTTGAGAAAAGGCTGTTACTGTGGGCATCGAGACCTCTTCTCAAGCAGCTCAAGCCTTTGTGGCTACAAGACACACACTCCGGACTGGACAAACAGCGTATTCCTCCTATAACTGCCTGCAAGACCCACACTTTCCTGCTAACATACTCATCTTTTCAAATGATATAATCAACTGGGTTTGACTTGTTTCAGTTATAGTCTACTATTGAGGGAACACCCTCAACACCTTTGACTGGACCTTGGTGGTCCCCAAATCTATGCCTGCATTCTTACCAGGGGTAATCTCCACAGATGGCTGGTACTGACTGATTTAACTCACATTTAACTCAGACCTTGCCAGATTCTCTCCATGTTCTGGAGATATTTCATCACAGACTTCTCCGTACTAGCCTCCATGACCTGTACACTCAATGCCCAACAGCACACACGCAACGCATGCTGGTTGAATAAAGGTGAGGATACCAAAGAGAGCTTCAGAAAAAGTCTTCAAGGCCAGAATTTAAGTGTGTCCTTTTGTCCAAAGCATTCCACCTCCTGCCCTTATAGGCTCCTAAGGAAAGAATGAAAACAGAGTCGGGGGTGTAGAGCTCCCTGAGATGGGAGCAGGAGACAGAGGGGCTTTCAGGAGGGAAGCAGGGGCAGGTGGAGGGCGCCTGCCGGTCTGTGGAGCCTGACAGCCTGTGGAGCCTCATGGCCAAGTTCCAAGAGGGTGGTGAAGCAGATGAGGGAAGCAAGAAAAAATGGCCGAGGAAGTTACAGTAAAGACATGCTGTTGAGATGAAGGGAAGAGTAGAGTAGGTCCTAGATGTTGGTATAATTCAGAGCAAGAGGGAGGGGTTGTTTGCATGAGTTTGCTGTTTGGATAGGCGGCAGTTGAGTTTTTTGTTCTTTAGATTTATTTTTGTTAATTTGAAACACAGAATTACAGAGAGAGAAGTCTTCCATATGCTGGTTCACTCCCCCAAATAGCTGTAATTGCCAGAGCTGAGCTGATGCGAAGCCAGAAGCCAGGAGGAGCTTCTTCTGGGTCTCCCACGTGGGTGCAGGGGCCCAAGGACTTGGGCCATCCTCTGCTGCTTTCCCAGGTGCATTAGTAGGGAGCTGATGGGCAGTGGAGCAGCCAGGACTTGAACTGCCGCCCGTTTGGGATGATGGCGCTGCTTGCAGGCCGGGGCTTTAACGCGCCAGGCCACAGCGTCAGCCTCATGAAGTTGAGTCGGAGGTGCTTGCTGGGACCAACAGGGCGAAGCATCCATGAAGCAGACAGAAGGGACTGAGCATTTGAAACAAACTAGTGCGTTAGTTGAAACGGGGAAAATGTCGGGAAGAGTGGCCTGGGGATAGGCAGAGCAGAGTCAAAGCAGAATCGCGTTTTTAGAGATGGCAGAGGAATAGGCCCAGGACAAGCGAAGCCAGAGAGGTAAGAAACGTGTGTGTGTGTGTGTGTGTGTGTGTGTGTGTGGTGGGTGGGTGGGGCACATGTTGAACGCCTAGGGGACGAATTCTAAGGCGGCCTAGGACGCCTCCTGGAGGTCACGAGCAGGACGGCAGACCAATTCTGCCCGTTAGCCAAACCCGATTCCGAGGGGCACAGGTGGGTGGCGAGGGGCACAGGTGGGTGGCGGAGGGAGGGCGAAGCCACTCTGAGGCCAGCGGCTGCACTGAGCTGACAGGAGACAGCCGTAATAATGTTTACCGAGAGAGTCTGGCTGTGACACGGCAGGAAGGGCGGGCCTCGGTCATTAGGCCTCAGGGGACACTCGGTTTCACAACCCGGTACCTTGCGAGGGAGGGCTTTCCCTCTGAGAGTCCTTTGGGGGTCTTTTATGGAGTTCCATTACCCTAATGTGGAGTAAAAGAAACCCCACATGTTGCCACTCAGTGAAAAAGAAAGCATTTAAAAAAAAAAAAACACCTTCTCTCTTTAAAAATCCTGGCATGCAAATAAGGGGCTTTAATGTGGCTCTCAGCGATTGGTAGGTAGATACAAAAGCCGTCATTTCCTCGCAGCCGCAGGATGCAAACCGAAAGGCCGAGTGCCGCTTTCCTATTGGCTGCCGCTCTCGGCCAATAAAACTGCCTCCCTTCACCCCTCCTGGTAGCTCTTATAAATTACATCAAATTGCCTATCCTTTCCATAGCCTCTCCTAGAAAAACAAGCTGAAATCAGGTTTTTAGCCGTCATGTCTGGACGCGGAAAGCAAGGCGGCAAGGCGCGCGCCAAGGCCAAGTCGCGGTCATCGCGCGCCGGGCTGCAGTTCCCCGTGGGCCGGGTGCACCGGCTGCTGCGCAAGGGCAACTACGCCGAGCGCGTCGGCGCCGGCGCCCCGGTGTACCTGGCGGCCGTGCTCGAGTACCTGACGGCCGAGATCCTGGAGCTGGCGGGCAACGCGGCGCGCGACAACAAGAAGACGCGCATCATCCCGCGCCACCTGCAGCTGGCCGTGAGAAATGACGAGGAGCTCAACAAGTTACTCGGGGGTGTCACCATCGCGCAGGGCGGCGTGCTGCCCAACATCCAGGCCGTGCTGCTCCCCAAGAAGACGGAGAGCCACAAGCCTGGCAAGAGCAAGTGATTGATTAGGCGTGACACCACTCCCGTCCACCCAAAAGGCTCTTTTAAGAGCCACCACAGTGTCAAGCGGAGGGCTGATAACAAGCAGCGCGTTAGCTCTTTCTTTGACAACTTGGGTGGCTCTAAAAAGAGCCTTTGGTCTTTGGTTCAGGTCGTCAAATTTATTTGCTTTTGGCTTTGTGGCTTTCGGTTTTCTTTGGCAGCAGCACAGCCTGGATGTTGGGCAGCACGCCGCCCTGCGCGATCGTCACCTTGCCCAGCAGCTTGTTGAGCTCCTCGTCGTTGCGGATGGCCAGCTGCAGGTGGCGCGGGATGATGCGCGTCTTCTTGTTGTCGCGCGCCGCGTTGCCCGCCAGCTCCAGGATCTCGGCCGTCAGGTACTCGAGCACGGCCGCCATGTAGACGGGCGCGCCGGCGCCGACGCGCTCGGCGTAGTTGCCCTTGCGCAGCAGCCGGTGCACCCGGCCCACGGGGAACTGCAGCCCGGCGCGCGACGACCGCGACTTGGCCTTGGCGCGGGCCTTGCCTCCTTGCTTGCCACGACCAGACATAGTTAAGAAAAAGAAACCAAACCCAGCTAGGGCGCAGAACCTCGCAACAAAACAAGATTGAAAGGAACCCACGAAGAAAGCCTTTATAAGCTTCCCTGGGGGTGGGGTCAGGAACGAGCTTCTCATTGGTCCTAATGTGGCTTCAGAAACAGCCAATAAAGTCGAGCTGTTGTCATTACGCAGGCTTTTACCGAAAACGCAACTTTCCTGCACGGACCAATGGAAACGAAAGCCATTTTGATTCCTAATTTGCATAAGATGGTTATAAGAGGATCAGGCCCGCCCATCCTCTTATTCCTTTTCCCCGCTGTATCGCGTTGGTGTGGTGTTTACCATGCCCGAGCCAGCCAAGTCCGCGCCCGCGCCCAAGAAGGGCTCCAAGAAAGCTGTCACCAAGGCGCAGAAGAAAGACGGCAAGAAGCGCAAACGCAGCCGCAAGGAGAGCTACTCCATCTACGTGTACAAGGTGCTCAAGCAAGTGCACCCCGACACCGGCATCTCGTCCAAGGCCATGGGCATCATGAACTCGTTCGTCAACGACATCTTCGAGCGCATCGCCGGCGAGGCGTCGCGCCTGGCGCACTACAACAAGCGCTCGACCATCACGTCCCGGGAGATCCAGACGGCTGTGCGCCTGCTGCTGCCCGGCGAGCTGGCCAAGCACGCCGTGTCCGAGGGCACCAAGGCTGTCACCAAGTACACCAGCTCCAAGTGAGGCCCTGCCGTGCCGCTAACCCACAAAGGCTCTTTTCAGAGCCACCCATCTGATCGGGAAAGAGCCGTGTTCACATAACGTCCCCCCTTAGTCCCTTCGCACAAGTAAGTTACTGCAGCCCAGACGTAGTGGGGGTGGAGTACTTGGCATTCTCTAAGACGTTCCGACCCCGAGGTTCTCGGCGCGTGATTGGACTTGCGTTGAGTGCCAAGTGCGTCTTCACTCCTAACAGCGGCGATGGCCCTCCCCTACCCCTCTGCGTTGCGGCAGTGGCCGGGCGGCTTTGTTACACACGCTGGGCCGTCTTAAACTCGAGTGGCTGATTGCAGCTATTGGTTTAGGAAGACTGCAGGACACAAGTAGGCGCGTCCGGCGGCCGCTGTGTACAGCAGCAGCTTAGCACCGAAAGCGGCGGGGTGGCCAGCTCGGCGCGGGGAGGGCTCGGCCTGCGGGCCTGCGGGCCTGCGGGTGACCGGTGCTGTGCTCTGGGGCGGAGCCCGCGCCGCTGAGGGTCAGACTTTTCCTGATTGGGCGGCATGAATATTCAAAATTCGCGCCACTCGAGAATTCTTAAAGACTTTGTTTTCCGCCTCTGACGTTGTAGCTTGGAGAGTCCTAGGATTCCTTAAGTCCGTAAATAATTTTTGCATTTAATGCTCTGTGCTGGGAAGCCTGCCCCAGGTCACTGCAAGACACGGGTGGTTTAGCTCGGGGATTAAAAACCGCTGCCAGCGGCATCCGCTCAGGAGCCTGCCCTTTGGCCCTGTCTGTTGTGTGTTTTCATCTTCGTCCACGCAGCTGGCTGAAATTCGCTGGCTCATTTGCTTTCTCGTTAATGGTCTTTCTTCAAACCGGGACAAAGGCCCTGCTGGCCTGCTTTTCCTCCGTATCTTCAGCGCCCATCAGTGCCTGGCACGTAGCGGACACAAACGGCTTGAAGTGATATCGGACACAAACGGCTTGAACTGATATCTACGGATTCGTTTTTCTATCCCGCCAATTTCGTAATCGCTTCCTTGGTGGGGGGTGGGCGCTGTTTATTTCCATCAGATGTGAAGATACGATGAAGATGGAAACGTTTTTGTAGCTCCTTGACCAAATATGTCGTTAATCACCTCGGTGCAACTGCTTTGGGGCGGGTGAGGGGTGGGGGGAGGCCTGGTGCCAAGATTTTTTTTTTTTTTTTGCATCGGGAGGAGTCGGGAGTAGCGGGTCTTCCCCGCAGGCTACCCGCTTTAGGGTGACCAACGCGTTTTAGGTTTCCGTTCAATTGAGAGCAGTGGTCAGCGAGAAGAGCCTTCACCCTCTGTTCACACTGGGAGGAGCTTTCAGTTCATCCCCACCAACCCGGCTGCTTTTTCAGGAGGCCCTAACAAGCAGAGCAGACAGAGCTGCAAGATCCCTCACACAGCGAGCGCTGCTTTTGTCTTCTGCGATGTGATCACAGGTGTATTTTGGTCGTATCTGATGCAATTACGCAATACCGAATCTTCCTGTCCGAGCCTTGATGGTGCCAGGGGAGGTCCTGAGTGCTCAGTAACTGGACTCTGCTCAGGGCTCCTGGAGTTGATTGCAAGGGTTTTGTGAACCCAGATGTGCTCCACATAGCAAATCATAGGCTGAGATCTCGAGCCTGCTGCGCGTGTGCTTTCAAATCTGTGTAGATGCTGTGTTATTAATAAAGTGCCCAACTCATTTTAAGGCTTTGCTATATCCTTTTATCGGCCATATATGAAGTGAAATTGACAGGGACAGTCACCACTGGGTACATGTGTGGAAAGGCTGGAGAAGGAATATTTAGAAGCTGTCAGCCAAACTTTTACCCCAGATGGGCAATGGGGCTGAACCAGGCTGTCACAAGGCTTTCCGCAGTCCTTGCAAAATACGTGAGCATGAAGAAGAAGCACTACAAACAACGCGGAAGACATACAGTCCTTAACCAAGGTGGGCTAACACCGACTGACACTTAACATGTGTTCCCGATTCATGCACAACATTCACTCATTCTCACAAGAGCCTCCTAAAGTAGGTAGACTTGTCATCTCCCACTGGACAGGGAGGGAAACTGAGCCACAGAGCGGCCTTTCCTCAGAAACTCACCGGAGAAAAAGCTCCTTGTTTAGTGCTAAAAGGATGTAAGAAAGCAGGGCTGCTCTCTGAGAACCTGGACTCCTCCCTGGATTAGGGGGGAAATAGCTGTGCTTTAAAATAAAGAAAAAAAAAAAGCCACCTGCTTTATCGTCTTCAGAATGCGACCTGGATGTGAATCTGGGCGTGGTGGGGGCTGGCAGTCCCCATTCCAGAGGCCGCAGCTCACTCAGGTCAGCTTGTCCCCACAGAGTGGGCAGTTCTGCACTCCCCCTTGGGCATGGTCACTGGGGAGGCAGCGATGGTGAGAAGGGAAGGCAGTCTGGAGGAGTCATCGCGGATGAGATTGCTCTCCTAAACAACCTCTGACCATTTCTCTCTCCTGCCCAGAGGCCTTTCAGCATGTGCTTACCTTGGGCTAGGCAACAGTGATTGTACTTACTGAATACCTGACCATGAGCGTTCATCCGATTCCCTGCTAAATGACTTACAGGCACTGCCCCACAGAGTCTTCATAGCTGCCTTACAAAGACAGGTTCCATGGTTAACAGCCTTATTCTACAGATGAAAGAAACAGACTTAGAAAGCATAACTCCTCCAGAATCATTCAGCAAGTGCCTGGAACTGCAGTGCAATGCACACCCCTTAAATCCTGGTTTCAGCATCTATCATCTGCCTCTCAGTTCTTGCACAGGTCTGTCTCCCACTGTTCTACCATGGGGGTTTTCTGCTCTAGTCAAAATGGTCTGTTTACCTCCTGCTGAACCTGCTGGCTTTTTCCCAGGTCTGGCTCGGCCAGAGTTTGCTTTCCAGTCAAGGCCATACCTTTTAAGATCCAGCTCAAATACCATTTTGTAACTCACTTTTTTTTTTTTTTTTTTTTTTTTTTTGGACAGGCAGAGTGGACAGTGAGAGAGAGTGAGAGAGACAGAGAGAAAGGTCTTCCTTTGCCCTTGGTTCACCTTCCAATGACCACCGCGGCCAGCGCGCTGCGGCCGGCACACTGTGCTGATCCGAAGGCAGGAGCCAGGTGCTTCTGGTCTCCCATGGGGTACAGGGCCAAGCACTTGGGCCATCCTCCACTGTACTCCCTGGCCACAGCAGAGAGCTGGCCTGGAAGAGGGGCAACCGGGGCAGAATCCGGCGCCCCGACTGGGACTAGAACCCGGTGTGCCGGCACCGTAAGGCAGGGATTAGCCTATTGAGCCACGGTGCCGGCCTTGTAACTCACTTTTCTGTCAGCCAACAACTTTATTGTGAAATTGGCATGCAATAAACTCTGTGTATTTAAATTACAATGTGCTAAGTTTTGAAAGCATCGCCACAATAAAAATAAAGAGCATGTCCATCATCCCCCAAGTTTCCTACAATCCTTCCCTTCTGTCTCCTCCACCAATGTTCTTCTTTGCTCCATCCCCATCCTCAGGCAACCATTGTTACTTTGTAGATGGTGTGCGCTTTCTGTATTTTATATAAATGGAAGCACACACTGTATTCTTTGTGTCTGCCTGCATTTACTCAGCACTATTGAGGTTCATTCATACTGCTACAGGTCTCCTAATTCATTTCTTTATTTTTCTTTCTGAGTAGCATTCCGTTGTAGGGTCACACTGGTTATAACCCAGTCACCTTTTGATGGACAACTGT